CTTAAGTTCTTAATGTGTATTAGGATATTGCGAAGAGGCTCACTCACTGACTCACTTACTCAGCACAGGCAACTATTGTCATGAGGAATTTCCCCTGGTTAAGAAACAATTGAGTTAAAATGGATCTTCCCTGAATAATGGCTCTTCTTCTCCAGACAAATGACGCATAAAGTCATGATCTTAACTTCAGTTTGATTTAAAAAAAAAAATTTTTAAATGCTCTATAAGGTAAGGTTTACTATATACTACAATACTAGAGATCAGACATAGGGACTTGTGAGTCGTGACTTGGACTTGGACTCGAGTCAGACTTGAGATACAATTTTTAGGACTTGAGGCTTGACTTGACAAAATGGACTGAAACTTGGGACTCGAATCTGACTTGAAGATCAATGATTTGGGACTTGAGGCCTGTGACTTGAGAGGACCTGATACTTCTCCTAAAGTATCTTTTCAGATTATAAATGTGGTGCTGAATTTTACAGGAACCAACCCTGCCCACTTCTCTGTTAATTTGGATGTAACTGATGTGGTATCTTCAAATGTACTACAGTAAAATACAGTACAATACAGTAATATACAGTACAATACAGTAAAATACAGTAATACAGTAAAATACAGTACAATACAGTAATATACAGTACAATACAGTAATATACAGTACAATACAGTAATATACAGTACAATACAGTAATATACAATACACTACAGTACAGTAATATACAGTACAATACAGTAAAACAGAGAACAACAGAGAACATCTTTCATAACAAAATAACTTCTATTAAGCACTTTCAAATCAATTCTTTCTATTCTAACCGTAATGATACACACTAAAGACTTGACAAGACATTTATATAAATACTCTTATAAAAATACTGAAAAGTACAATTTAAAATTCATATAAATTGCAAAAATCTAAGCTATATTTAGTACTTTGGTTTAAAGACTTGAAATGACTTGAAGCTCAAAGCAGACGACTTGGACTTGACTTGGACTTATGGGCCAGTGACTCGAGACTCGACTTGGACTTGTCTTTCTTTGACTTGGGACTTGACTTGGACTTGAGGTCAGATACATGAGACTTACTTGAAACTCTCAAAGCAACAACTTGGTCCCACCTCTGCTAGGGATGTAACGATATCCAAAACTCTTCGTACGATATTTATTTATTGATATATATATTTAGAGAGGCTAATATAATCGTAGATAGGACACGTTTCTGCTTTTAAAATACCCTGACAAGTTTTTGATGTGACTTATTACCGTCATAATCCCAAGAATTCAAGTAAAAAACAGTTCTTCATGTTGTCTGCACTGCACTGAAATGAATCATGGGATATGTAGTTCCCGATGTTTATCAGCTATTATAGGATATAAGCAAAGAAACTTGTAATTCAATATATTGTGACAGTCCATGATATTACTGTGAGACTTTTGACGATACAATATCACGATATTTCGGTTATTGTTACATTCCTGTACAATACTATGTATATACTATTATATACTATACTAAGGTAATGTGGTTGGGGTCTGTCACCTACTTATTTCTATGGTTACGTCATTGCTCTGCTTCAAGTGTTCCAAAATATGGCATTAACCAGATCTACTTTCAATTACAGATCAAAAATACTTAGAAAAATCAAGTATTCTGTCTGTGAGCGTGGTCGCCTCTCCACAGATCTTATCAGTACTCTGCTTGATTTGATGTCCAAGACGATAGAAAGGTTTAAAGCAACACTGTGAAACATTCCAGATAAGGCAATAACATCTCCATGGAGAAAACCGTTTGACGGACCCTCCACCAGAAAAGTTACACGGTGCACCTTTAAAGTCACCAGAGCCCGTCTTGTTCTAATCATTGGTCTAATAAGACGCAGTAAATACAGATCAAAGTCCACACACTTTACCCAGATGTGTCCCGACGCCCGTTCACCCCGTGCTTCTTACTTTTTGTAATCTTTATTACGTTATATCCACGTTGGATGGGTCCTTCTCCATCCTTCAGTGATTCACAGGTTTTTGATTCCTGTTTATCACTGATATGAACTTAGTCTTGCTCTTTCAGAAGATCGAGCATTTAAAGGTCCTATATTACGCTAAATAGACTCTTGTGAGATTCAAGATGTGTTATAATATTGTTAACTTACCAAAAACACACCTGGAATTGTGTTTTGTTTCATTCACACATTTGAGTAACACTTTAATATTAGTCTGACATCTCCAAAGCTCAAAATGTTTTCAAATTAACAGCTCATTTTACCTTTTGTTCAATAGAGATCGGCAATTCCAGGGCTGAAATTATCCAACTGATTCTCGTGAAGCCATATGGAGTTTAAAAACCCAATGGAGCACTTCCTGTATCACCACATGACATCATAAGGTGGAGCAGAGTGTTTTCAGTTTGAGATAAGAACTCAGCGTAAATATGCAGGTTTGGTTTGTTATACGTCATTGAAACAAAACACAACTGCAGGTCTGTTTTTGATGAGGAAACAACATTATAACAGATCAGAAAATAGTGTAATTTTGGCCCTTTAAAGGCGCTATACCTGATTTTTACTGTCTTAAAACATGTCGTAGGTTGGTTCAGTTGTAATAAATAAGCACATTCTGTTCATTTTCTCTTTAACCAAATTATTTTTATGGCAAAGGAGATGTTCAATTTGTCAACAGGACAAAAGTTTATGTGGTCGAATATGTTTCAGAGCTCGTCCAAGCTTCTTCTCTTCAGTTCTGGTCAGACACTGATGAGTAATTCTTTATATCTGCTTGCAGGGAGGAGCTAACTACACTGAAACTACTCTGAAACTAACACACCTACTTGTTTACAGTTTCTGTTAGTTATCTAGGCCTATTGAGCTGCACTGAGTGTGTGGTCATATTAGCAGAATCATTCAAGGCCATAATGGAGCTTTCACACCTCTGGATCTGACCTGACTACACCTATTTTTAAATTTTTTTTTTAAATTTGAGGTTGGAATTGTAAATAGGAGATAGTGTCTGAGTCCCCTATTTCTGTTTAGAGAAGGATTCTCTTTCTTAACAAAAATAGCTTCTTTAACTCCCCTTTCAAACCGTATTTGACCAAATAAACTTTTTAGGGATTTTTCACAATTTATTTTTACCTTTTTTTCTCAAATGAAGTCCAGCTTTTTACATTTTTATCTTGCATTCATTCAATCACAGGTGCTTAAATTGCTAAAAAACTAAACTAAACTAAACTAAACATGCATTATTATTGAATTATTACTGAGAGTGGGATTGGCTTTCCACAGATCTGACCTATAACATGGCCTGGTAGAGTCTCAATGGTGATAGATAAGTTTAGTTTAGTGCTATGCTACTGTGCAACATTCTAGATAAATATATGTTCTGTGCGTATCGGCAGATGTTCAACAGTTACCATGGAGACACAATGCACACATTAGCAAACACAATCAAATACGTTTTAAAATAATCTGACAACTCAAGACAAAGTAAATTTAAACAGCACATTTTCAGGAGCCTGTGGTCAATACAAGCGTTTATTGTCAAGTTTAGGTGTTTGATTTTCAACAAAAAAGTGAGAGCAATAAATTCAAAAACTGTAGCCAGCTTGTGACTGTAATTTTATTTGAGAGGAACTTGTTTAACAGAACAAAGCAGCTCATATGTTGCAGCTTTCTGGTCAGATTGTGTTAAAATAAAGATCAGATTAAAGTCTAAAAAGCTTCAGACAGAGCAGTGCTTACATTTAGCGTCATGCCTCCAGGGAATGTTGATGACATCTGCTGCAAAATACTAGAAAAAAAGTTTTGTATGAATAAAAAAAATGGAAAAAAACAATATCTAAGTAAGTTAAAATGACCTGAATTAATAACATTTTACTTTATTTAGTAGAGAGAGTGGATTCAAATTAAAAATGATAAGATTGTTTCTTATTTTAAGTGCAAAAAGTTGTTGTTTTTCTTATTTTAAGTGTAGTAAGATGTATTTTCACATTTTAAGTACAAAAATCTTGTTCCACTGGCAGATAATTTTACTTGTCAAGTGAAATTTACTCAAATCTTGATAAAATTTTCTGAATTCAAGTCATCTTAACTTGACTAGATTTTTGTTTTTTTGGAGTAAATGCAAATATTATGAGACATTCTGGGTCAACCTTGGTCAGTAATTGTCAGTTTAGTGTATTGACCCAACCAGAATATTGGTTAAAGGTGCTTTACAGTAAGGCTTATCCGTCACCATGGAGACGGTAAACTAAAGCCATAATAAAAACACCTGTAATTAATGAAAGATAAATGTGTAATTAATGTCATATACCTGCCTAGACAGCGGCAATTCTAGGTCTGAAGTCAACCACGTGATTCTAGAGAAGAGGTGGAGTTTAAAAACATTAGGAAACAGTATAACACAGATCAGAAAATAGCGTAAAATGGACCCTTTTCATTTGTTCTTCAAAAATAGAGTACTTAGAGAAACATTTTGAAGTACAGCTGCAACTTTTACTTCTTCTCCTGTAACTACTATTACTACTACTACCATGTCATTTATTATTCACTTTCCAGTATTATTATTAAAGGCGCACTATGTAACTTTTTGGTTGAGGGTCTGTCACCTGCTTGTTTCTATGGAGATGTCATTGCTCTGCCCTGAATGTTCCACAGTGTGACTTTAAACAGCTTTGTCTTATATTTACTAAATTACAGGTGGTTTTAAAGCTCAAAAATACCTAGAAAAACAGACATTCTGGCTGTGAGCGGGGTCGCCTCTCCACAGATCTGACCTGTAACTCGGGCTGGTTATTATTAACAAGTTGCCAATACGATACATATCTCGATACAGTGTGCTTTCGATTCAATATGATATATTTTTTTTTAAGTTTCAAAAGGAGCTCTTCCTGGACCTCTAGAGGATAATACACAGAAGATAAAACTGTGGTGCTTTTTGGGAAGTGAAGTCAATTTAAAGATGCAAAAAACCCAAGGCACTCACTGGTTAAAATAAAATGCCTTTATTATTTTACGGCATGTCTTAATGGACATTTACAAAGTCCCGACACATGATATACTTCAAATCGATTTGATATCGTTCAATGAAAAAAAGTCTAAATCGTGGCTGTGATAGTAAAGTCTTTTTTAAACCACTTCTTGTGCAAAGTTCATATGAAACACACACATTTTAATCATCAAAACTGTGAAAATGTCAAAAGTGTTGCAAAAACAAGTTTCCTTCATTTGAACAAGCAACAAAACTGGAGCTCTGTAACAAAAAAATTGCGATAAATTGGCCATAAATAGCCCATGATATTGACAGTGGTGGAGTTAGCAATTCGGGGGCTCTTGGCGAACTCGAGTTTGGGGCCCTCACTATAATGCACCATTTTTTGTTTTGTTTTGTTTTTATTTTTTTGTTTTTGTAATATATTAATTTTCCATTTCCCCCCATTGCTCTTGAGACATGCACATCCCTATTTATTTGAATTTTATGATGGACTGGAAACTTGTTAGTTAGGTCGCCTACTAGAAAACCAGAACTGAATTATAATTACATTTTTGTTTACTTCCATTACATATGATGATTATTATTTTTCTTCTGAATATTGTTTAAAAGTATTGAGAGAAAATCAAATTACTCTCATTAGTGACACTGTGTTTGGGGGCTCCTCCAGCTTTGGGGGCCCTAGGCAGCTGCTTGCTTTTGCCTAATGATAGCGCCACCTCTGGATATCGATACTGTTTCATCACATTAAACAATACGATATGTGGATATTTCAACATTTTTGCACACCCTTACCCGTGACCCGGTCTGGTTCGGTCTCCACGACGATAGAAACGCTCAACACCGCGCCGTGAAACGCTCCAGACAAAGCAGCAACAACAACATCTCCATCTTCAGAAAGACACTCCACCAGAAAAGTTACACAATGCGCCTTTAAAGACCACACAGAGTAACATCCTCGCGGTCATTCAACTCATTTTACTCCTGCTAATGCAAAGGCCCTGTTATCAATAGCCTTTATCATCAATAGTACTGATCCACCCCTAGTTAAGGTCAAATAGCTGGCACATTTCTTATCAGCCTAATGCAGGGTTAGATAATATAAAGGCAGAGGTTACCTGAAGACGAGATAGAGCATTCCCTTTTCCTTGAACTGGACTTGAAAAACACGGGAAAGACCGCGAGCAGAAGAGGTTGTGAAAACGTTCAGATTTGAATCTTTCTTAAAAATGTCCTTTTAATCTTTTAATAGTTGATTTGGTCTCCGCAGGTCACGAAAGAGGAGAAACTGGAAGGATGAAGAAAGGATTTAATCTGAGCAGCCAAGATGACGACGAGAAAGGTAAAACGTTTCTAATTGTATCTTAAGAAACACTTATTAGCGTGTAAATATGAGCCAATTTGCATATGAGCCAATTTGCATATGTAAGTTTATTTTCGAGTTAATGCTAGTTGTTTTTGGCTTTACCGTGACTCTGATTTGTGAGAGTCGTGTAAAGCGTAGAAAAAAAAACATTGTAGTGAATGACACTGACACAAAAAACAAAAAGCAATGTCTATGTAAGTTAAAACGACTTACTTTTACTTTATTTGAGTAGATTCAATGTGCCAAGTAAAATTATCCACGTGTTTTTCTTAATTCAAGCAACATTAGAAGTGTATTTAAGATGTGTTTTCGTATTTTAACAACAAAAGGTCTCAAATCGTGGTCAAACTTTCTTAATTTAAGTAATTCTGACTTGGCTAGAGTTTATTTTTTCAGTGTAGGATGCTAAGAATGCAAAGAAAGAAAATTTAAAGTGGACTAGTTCTGTTCTTCATCATGTTTAAAAGAAAGTAAAAATCAGGTACAGCTCATTTAACGGAGGCAAAATAATAATCCTACAATTTAAAGTACCTAAGAAGTAGTAGAAGTAGTAAGAAGTATGTACTGTGCTATGACTGCAACTTTTACTATTATGGCTGATGTAACCTACTACTACTAGTACTACTACTACTACTACTACTACTACTACTACTACTACTACTACTACTACTACTACTACTACTACTACTACTACTACTACTACTACTACTACTACGACTACTACTACTGCTGCTGCTATTGCCACTATCACCACTACTACTGTGACTGCCACTACTACTGCTGCTACTACTACTAGTACTACTACAGCTACTGCTACTACTGCTATTATTACTACTACTACTGCTGCTATTGCCAGTACCTCTACTACTACTACTGCTGCTGCTGGTGCTGCTGTTGCCAGTAACACTACTACTACTACTGCGACGCCGGTATTACTATTACTACTACTACTAGTACTGCTATTGCCATTACCACTACTGCTACCGCAACTGCTGGTATTACTACTACTACTATTACTACTACTTCTGCTACAGCTACTACCACTACTACTATTACTACTTCTACTACTGCCACTACTACCACTACTACTACTACTACCACGATTGCCAGTACTACTGCTACTACTACTACTACTACTACTACTACTACTACTTCTGCTACAGCTATTGCCACTACTACTATTACTACTTCTACTACTGCCACTACTACCACTACTACTACTACTACTACTACTACTGCCACGATTGCCAATACTACTACTACTACTACTACTACTACTACCACTACTACTATTACAGCTACTGCTACCACCACCACCACTACTACTACTACTACTACTACTACTAAGATAGCTAGTGGTACTTTTGTAAAATACCATACCAGTTAAATAAATCATGTAGTAAATACAGATTGCACTGACGGCTTCTTGTGTCTTTTACTTTTACAGGGGGCAATAAAAATGGGTAAGTAATGATAAGTAATAATTTATTAAGTACACCGTGTAGCTGATTATTTTGTCATTCTTCACCGTAAACACACCTGCTCTTGTCTATAATAAAAAAAAAAGAAGTATACGCCAGGAAACTCAGAAAAAGTGTTGAGTCTTTGTTGTGATTACGTTTACTGCACTGTCAGCTCCCACTGGGCACCACAGTTTTTCTAACACAAAAGCTGGTGGATTTGTTTCCTTTATACTCTACTTTCTGTTTTTCTTTTTAATCGTTTTAGTTGAATATTGCGTTTTTAAAGGTGCATTGTGTAACTTTTCTGGTGGAGGGTATCATAGTTGAGGACTTGCAAACTGTGACTTGGACTTGAATCAGACTTGAGTCACTATTTTTGGAACTTGAGACTTGACTTGATAAAATAGACAAAGACTTGGACCCCGACTTGGACTTGAAGGTCAGTGACTTGGGACTTGACTCGGACTTGAGGCCTGTGACTTGAGAAGACTTGGTGCTTACACTAGTTGACAAATGAACTGTTATTAAGCACTTTTAAATCTAAAAGCTTTCTGTTCTGACCGTAATAATTTTCACTCTTGTCAAGACGTTTAAAAAGTAAAAATGAGCGTTTCTACAACTCTTAAGTATAACATGACTTTTTAAAGTACAATTTTGCTTAAAAATCATATAAATTGCAAAAATCTAAAGACTTTGCGAAATTATGGGAACCTTATTTGAATATCATATCCAAAAACTAGAAATGATGTGTATGTATAATAATATTGTTGTTGTTATTGTTATTGTTCGGCATTGGTGGTAATAATGATGGCAATAATAATACTTAATTTTTATTTATTTTTACTATTATTATTGTTGTTGTTATCATTATTATTATTATTTACCTATTTTACTTTATTTTATTTTTTATTAATTAATTAATATTTTATTTTTATTTATCTTTTTTTTTTTTTCTCTACCCATTTTCCCTTTTTAAAATTCATATGGTCACTGAATATGAATCTTTGACTTACCTACGACTGATAAATTGTATTGTGCAAGTGTTGTTTAGTGAATATGTGAATGTGTATGTGTGTGAGTGTGAGTGTGTGAATTGGCCTGTTATTCTTTTTCATTTATATGTTGACTTATGTTAACGTGGTCAATTGTTCATGTCAACATTTTTTGTCTGAAAATTAATAAAAAATATTGGAGAATTTTTTTTTTTTTTTTTGCAAAAATCTAAACTATATTTGGTATTTTGGTTTAAAGACTTGAAATGACTTGAAGCTCAAAGCAGACGACTTGGACTTGACTTGGACTCGTGGGCCAGTGACTCGAGATTCGACTTGGACTTGCCTGTCTTTGACTTGGGACTTGATTTGGACTTGAGGTGAAAGACTTGAGACTTACTTGAGACTTGCAAAACAATGACTTGGTCCCACCTCTGGAGCGTATTGTTTGTCACTTGCTTGTTGCTATGGAGATGTCATTGCTCTGTCTGGAATGTTCCACAGTGTGACATTAAACATCTCTAACTTACATTTATTCAGTTACAGGTGGTTTTATAGCTCAAAAATACCAAGAAAAACATGTATTCTGACGGTGAGCGGGGCCGCCTCTCCACAGATCTGACCTGTAACTTGATCTGGTTTGGTCTCCCTACCTGCTTTTACCATAAGTTTTAATACCAAACTGTGAAATATTCCAGATAAAGCAACAAAATCTCCCTGGAGAAAAGCGTTTAACGAACCCTCCACCAGAAAAGTTACACAATGAACCTTTAAAATGCTGCTAATTATACCATAATTAATGATTTATGAGTGTTTAAATTCCAAATATTTGGTTTAGCTCAACAGAAAATTATTTCCTACATAAAGATAATACATTTATTTAAAGTCAACGTTTATTTTTCTCAATGCAGATGTAATTTTTGTTAACATTCTTTTATATCTTCTCTACAGAAAGGAAGACAAAAATGGGAATCTCAGCATTGGATTTTTTCAGCTAGTTAGTAAAATTATTATTATTCTGAATCTACTTGGACATCTGTCAATTTGTAATTTTTATTATAAGTATATTGTAATATCCTTGAGGTTTAAAGAGGGGGTATTATGTTGTATCGAATTTTTTGAGTTTTCTAAATATCATCTATAAGCCTAAGGACAGTTGTTGCCTCATTAAAAAGATAAGGTGAAGTTTTAAATGTCATCTATGTATGTTTGAGTAATCTAGCGATCTTTCTCGGGCCCTATTTGAACCGTCTTTAAGGTTAGCAGTACGATCTTGTTCAATGTCACCCATGCGACAATTCTCCATAAATATACAAAAACACGATACAAAACTATACACAATAACATGAAAAACCTGATCATTTGTGCAGTAGTTTCATTAACGGGATGCATACTGACTGTAATCTGATAGCGCTCTGAAGGGGGAATGACTTTAGCCTGATTCATCAGGCGGTTTCACTTCGTGGAAACCGTCTGACCTCGCAGCATTAGGATTTGTTCCCTCGATGATAGGTGGGTAGTTTTTTATTTAACCAATCGCTGCTATTTGGTCGTGACGTATGTAATGCGCCAAATCCCGTAGGAAGAAGGGCAATAACATCTTTCCCCTTGATAAAACTCACCAAACATTCTCTTTGTTCCGGCTTTAAATCTTCAATCTCGGGAATCGTTGCCAAGACAGTATGTCTGTCTTCGTCTACATCCATCTCGACCGCTTTGTTTACTGTTGTGCTGTACCACAAAAGGGACCCAGACACTCGCTTGAGTTTGACGTCATGGCTTCACAACTCTTCGCTGATTGGCCGGTGCCGGTGCGCGGTCTACAACTTCCAGGGTTCTTGCAAACTGTCTAGTGTATTCTGATTCCTGAAATAATCGCTGGAGAGAAATGAAAATTGAGCGGAGGCAGCCTGGCAGAGGGAGCACAATGCCAAAAACGAAAATGCAACTTATAAAACATGTTATTAATGTGTTGTTTTTGCCAAATATAGAATTTTCAAAACAATAAAAGGTAACATGGTGATTTAAATATGTTATGTGTTAACAATTAATATCCCATAAAAGTGCAATACCCCCTCTTTAAAGCTCCATTGTTTAAAATATATGGTGATGATCTTTTTTCTATATATATAATACATTATGTAACTTTTTGGTTGGGGGTCCGTCACCTGCGTGTTTCTATGGATATGTCATTGCACTGCCTGGAATGTTCCACAGTGTGACTTTAAATTACTTTTCTTTACATTTATACAATTACAGGTGGTTTTATAGCTCAAAAATGCATTGAAAATCAGGTCTTCTGACTGTGAGCGGCATCGCCTCTCCACAGATCTGACCTGTAACTTGGTCTAGTTTGGTCTCCATTATGATAGAAAAGTTTAATGCCATACTGTGAAACATTCCAGACAAAGCAATGACATCTCCATGCATTTGACGGACCCTCCACCAGAAAAGTTACACAATGCACCTTTAACACTATGAGCTTAGTCTAAAACTCTCCTTCATTTTTATCTTTTTCTATCCATAACCTTTTACTTTGTCCTTGTAGTTCCGCTTTGCCACCGGGAAAGACGTCGCCATGATGGTAGTTGGCGCTGTGTGTGCCCTGCTGCACGGAGCGGCGGCCCCTCTCATGCTGCTGCTGTACGGGAGGATGACCAATACTTTTGTGGCCTACGAAATGGAGTTACAAGAACTGAAAGACCCAAACAAAACGTGCATAAACGACACTATACACTGGACAGATGGGACAATATACCTCAATGTAGAGAACAGTACTATAGCTTGTGGGTGAGTAATTAAAAGGCTCATATTACGCTATTTTCTGATCTATGTTTAACGTTGTTTCCTCATCAAAACATGAAAAACACTGGCCTTTTAATAACAACATTGAGTAGGCCAGCTTTTTTCCCCATTACATTTTAACAATAAATGTCTTTTTTTTTACAGAGTGGACATTGAAGCTCAGTTGAGGGTCTTTGCATATTACTACGTGGGAATTGGAGCCGCAGTTTTGGTTCTCAGTTATATTCAAGTAAGTTCTCTTGGATTGTTTAAAGAGCACTCTGTGACCTTTCTGTTGGGAGGCGCACATCCTGTTTGTTTTCATGGATTTGTTAGTGTTTCACCTAGAAATGAGTGTCTTTATTGCTAGATAAACATTCTTACTGCAAGCAGGGGTTGCCTATCTGCCATAGACTTTTTTATTTACATAGCTAGGGTGACCAGAATTTCAAAATAAAAAACTGGGACTGTTTTTTTTTTTGGTGGTTAGTAATAGTAAAACTGTGAAATAAGGGTGTAATTAAGGAAAATTGTTAAGCAGAGACCATTCATGATGGACATGCGGGTCAGTATAGTCACATTTTCTTTGTGTTTTGGTCATTTTTAAGCAGCTTTTCTGTATTTTATCTAAACAGATGCCTCTTTTTACTGTCTGCAGGGATCAAATTGGTCAAAAATAGGGACATATGGGACATTTCTTTTATAAAACTTGGACATATCACAGGTTTTGTATAAATCTGCTGGGACAAGGGACACAGGGCTCAAAACTGTGACTGTACCTGGTAAATAGGGACGTCTGACCACCCTAAACATAGCTAACATAGTGTAGTGGGGTTACAAATCTTATTCCGATATAACCCCACTTCGACATTCTGTCATTCCGACACTTTTTGATGCTACCATACGGACACCTTTTATGTCGCCATTCTGACAATCTACTTATAGTTTGGAGTCTTTTTTGCCTTGTGTATGCCGCATGGACCGCACCTTCTCCCATACGCCACAAACACTGCACCTCCCACGCCGCCAGTCCATGAAAATATTTTCTCGAAAAAAGCGCTGCCGCAAATTAATAATTACCTTGTGTGTTGGAATGGCGGAATGTTGAAAAAAAAGCTAAAGTGCCGCCACTCCGTTCAAGGAAAAAAGGTGTGCAGGGACGTTTGATAAAAAATGCAAATGCCGCCACTCCGACAATTAACAACCGTGTAGTGGAAAAATGTTGTTTAACCACTGAATGAATAGGAAAATGGAATTGCCAATCTCTATTGAACTACTGAAGGTAAAAGGAGCTGGGTCCGGTCAAGCGTTAACACAGGGAAACAGGGGCAGATTTTTTACATTCAAATAGCTCTTATTCAGAAACTAGAGGGACTATTGAAATAAGTAAAGTATCAGAATGTAGGAAAGAGTTAACACTCCAACAGGGTAAAGTTAATCCTGTGATATTCTTTCAAGTTGTTGACAAAAAATTTAAAAACTCATGTCGGTAACGGAGGGAATGAAATATGCAGCACTTTTTGGGCAATAAATACAAACAGCAATAACTAGCTTGGTTCTCACTTACATATCCTTAACAAACTGGTTTGATATTTGCTTCATATAGTTTTCTACCATATGGTACAAGATTAGGTTGAAAAACCTCTTACTTTTTGGAGTAATGAGATTTTTTTATTAAGAAAGGTCATGGTAACGGAGGGAAAAGTAACGGAGGAAAAATTGTGCAAGCAAGTAGAAGGTGCATGATTTTGCATAATTTGTCATCTTTTTTCTTCCGAATACTTTAATATTACTTCAAAATGAAAGGAAACTATTTCTATAAAATATGTTAGTCCTTCCAAGCAAATTTTTATCATTTTAAATACATTTAAAAAAAAAAAAAAAATCATGTACCTTCATCAACAGTTCAAAGATGGAATAACACAAGATATGATGAAATACATCCATTTATTTACATGATTTTCAGGTCTTTGAAATTTGGGAAATAATTTTTGTTCCATGTTTCATACATGGTCTGTTTAAAACGTATGTAACTTTAGAACCAAAAATGGAACAGAAAAAAGGTAAACAGTTTCATAAACTAGAGTACATATACTATCTGTTGAATACATTTTTATATCAGATGTATTAACTTCTGCTTGACCGGGCCCAGCTGTTAACATGAAAATTACCTATTCATGACATTGTTGAGGTGGAACAGAGCACTTTGAGCTTTGAGAGTAATAAAACGTTACTCAAACATGGAAAACAAACAAAACATAACTCTAGGAATGCGTTTGATGAGGTAACAACATTGTAGTAAGGCTCAATCCTCACAAGATTCAGTTTTGTGTAATAAAGAAAATATTTAAATGTGCTTCTTTTATTTCTCTAGATTCTCTTCTGGGTGTCAGCAGCTGCCAGGCAAATTCAGAAAATCCGTAAAACGTATTTCCGCAAAGTGATGAGAATGGAGATCGGCTGGTTTGACTGTAACTCGGTCGGGGAACTCAACACGAGAATATCAGAGTAAGTTACACGTTTGTTTTATTTGTATTTTTTCATCTCCTGTCCCTGGAAACAAAACTGTCTCATCTCCAGTGATATCAACAAGATCAACAATGCCATCGCAGACCAGGTTTCTATCTTTATTGAGAGGATTTCTACGTTTATCTTTGGGTTCATGGTGGGCTTTATCGGAGGGTGGAAGCTGACCCTGGTGGTGATCGCGGTCAGCCCTCTCATTGGTCTAGGAGCTGCTCTAATGGCCATGGTAAGAAAAGAAAGCACATATAGAAGTACTGTAGAGGAAGTACTGTACTTAAAGGTGCACTATGTAACTTTTCACCTGCTTGTTTCTATGGATATGTCATTGCTCTGCCTGGAATGCTCCACAGTATGACATTAAACAGCCCTACCTTACGTTTATTCAATTACAGGTCATTTTATAGCTCAAAAATATCTAGTAAAATAAGTATTCTGACTGAGCGGGGTTGCCACTTAGTCTGATTTTGTCTTCATGATATTAGAAAGGATAACATCTCCTTAGAGACAAGTATTTGACGGACCTTCCACCTGAAAAGTTACACAATGCACCTTTAAGTACAAATTTGAGGTATCAATACTTTACTTAAGTACATTTTAAAGTGGATAGTTTTTACTTTTACTTCAGTACATTTGAGAGAAGGTATCAGTACTTTCTGCTCCACTATATTTTCAAACATCATTGAAAAGTAAGGCTACGTTCAGACTGCAGCCTGAAAGTGACCCAAATCTGAAATATGTGATCTTAAAACTGATGCATATCCGATCTTTTGACATGTGACTTTAGTCTGAATGGTCAGGTTGGATGAATGCGACCTCGGTGGCTATTGTACGGTAACAAGCACCTGTTGTGAGCCAATGCGACCCAACGGCGATGCGTTTGCTCACTGAAATAGGCCACCAAAGACGTGTTTCCTCCCGCAAGAGTGACACAAGTAGGCGCTCACAAATGTACACAAACGTTCTTCTTCATATGAAAATTGTGTATGAGTGAAGCAGTGAAGCACATCGCAGTCGAACCACTCTTGGCTGCGACTCCACACCCACACGTTCCTTTCTACAGACGTTGCTGCCACTGCCCCGCAAAACGCCACGGCCAAAAACCTCGCCCTTCTCCTTCTCAGTCTCTTCCTTAAAACAAATAAGCTGTACATGTTCTGACTCTGGTATGACAGCAACTTTAAAATCTCCAGGTGCTCAATGCTGTGTCGATGTTTAGGCGACTTCCGTAAACACTGAGAGCGCTCGCCGTGTGTGTCCAGTGCACATGCAGGGACACTTTTGGGGCATTTAAAGATCACACTGGAGATCACATACAAGTCACATTTAATTAGAAATGTGAACGACCTCATAAAAAAAGAGTACAGGGAATTTAAGTATAGGAGAATGAAAGCTGTACTGAAAAACATGGACCCTCTTTGTTGGTATTGGTTGAGTACTTCCTGTCTCCAGGCCATATCGAGGTTAACCGGGTGGGAGCTGTTGGCGTACGCTAAAGCAGGAGCTGTGGCTGATGAAGTTCTGTCTGCGATCAGGACTGTGGCAGCGTTTGGTGGAGAACAGAAAGAAACAGACAGGTATGTACTCCTCATCTCTACAATTCATTTTCAGTATTTGTTTAAAGGTCTTATATCGCACGAAATTGACTCTTGTGAGCTTTTGGTCACGTGATAATGTTGTTACCTCATCAAAAACAGACCTGAAGTTGTGTTTTGTTTCATTCACACATTTGTTCTCTGTGTGAACGAAACAAAACACAATTGTGGGTGTGTTTTTCTATTATAACATAGATCAGAAAATAGTAATATGGGCCCTTTAATTACTGTACATTGATTTTATTTTTTTCATTTCCAGATATGATCGTAACCTGGAGGAGGCCCAGACTTGGGGAGTGAAAAAGGGAACGATCATTGGAATCTTTCAGGGATATCTGTGGTTCATCATTTTCATGTGTTACGCTCTGGCCTTTTGGTACGGCTCCAAACTCGTCCTAGACACTAAGGAGATGTCCCCTGGTACTCTCATTCAGGTACGGGGACACACCAGCTCTGTCTAGTCAATATCTAGTAAAATTAAAATGACTTAAATTAAGAACATTTTACTTACATTTAAGGTGATTCAACTTGAAAAGTAAAATTATCTACCAATGAAATAAGTGTGTTTTTATGCTTAAAATATGAAAATACATCTTGATACACTTAAGAAAAACAACTTTTTGCACTTAAAACAAGAAACAAAATCGAATGTTGTTTGAATTTAGAAAAAGTCTTCCACTGGCAAATAATTTTATTTGTCAATTGAAATTTACTCAAATCATGATAAAACTTTCCTAATTCAAGTCATCTTAACTTGACAAGATTTCATTTTTTTCCAGTGTATAATTTGTTTTACCATTTTTGCTCAGATAGTTTATCTTTTATTTCATTTTTATTTATATTGTTTTGTATTTATTTTGTGTATCTTTTATCTTTTTTACTATCAGGGTGAAAAATAAGACTAAAGGGAGGGCCACCATGGGATACAGTGTCAACCCCATTTGATGTAGTTTTTCATTGATCAGTCTGGTTCACTTTTATTACGTTCACTTTTTTACAGGTTTTCTTTGGTGTCCTGTCGGGAGCCATAAGTCTGGGACAGGCCTCTCCGTGTCTCGAGGCATTTGCTTCTGGTCGAGCAGCTGCCAAGATCATCTTTGACACAATAGACAGGGTAAGCTGAAAGAAATCTCAATTATATCAATTAAGGCTGCACCATGTGAGAAAAAAACATACAGTATTCCCCTTGTGTGTTTTGAATTGCATTGTATTGTATTTTAAAGGGCTCATATTACTCTATTTTCTGTTCTATGTTATAATGTTGTTTCCTCATCGCAAACACACCTGGAGTTGTGTTTTGTTTCATTCACACGTTTAACACACAAATCTTACATATTTAGCTCTTCTCCCAAACAGAAAACACACTGTTGCACCTTGTGAAGTCATGAGGTAATATAAGAAGTGCTCTACTGTGTTTTTAAACTCCATACACCTTCACTAGAAACATTTGGATCATTTCAGCCCTGGAATTGGTAAAGGGTAGCTGTTAACTTGCAAAGTACCACCTCACAAGGTACAGAGCATATTGAGGATGACTCAAACATGTGTGAATGAAACAAAACACAACTCCAGGTCTGTTTTTGAAGAGGTAACAACATTATAACATGGCTAAAAGCTCAGAGGAGTCACTTTAGCATAATTTCAATTTCAGTGTTGTTTTTACTTGTCAGGAACCACTTATTGACTGTTTATCTGAAGAGGGCCACAAACTCGACAGGGTTAAAGGAGATATTGAGTTCCAGGACATTACATTCTACTACCCATCTCGTCCAGATGTGAAGGTACAATATTTGTTATATTTACAAACAGTTCAAAATATTTTAAAGCTGCATTGTGTAACTTTTCTGGTAGAGAGTGCAACACCTGCTTTTTTTTTTCTATGGATATGTCTTTGCGCTGCCTGGAATGTTCCACAGTATGACATTAAACAGCTCTACCGTACATTTATTTAATTACAGATGGTTTCTGACTATTGTTGTACTACTCCAGACCAGTCTTTATCTCGAGACCAGCCTTGAGATCGTTTTTTTGCGGTCTTCTTCTCGGACTTGATCGCATTTAGACTCGGCCTTGTCTCAGTCTTGAAGGCGTTTGGATTCGGTCTTGTCTCGGTCTTGGAGGAGCTTGCACTCGGTCTTGTCTCGGTCTTGAAGGAGCTTGGTCTTGGTCTTGTCTCGGTCTTGAAGGAGCTTGGTCTTGGTCTTGTCTCGGTCTTGAAGGAGCTTGGTCTTGGTCTTGTCTCGGTCTTGAAGGAGCTTGGACTCGGTCTTGTCTTGGTCTTGGAGGAGCTTGGTCTTGGTCTTGTCTCGGTCTTGAAGGAGCTTGGACTCGGTCTTGTCTCGGTCTTGAAGGTGTTTGGACTCGGTCTTGGTCTCGTCCCGAACTCAACCACACTTGGACTCGGTCTTGTCTCGGTCTTGAAGGCGCTTGGACTCGGTCTTGTCTCGGTCTTGAAGGAGCTTGGACTCGTCTCGGTCTTGTTTTGTCTCGGTCTTGAAGGAGCTTGGACTCGGTCTTGTCTCGGTCTTGAAGGAGCTTGGACTCGGTCTTGTCTCGGTCTTGAAGGAGCTTGGACTCGGTCTTGTCTCGGTCTTGAAGGAGCTTGGACTCGGTCTTGTCTCGGTCTTGAAGGAGCTTGGACTCGGTCTTGTCTCGGTCTTGAAGGAGCTTGGACTCGGTCTTGTCTCGGTCTTGAAGGAGCTTGGACTCGGTCTTGTCTCGGTCTTGAAGGAGGTGTTTGGACTCGGTCTTGGTCTCGTCTCGGATCTTGAAGGCGCTTGGACTCGGTCTTGTCTCGGTCTTGAAGGTGTTTGGACTCGGCCTTGTCTCGGTCTTGAGGTCTGACTAAGATTTATAAAAACATTGATAAATATGTGCCAAAATAACTCTAAAATACAAATAAATGTAGAAAATGACAAAGATGGTCTCGATTTGGTCTTGATGGGCCGTGGTCTTGTCTCAGTCTCGGTCTTTAAAAGTCTTGTCTCGGTCTCGACCCCCAGAGGTCTTGGTCTTGTCTTGGTCTCAGGACCCTGTGGTCTCGGACAGGTCTTGGTCTCGATTAGTCCGGTCTTGACTACAACACTAGATATGTGAAGATGAAAAGGTTTAATGCCAAACTATGAAACATTCCAGACAAAACAATAACAATTCCAATGATAAAATCATTTGACGGACGCTCCACCAGAAAAGTTACACAATGCACCTTTAAATTCCAAAAAGACTTAAAGTGAAATTCCTTTTAGATTTTGAATAAACTGAACATGGAAGTCAAGGCTGGAGAGACCACAGCTTTTGTCGGACCCAGTGGAATGGGGAAGAGCACGACGATCCAGTTAATCCAGAGATTTTATGATCCACATGAAGGAAAGGTAAATATAGATCATTATAAACAGTGGGTGGGGTCTTCTGAAGAATGTATGATGTATGATTTAAAAATTATCATAGCACATAAATACTTGAAAATAATGCAACATCATGTATTTATAATTTGGTGTTGGCAAATACTGTATTTTTGGACTAAGTCGCTCTGGAGTATAAATTGCACCAGCCGAAAAATGCATAATGAAGAAGAAAAAAACAACAGTAAAAATCTATAATATTTGATTTTTTTTGTTTTTTTTTTTTTTTTTTTTACTCAGAATTATGCAGAATCACTTTATTAACTTTAACTCCATTCATAATCATGTAGAGAACATAAATCATAGACTACAACACATAAGACAGAACTGAACCAGGACTTAAAACAGGGCTGAACCAGGACTAAAACAGGGCTAAACCAGGACTAAAACAGGGCTGAAACCAGGACTAAAACAGGACTGAACCAGGACTAAAACAGGACTAAACCAGGACTAAAACAGGACTAAACCAGGTCTAAACCAGGACTAAACCAGGACTAAAACTAGGACTAAACCAGGACTGAACCAGGACTGAACCAGGACTGAACCAGGGACTAAACCAGGACTAAACCAAGGACTGAACCAGGACTAAACCAGGACTAAACCAGGTCTAAACCAGGTCTAAACCAGACTAAACTAGGAACTAAACTCAGGACTAATCTAGGACTTGAGAGCGAGAGAGAGAAGCAGCCCAAGCAGAACTAAACCCGTGGAGTAGAGTGTCCACAAAATTGTAGTTTTGGTTTAGACCTGTTTCAGTCCTGGTTTCAGTCCTGTTTAGTCCTGTTTTAGTCCTTCTTCAGTCCTGGTTTAGTCCTGGTCCTTCATGTCTCAGGTCACTATAGGACAGTCCTGCAGATATCATGAGCCTATGCAGTTTATTATCACCATTGCCAATAGCTCTGGTTTTAAGTTGTAGCTTATTTTATATTTGTTATTTTTTTTATATTTCACATTGGGAGAATCTCACTACACCCCTGGACATGGCCTTTCCACACTGGGAGCAATTAGTACCTTTTTAAAACAGTAAAAGCACAGGCTACATACAGATATTACAGTATAAATACACCACTGAAGTGCAAATATTTTCCTGAGACAATATTTCAATCTTTAGGTCACTCTTGACGGACACGACATCCGCGGTCTGAACATCCAGTGGCTGCGCTCGCTCATCGGGGTCGTGGAGCAGGAGCCTGTTCTGTTTGGCACCACCATCGCCGAAAACATCCGCTACGGTCGTCAAGACGTTTCTATGGACGACATCATTCACGCCGCAAAAGAAGCCAACGCCTACAACTTTATCATGGGCCTGCCACAGGTGAGGACTCATACCGTGTAAATATAACGTTTATGTAACTCCTTTTTGAGTAGTACAGCTGCTTATGAAAAAACACGAAGCAAAAAGTTTCATTCATTTCCATTGAGAGAAGGTTGGAAGTCTGAATCTGTGTATCATTCGTTCTTTCGTTTTTCAATATAAAACCAAAAATAACAAAATGAAAAAAACAACAGTTTTCTTCATTATTGTCTTTTTTTCAGTTTCGATTTTGTGTTTAAATGAATAATGGAAAAAACGGATAATGGACGTTTCCTGTTTCCGTGACTTAAACTGCAATGCCGGATGTTTGCGCTGCATACGGACTGAACCAGGACTGAACCAGGACTGAACCAGGACTGAACCAGGGCTAAACCAGGACTGAACCGTTTTCAGTCCTGGTCTGGTCCCAGTCTGGTCCTGGTTTCAGTTCTGGTCTGGTCCCAGTCTCAGTCTTGGTCTGGTCTTGGTCTCAGTCCCGCTCTCAGTCCCGGTTGCAGTCCCGGTCCTAGTCCCGGACTCGTCCTGGTCTGGTCCTGGTCTCAGTCCTGGTCTCAGTCCTGGTCTCAGTCCCATTCTGGTACTGGTCTGGTCCAGGACCTGGTTTAGTCCTGATTCCGTCCTGGTTCAGTCCGTATGTGGTGCAAAAGTCCAGCATCACAGTTTAAGTCACGTAAACGGGAACTGGATGTTATCTGTTTTTTCATTTTGGTTTTGGAGACAAATAATGAAGAAAATTGTTGTTTTTTCATTTTCTTATTTTTGGTTTTATTTTGAAAAAGGAATGAACGAATGATACACAGATTGGGTTGAATTCCGCCCATCTGACAATGTTTAAACAGGTTCTCAGTGTTATCCCAGCTCCCACAGGTGTCATTGTGTCATTGTGTCATTGTGTCATTGTGTCCTTGGGCACGACACTTAACACACTTCAAGCCCCAGTGTCTGCATTCAGTGTTGTACAAATTTGTGTGTGAATGTGTGGTTCCCTATTTGCTTTGTAAATCTCTGCATAATAATGTACAGTAAAACATACCATAAAAGATCAGGTCAACTAAACTAATATAAGTATCTATCTTTACAGGTCTTTTAACTTCCTTTATTTATTCATTTTAGTTTATTAAAAGATTATTACTAATTTTGAGTTTGTATTGTTTTTCAGAAATTTGAGACTTTAGTTGGAGAAGGAGGAGGACAGATGAGTGGAGGGCAGAAACAGAGAATCGCCATTGCTCGAGCTCTGATCAGAAATCCTAAAATCCTTCTGCTGGACATGGCCACGTCTGCTCTGGACAACGAGAGTGAGGCTGTGGTACAAGAAGCACTGGATAAAGTAAGAAGCCTGTATATTTAAAGGTTCTATATTACACAAAACTGACTCTTATCAAGTTAAAGCCGTATTATAATGTTGTTACCTGCTCAAAAACAGACCTGGAGTTGTGTTTTGTTTCATTCACACATGTTTGAATGAAAATGTATTATTAGTCTGTTTACATCTCCAAAGCTTGAAATATTCTGTTCCACCTTGTGATGTCATGTAGTGGTAGCTTTCAAGTTAACAGCCACCTCTTAACTTTTGTTCAGTATAGCACTACAGTTTATGCAAATTAGTCATGCGGTTTTAAGTTCATAAGACATCAAAAAATCTTGCAAAGCTGCATTAAACACATTGTAAACAGGCTGATGTGGTTCTATAGAAATAGTCTCTATGTTGTAGTTTAGTAATGTAAAGTTTATTTATGCAGAAGATTTTAATTAAGTATCTGCTGCAGTATAACATGTATAATGGTCAGTTTGATCTGCGCAGTGGATTGTGGGATGCTTCAGAGCTCCTGCTGGTGAGGAACATGGATCTATTAAAATAAGGAACCTCCTGAACTTCCTCTGCTAAAGGAGCTCATGTTTACTGTAGATTAACAGAGTTAATGCAAAGATGAACCTGAGTTGAGTTGAGTAGTTTTAACTTTGAATGAAAAGAAGGTAATATGTACAATTTCTTTATTATAATTCTAATAATTATGAAGTTATTATTTTTGTATAAAGGGATGTTTTTTAATGTCACAGAAGCACTTTGTTCCTAAATGAACATGGTGGCATTTGGCGTTTTTTTTTTTTTTTGCAGTAGTTTTGGGGGGTTATTGTTTCCTGTACAGATATGGAGATATATATCGTATATCAAGATATAGCAAAATATATCGAGATATATTTTTTGGTCCATATTGCCCAGTTCTACTGTGAAACGTTCCAGACAAAGCAATAACATAGGGTGGCCATATTTCCATTTGTGAAAACCCGGACACCTTACCGGGGGTGAGAGGTGGGGCCTCGACACTGAGCTACTCTCACCTCGCAACCTGTGCATATGGCCTCCCACTTGCCCCGACCGAGATGGAAAACGGGGAATTTCTTGTGCAAGTCATCGTTAAATGCAGATTTGCAGACTGACCGACTATTTGTGTCTGCTCGCTCGCTCTGAGTTTCAGAGAGCTACGAGAGCCGCTCAATTTAATGGCCCCAATGAAAGATCATAAAAACCTGGACATTTCCACCACTTAAAAAAAAACAAAACAACAGACGCCCAGGACAGAACGCAAAAAACCGACATGTCTGGGGAAAAATGGGCATTTGGTCATCCTAGAAATATCATCTCCATGGAGAAAAGCATCTGACGGACCCTCCACCAGAAAAGTTACACAGTGCACCTTTAAATTAATGTGTTTTGTTTGCAGGTTCGACAGGGCAGAACGACCATCTCCATCGCTCACAGACTGTCCACTATTCGAAACGCAGACGTGATCATCGGGTTTGACCACGGGCAGGCGGTGGAGAGGGGCACTCACTCTGAACTGATCGAGAAGAAGGGAGTTTACTTCACACTGGTGACGCTACAGAACCAAAGTACAACCAGCAAAAGTAACGGTAAGTCAGAGATGGGTAGTAGTTACTTAAAGAAATTCAGAGTACTTTTCCAGCAGCATACTTTTACTCCTACTTGAGTAATATTTTTATTGAAGTAACAGTACTCTTACTTGGGTTAAAGTTGTGGTTCCTCTTTCCGCTGTGAGTAAGTTTAAAGGCCTGTTTACACGAGAACGTTTGCGGGTCAAAATTACAAAATATTTTATTGGAAGTGCCTTTCGTTTAGACGGTGACAGCATTTTTTTTGCATTTTCTCATGGTACGATATTTATTGCGATATTTTGGAGTGGCAAATAAAAGGCTGATACGACACTTTTCTGCTTTTAAATTACCATGACAAGATTTTGGTGTGAATTATTACTGTCAGAATCTCAAGAATTCATGTAAAAAACATATTTCTTCATGTTGTCTGCGTTGAAATGAATCATGAGATATGTAGTTTCCTATGTTTATAAGCTGTTCCTACTAAAGAACAATGTATTTAAGCAAAGGAACTTATAATTCGATATATGGTGACAGCTCTCGATATTATTGTGAGACTTCTGACGAAATCCCTGGTCTGAAATTGTCCAAATGATTCTCGTGAAGTTTTACACTGAGTTTAAAAACACAGTGGAGCCCTTTATGTATTAGTGTTTTCAGTTTGAGAGGAGAACTCAGCCTAAATATGCAGTTTTTATGTGTTAAATAAGTGTGAATGAAACAAAAACAACATTATAACTGCATAATATGAGCTCTTTAAATGATTAATCTCTATATTTAATTTGTACATTAGAGCAAGAGAAAATCAGTCAGTTCTTTTAAATGTTTTTCCACCATTTTGTTTCCTCTCTTTACATGCTTGTGTGTTGAGTGAATTGGATATTGAGCGCTCAGCAGGGGCCAGAGGTTAGTTAACCCTATAGGCCCGTGTGTCCTTCTGAGGGCCGCAGGAAGCTTTGGAATTAAGATTGATTTGTGATTTCAGATGGACTCACAGAATCTCCTGAAGAGGGCTCTGATCAAAGGGGGCGATCTCTGAGCCAACTTAGCCACAAGTCCAGCCTGAGGTAAAATGTGTTTGATAAAAATAGTTATATTCTGTACAGAAATTATTGTAGAATTGTTAAAGAGCCCATATGATGCTGTTTTCTGATCTATGTTATAATTTTCTGCATCAAAAACAGACCTGGAGTTGTGTTTTGTTTCATTCAGTCAGATTTAACACACAAATCCTGCGTATTTAGGTTGGGTTCTTCTCTCAAACTAAAAACACTCTGTTCCACCTCGTGATGTCATGTGTGCTCCACCGTGCTTTTAAATTCCATACACTTTCACTAGAATCATTTGGATAATGTCAGCCCTGGAAATGCCAATCTCTACTGAACTAAAGATAAAAAAAGATAGCTGTTTTTTTGTTTTGTTTGTTTGTTTGTTTTTTTAATCAAATTTTTATCCAAGTGTTATTATTTGCAGTTATACATATTCTCCCTTTTAAACTCTACACCTCCCACCCTTAAACTTCCACATATGTACACACACATAAATACACATAAATACATATCTAGAATACACACACATATACATATATACAGCATCTACATATACACATATATACACATATTATATTATATATACATATATACATACATATTTATACACATACACACACACACACACAAAAAAAAACAACAACAACACACATGTCCAGGTTAATATTCCCTTTATACAAAAATCAAAAGACAACAGCAGAAATTGCGTTACATATACTTGTCATGATGTACCATGCACAATAAATTAACTAGGAGTATACATATTGGTAAAAGATAGCTGTTAACTACTGCTTCATGACATCACAAGGTGGAAGAGAGCATTTTGAGCTTTGGAGATGTAGACAAACTAATATTAAAAGATTACTCAAACGTGTGAATGAAACAAAACACACCTCCAGGTCTGTTTGTGATGAGTTAACAGCATTATAACATGGCTTAAAGCTCACAAGAGTACATTTTAATTTATTTTTTTGTTTCGTTTTAGGGGTTCCATCCGACTTCTTCGATCTCAGAGTCACAGGTCACGTGATTATGTGCCAGACGCAGTAGCGGGAAGCCTTCAAATCGGTTCCAGCAAAGAGATGGAAGATATAGAGGTAGGCCAATTGTGCTGTAAGAGGTGAAGAGGGTGTGGCTCATTGTTTTCAGTGAATATAGCATTTTCACAACAATAAAAGGTAACACGATGATCTAAATATGTTGTGTGTTTAAGGTCCTATATTCCCCCAAATGGACTCTTGGGAGCTTTAAGCCATATTACAATGTTGTTACCTCCTCAAAAACAGACCTGGAGTTGTGTTTTGTTTCATTCACCTGTTTGAGTAATCCTGCACTATCAGGCTGTCTTCATGTAGTGGTAGTTTTCAAGGTAACAGCTACATTTTACATTTTGTTTAGGAGAGATTGGCAGTTCCAGGGTTGAAAGTTTAAAAACACAAATTACCACATGACATCATAAGGTGAAAAGGTGTTACCAGTTTGAGAGAACTCAGTCTAAATATGCAGGGTTTGTGTGTTAAACATGTGTGAATGAAAAAAAAAACACAACTCCAGGTCTGTTCATGATCAGGAAACAACATTCAAACATAGATCAGAAAATAGAATAATATGAGCCCCTTAATAACTGCAGCTTTTATAATTGCACAATTGAAATTAGTGATAATAAAGTGACCTTAAAGCAAACGAAACAAATGAACTTAGTAAAACTAACTAAATTGTGTTCCCCCTTTGTTGATTCATTCACGGTCTCTCCCGAGTGTCCTCCGTCCGACACTCAAAAAAGTAAATAATTCAGACTTATATTAACTAAAATGTGTGCACCCAAATTAGAATATAAGTCTAAATAAAGGAATTAAATTATGTGTAATGTAATTAACTTAATGTAAATGAAATGAAATAATACTGACATTGTGGAGTGGTGGCAGAGGTATCCATCACACACCTGCTCCCGCATTGTGCACTGCCGCTCTCGCCTGTGCACTCAATGAGCTTTTCAAAATATGTCACTGTTTTGCATCGGGTCCCGTGGTTGCAGGGCTCTATTTTTGAGCTATAAAACCACCTGTAATTGTATAAATGTAATGTACATTCCAGGCAGAGCAATGACACATCCATAGAAACAAGCAGGTGACAGAGCCCCAACCAAAAAGTTACATAGTGCACCTTCAACTTGAGTTTTGCTTCCATTTCAATGTTATACTCAAAAGTTATTGCATGTTGATGTCTTAGGAGGAGCAGCCAGAGGAGTCGGCCCCTGTGACCCGTATACTGAAGTACAACCAGCCCGAGTGGCCCTACATGGTGCTGGGTTCAGTGGGAGCAGCTGTCAACGGATCCATCAACCCCATCTACGCAGTCCTCTTCAGCCAGATCCTGGGGGTAGGACTTTGGATTTGACAAGTTATCAGCTTTGATTTGAAATCTTTTATAATCATATTTTGGGTATGACTTGGTTTTAGAGCCCCTATAGTTTAAAAAAAGTCAGAAATTTATGGTGAAATTTGCCGTATAGCTGTGGAATTGAAGATTTGTTGACCTGGATTATGGTTCATATCTCTATAATTACTTGACTTATCCATATGAACACAAAACTCACGTCTTCTTCGTGAGTAAAATAAACAAAAGTGAAATTGAAGTGAAGAGTTTTCTCAGTAGTAGTAGTCAGAAGGAGCTGCCATTATTCAACTACGAAGAAATTTAAGATGTAAGATTGCAGGTTTATGGACCCAATTCCTAACAAATAGTGATAAGGTTCAACGTTTGTGAATTTCTATTTTGCTTTCTTCTTTAAAAACCATAAAAGTTGAGTTACACAGGCCCTGTCCCCTCCACCTGAAACTCGGACAGCATCAATTTCTCAAATGTAATTGCCAATGTTTGATAATTTACAGACACATGGCTATGAGTGTGTGTGTTTGCATGTGTTTGTGTTTGTGTGTGCATTTATAGAGGAATGGTCAGTAAATACCATATTTACTGACAAAATTTCAAAACTTTTCCTGATCTTTCCAGATTTTTCATGACCTAAAGTGAATTTTCCATGACTTTCCATGGACTGTACATGTATAAAACTGATCAGACTTTTAGAGCTAAATATGAAATGTAAATAAGAGAACGTTGTAGTTGCGTGAAAGAGATACTAAAATTCCATGACTTTTCCAAAACTTTCATTGAATCTACAAAATTCTATGACTTTTCCTGGATTTCCATGACTGTTGGAACCCTGCATAGTGATACAAACATTGCGTAATACGTTTTTACAAAATATAAAATGGATTTAAGCAACACATTTTCTGTATCGTTCAACAAAATGGCAGGAGTGACTGACTGAAAATGCTTGCTTGTGATTGCAATTTTATTTGAAAGGGACTTGCTGTCAGACTGTGTTAAAACAAAGCTCAGATTAAAATGTAACTTTAGTAATTGAGCTTGAGCTATTATTTGTGTAATCCACAGACCTTCGCCATCCCAGACCCGGTGGAGCAGACGAGACAGATCAATGGAGTGTGTGTGCTGTTCTGCATTGTGGCCGTCGTCAGCGTCTTCTCTAATTTTCTACAGGTTTGTACCAAAGATCAGAATCATATTATTTTTGTTGTTCTGGATTCACACACGGAGTACGAAAGTAAAAGTATGGCAAAGGAGAAATTCAATTCGGTCAACTGGACAAAAGTTTTTAGTCTTTCTCGCTTATAATTAGTCCAAAATTTTGCTGTGCGCCTTTTAACTGTAACCAAAAAACGTGAGAATATTACCCCGATTTTAGCGCCGTTGCACTGTGTCCCTCTTATTTTATTTATTTACTGCTATTTTATGTTTTTTTGCTTTTATTTGCTTTTATTGATTTTATTGTTTTAGGACTGGTGTGACCAAATTTTAGCAATTTATCTTTTTGTTGTCTTCATTTTATGATCTCTCTGCAGCACTTTGGAAACTACTTTGTTTGTAAATGGATTTGATGCTGTTTTCGTGATGTATTTTAGGGTTATGCGTTCGCCAAGTCTGGAGAGCTGCTGACCCGTCGGTTGAGGAGACTGGGCTTCCAGGCGATGCTGAGGCAGGACGTGGGCTGGTTCGATGACCCAATGAACAGCCCTGGAGCTCTGACCACCAGACTGGCCACAGACGCCTCCATGGTGCAAGGGGTGAGAGATGCACCACACTGCCAAAAGTCAAATACAGCCATGTTAAAATAATCTGAAGTAAGAAAATGTGATATTTGTTTTATATCAGTGAGAGTTTAGAGAGGGGTGGCAATATTTCAGCGCAAAGTCAATTGTCACTGAACCAGGACTAAACCAGAACTGAACTAGGAGTCTTGGGATGGGCCTGGAGGTGCGCCCGCGAACATCAGTGCAAAGCTCCGCACCCCTCGGGGCTAAGCCCAGCGGTCGCCCAATCGTGCTTTGCGGACACCCTCCTCGGGGGGCTCGGGGTCCCGTCTCTCTCTCTCTCAAGTCCAAGATTAGTCCTGGTTTAAACCTAGTTTAGACCTGGTTTAGTCCTGGTGTAGTCCTGGTTCAGTCCTGGTGTAGTCCTATTTTAGTCCTGTTTTAGTCCTGGTGTAGTACTGTTTTAGTCCTGGTTTAGTCCTGGTTCAGCCCTGTTTTAGTCCTGGTGTAGTTCTATTTTAGTCCTGTTTTAGTCCTGATTCAGTCCTGGTTTAGTCCTGTTTTAGTCCTGGTTTAGTCCTGTTTTAGTCCTGGTGTAGTCCTATTTTAGTCCTGTTTTAGTCCTGGTGTAGTACTGTTTTAGTCCTGTTTTAGTCCTGATTCGGTCCTGGTTCAGTCCTGTTTTAATCCTGGTTTAGTCCTGGTTCAGTCCTGTTTTAGTCCTGGTGTAGTCCTGTTTTAGTCCTGTTTTAGTCCTGGTTCAGTCCTGTTTTAGTCCTGGTTCAGTCCTGTTTTAGTCCTGGTCCAATCCTGTTTTAGTCCTGGTTTTGACCTGGTTTATTCCTGGCTCAGTCCTGGTTCAGTCCTGATGTCTCCAATTGTGTCCCCCCACTTAAAAAATCCCCACTACACCCCTGATTCTCAACAGCTGCATCTCTGTGTGAGAAGGAAAGACGTTTCATAATTCATTCATTCTCTTTCTCTTTCTCAGGCCACAGGTTCACAGATCGGGATGATCGTGAACTCCCTCACCAGTATCTGCGTCTCCTTCATCATCGCCTTCTACTTCAGCTGGAAACTCACTCTGGTCATCATGTGCTTCCTCCCCCTCCTGGGGCTGTCTGGACTCTTTCAGTCGAAAATGTTGACTGGCTTTGCAAATGAAGACAAAAAGGCCCTGGAGGCAGCCGGTCAAGTGAGTACTGTCAACACTCTCCATTTTAAAGCACAAGGTTAGGGTGACCAAACGTCTGTTTTTCCCCGGACATGTCCCTATTTTGCGTCCTGTCCTGGGCTTCCGTTTTTGTTTTGTTTTTATAAAGTGATGCAAATGTCCGGGTTTTCATTACCGTTCATTAGGGGCATTAAACTGAGCGTCTCTCGTAGTTCTCTCTGACTCAGAAGGAGCGAGACACAAACAGTCGGTCAGTCTGCAACATGGCGAAGCACAAATGTGCATTTAACAATGACTTACATACAAGAAATTCTCCGTTTTCCGTCCTGGTCGGGACAAGTGTGAGTCCATGTGCACAAGTTGTGAGGTGAGAGTACAGTGTCCCTCGTTTATCGTGGGGGTTACGTTCTAAAAATAACCCGCGATAGGTGAAATCCACGAAGTAGTCTGCTTTATATTTTACAATTATTCTGTCTGTTTTAAGTCTGTAAAACCCCTCAGCACAAACTTTATACACTTTTCTCAGACAGGACAGGTGCAACACTTTTTACATCCTTCTTAAAACTGATTGCTGCTGTCGTCCTTTTGTTATTTTCCTCCTTCTTTATGTAACGAACTGAAGATTCATTTATTCCATAATGGAGCTCTCCAGCACAGAGTCCTGCACGGGGCCATTTTTGGAGACTCGCAGTACAGGACCACACCCGCGCAGTACAGGACCGCACCTGCCTGTTAACCCGAGATTATATCAAACTTTTGCGCTGCCTATGCCACGGACTGAACCAAGACTAAACCAGGACTAAAACAGGACTGAACTAGGACTAAAACAGGACTGAACTAGGACTAAAACAGGAGTAAACCAGGACTAAACTAGGACTAAACCAGAACTGAAACAGGACTCATTGTCAGGATGGGCTCATAGGTGACTGCAGGAGAAACGGCGAGAGCGCAAAAGGTGAACCGCGATATATCGAGGGACGATGTAGCTCTATGTCGAGGCCCCACCTCCCAGCCCCGGTAAAGTGTCCGGATTTTCACAAATGGAAATATGGTCACCCTACACAAAGTAGATTCTCGTCATAATTATAACTTCACAAACTCACAGGAATCTTGTTTTTGTTTATTTGTTTTTGAAATGGAAAACTGAAATAACAAACTGTTTTCCCATTTTATTGTTTTTCGTTCTTAATTGAAATTCTAAAGAACAAATGGTACACTGACAATTTAACGATCAATCTGAAACTGAAGTGAGCTGACTCAAAAAGAATGTGTATAAAAAACTCTGAACTTTACCTGTAGTATCTCTTTAATGTGTACGTGCGATAACAGGATAAAGACTTGAGTCCAGTTTCTCTGTTTGTGTTTTTTTGCAGGTGTCCAGTGAAGCTCTGTCCAACATCAGGACCATCGCGGGTTTGGCCAAGGAGAACAAGTTTGTGGAGGCCTACGAACATCTGCTGGAGGCTCCGTTTAAAGCCGCCATAAAGAAAGCCCACGTGTACGGCATCTGCTTCGGTTTCGCCCAGTGTGTCATCTTCATGGCCTACGCTGCCTCCTACTGGTTTGGAGGATACCTGGTCAGCACAGAGGGACTGTCGTACACTTATGTTTTCCGGTTGGTTGTTTTACTTTTTCAGTAGTAAAGGTCGTATATTACACAAAATTTACTCACTTGACGATTCAGTCACATTAAAATGCTGTCACCTCATCCCTGGAGTTGTGTTACATGTGTGTTCTACATTCACACATGTTTGAACAAGTTTCCAAAGCTCAAAATGCAAAATTCATTTCACACTGTAATGTCATTTAGTGGTAGTGTTAAAGGTAGTGTTAGGGCCTGTCCACATGATAGCGTTTTTTGGTTGAAACTGTGAAGTTTTTATTCATTTTGGCCTTTCGTCCACATGGAGCTGGCATTTCAGGGGGTGAAAATTATGTTTTTTGAGAACGGGTTCCATCCATCCATCCATTTTCGTCCGCTTATCCGGGGCCGGGTCGCGGGGGGAGCAGCCTAAGCAGGGACTCCCAGACTTCCTTCACCCCAGACACGTCCTCTCCAGCTCCTCCGGGGGGACCCCGAGGCGTTCCCAGGCCAGCCGAGAGACATAGTCCCTCCAGCGTGTCCTGGGTCTTCCCCGGGGCCTCCTCCCGGCGGGACATGCCCGGAACACCTCCCGAGGGAGGCGTCCAGGAGGCATCTGGAACAGATGCCCGAGCCACCTCAACTGGCTCCTCTCGACGTGGAGGAGCAGCGGCTCTACTCCGAGCTCCTCCCGTGTGACTGAGCTCCTCACCCTATCTCTAAGGGAGCGCCCAGCCACCCTGCAGAGGAAACTCATTTCGAGCGCTTGTATCCGCGATCTCGTCCTTTTTCGGTCACTACCCAGAGCTCATGACCATAGGTGAGAGTAGGAACGAAGACTGACTGGTAAATCGAGAGCTTCGCCTTTCGACTCAGCTCCCTCTTCACCACAACGGTCCGATACAGCGACCGCATCACTGCCGAAGCTGCACCGATCCGCCTGTCAATCTCACGTTCCGTCCTTCCCTCACTCGTGAACAAGACCCCGAGATACTTGAACTTCTCCACTTGAGGCAAAGACTCCCCACCCACCCGGAGAGGGCAAGCCACCTTTTTCCGGTCGAGAACCATGGCCTCGGACTTGGAAGAGCGTCCGCAAACAGCAGAGATGAAATCCTGTGGTCCCCAAACCGGACCCCCTCCGGCCCCTGACTGCGCCTAGAAATTCTGTCCATAAATACAATGAACAGAACCGGTGACAAAGGGCAGCCCTGGCGGAGTCCAACATGCACCGGGAACAGGTCTGACTTACTGCCGGCAATGCGAACACAGCTCCTGCTCCGGTCATACAGGGACCGGACAGCCCTTAGCAAAGGGCCCCAGACCCCATACTCCCAGAGCACCCCCCCACAGGACACCACGAGGGACACGGTCGAATGCCTTCTCCAGATCCACAAAACACATGTGGACTGGTTGGGCAAACTCCCATGAACCCTCGAGCACCCTATGGAGAGTGTAGAGCTGGTCCAGTGTTCCACGGCCAGGACGAAAACCACACTGCTCCTCCTGAATCCGAGGTTCGACTATCGGCCGGATTCTCCTCTCCAGTACTCTGGCATAGACCTTACCGGGAAGGCTGAGAAGTGTGATCCCCCTATAGTTGGAACACACCCTCCGGTCCCCCTTCTTATACAGAGGGACCACCACCCCGGTTTGCCAGTCCAGAGGTACTGTCCCCGACCGCCACGCGATGTTGAAGAGGCGTGTCAGTCAAGACAGCCCCACAACATTCAGAGACTTCAGGTACTCAGGACGGATCTCATCCAACCCCGGAGCCTTGCCACCAAGGAGCTTGCCAAACCACCTCAGTGACTTCGGCCAGGGTGATGGATGAGTCCGCCTCCGAGTCCCCAGCCTCGGCCTCCTCCTCGGAGGACGTGACGGTGGGATTGAGGAGATCCTCAAAGTATTCCTTCCACCGCCGGACAACGTCCCCAGTCGAGGTCAACAGCTCTCCCCCCGCACTGTAAACAGTGTTGGTGAAGAACTGCTTTCCCCTCCTGAGGCGCCGGACGGTTTGCCAGAATCTCTTTGAGGCCGTCCGATAGTCCTTCTCCATGGCCTCCCCGAACTCCTCCCAGCTCCGAGTTTTTTGCCTCCGCGACCACACGGGCTGCAGCACGCTTGGCCCGCCGGTACCTGTCAGCTGCCTCAGGAGTCCCCCGAGCCAGCAAGGCCCGATAGGACTCCTTCTTCAGCTTGACAGCATCCCTTACTTCCGGTGTCCACCACCGGGTTCTGGGGTTGCCGCCGCGACAGGCACCACAGACCTTACGCCCACAGCTCCGAGCAGCTGCATTGACAATAGAGGCCGAGAATGAAGCCCACTCGGACTCCATATCTCCAGCCTCCCCCGGAATCCGGGAGAAGTCCTCCCGGAGGTGCGAGTTGAAGGTCCCTCTGACAGAGGGCTCCGCCAGACGTTCCCAACAGACCCTCACTACACGCTTGGGCCTGCCAGGTCTTTCCGGCTTCCTCCTCCGCCAGCGAACCCAACTCACGACCAGGTGGTGATCAGTTGACAGCTCAGCCCCTCTCTTCACCCGAGTGTCCAAGACACGCGGCCGGAGATCAGATGACACGACGACAAAGTCGATCATCGACCTCCGGCCTAGGGTGTCCTGGTGCCACGTGCACTTATGGACACCCTTGTGCTCGAACATGGTGTTCGTTATGGACAAACTGTGACTAGCACAGAAGTCCAATAACAAAACACCACTCGGGTTCAGATCGGGGAGGCCGTTCCTCCCAATCACCCCTCTCCAAGTGTCACTGTCGTTGCCCACGTGGGCGTTGAAGTCCCCCAGGAGAACAACGGAGTCCCCGGTCGGTGCACTGTCTAGTACCCCTCCCAAGGACTCCAAGAAGGCCGGGTACTCTGCACTGCTGTTCGGCCCGTAGGCCGACACCACAGTGAGAGACCTGTCCCCGACCCGAAGGCGCAGGGACGCGACCCTCTCGTTCACCGGGGTGAACTCCAACACACAGCGACTGAGCTGTGGGGCAATGAGCCCACACCAGCCCGCCGCCGCTCCCCGCGGCCAACGCCAGAGAAATGGAGAGTCCAGCCCTCTCAAGGAGTTGGGTTCCAGAGCCCAAACTGTGCGTGGAGGTGAGGCCGACTATATCTAGTCGGTAACGCTCAACCTCCCGCACAAGCTCAGGCTCCTTCCCCCCCAGCGAGGTGACATTCCATGTCCCCAGAGCTAGTCTCCATGTCCGGAGATCCGGTCGCCGAGGCCCCCGCCGTCGACTGCTGCCCAGATCTCTCTGCACCGGCCCCATATGGATCCTCCTGCGGGTGGTGGGCCCACGTGAGGACGGCCCCATGTCGCTCCTTCGGGCTGAGCCCGGCCGAGCCCCGTGGGGGGAGGCTCGGCCACCAGGCGCTCGCTGGCGAGCACCCACCCCAGGCCTGGCTCCAGGGTGAGGCCCCGGTGACGCCAATCCGGGCGACGTAACTGGCCTTGCTCGTACACTCATCATAGGGGCTTCTGAACCGTTCTTCGTCTGACCCGTCCCCCCGGACCTGTTTGCCTTGGGTGACCCTACCAGGGGCATGAAGCCCCCGACAACATAGCTCCCGGGATCATTCGGGCACTCAAACCCCTCCACCACGATAAGGTGACGGTTCAAGGAGGGGAGAACGGGTTCCAGAGTGGAGAAATCTGAGAACGCCAGTGTTGAGTTGTCATGTAGACAAGCAAACCGCAGCTTTTGGAAAACAATGACGTCACGACCTTGTCATCGCCAGAGTCTCCCGATGCAGCAAAGGCTGCAACCCTCGAACTAACCTCAGCAGACTGCAAGACCGTTGCCAAAATGGGACAGGTATAGTCCACAGAGCTGCTCCTATTACCCGGCAACCGAGACACGATGCTAACGCTAATCGTAACAACACTCACCACAGATTGAGCACACGGATCAATAACAAAGATTACACATGCGTATTTAAACTGTTGGATTTGGAGACCAAGTTATTCTAATAATTCTCATCCCAATCTTATGGCTAAAAATGAAAATTTAAAATAGGCTAAATTACATTAAAGTAAAAAAAAAAAACTGTGATGAGATATGCATTATTAAATATTATTATCATGTTAACAGCACCACATACAGGTGTGGCAGATGTATTACATCGTTTTTACTCAGTGCTCCGTTGTCGTCTGGATGTGAATATTTATTGATCCAACATGCGGATGTGATTTTTTTTCAACCCACTAAAAAATAAATAAATCCAGGAGCGTTGTCGTGTGGACGTAGTCTTAAAGTTGAACTTCTTTACTCTTTAATAATCCAGAATAACCTGAAGTTGTTGCTTTTACCGTTTAAATATTTGTTTTCCTTTTGTTCAGTCGAGATTGTATGAAGTATAAAACAGTGCAACATTTCTTATATTACCACTTAATCACAGTAAGCGCACATTTACTTGAATAATTTGGATGATTTGACAGCCCTAGAATCTCTACTGAACTAAAATTGAATGGTAGCTATTAATTGGAAAGTTGAAAACTACCACCACATCACAAGGTGGTACAGAGCATTTCGAGCTTTGGAGATGTAGACAAACTAACAAACCAGGTTTACTTAAACGTGTGAATGAAACAAAACATAACTCTGGGTATGTTTTTGAGGAGGTAACACCATTATGACATGATTTAAAGCTCACAAGAATCTTTTTTTTCTGTAATATAGGACTTTTAAATAAAAATATAAGGAATCATAGATAGATAGATAGCATTTCCCTGTTTTGGGAGTATATTAAAGTATACTACAAAGGTGCATTGTTGTGTTTCCAGGGTCATTGCTACAGTTGTAGTCAGTGGCACAGCGCTGGGCAGAGCCTCGTCCTTCACTCCAGATTACGCCAAAGCCAAAATCGCCGCCGCTCAGCTTTTCAAACTCCTCGACCGAGTGCCCAAGATCAGCAACAGCCCCACAGATGGACAGAAATGGGTTAGTATCAAATGTAACTTCAAATTCTTACTTAGTGTTTTTAAAAGAGGACGTATTTGTTTTGCAAGAACTCTGAAAGTTGTAGACTGCGAAGAGCTGTGAAGCCATGACGTCAAACTCAAGCACCTGTCTGGGTCCATTTTGTGGTACAGCACAACAGTAAACACAGTGGTTGAGATGGAAGATGAAGACATACATTCTGTGATGGCAACGATTCCCGAGATCGAGGATTTAAAGCCGGAACAAAGAGAATGTTTGGTGAATTTTATCAAGGGGAAAGACGTTATTGCCCTTCTTCCTACGAAATTTGGGAAAAGCTTAATATACCAGTTAGCCTCATTACCGGCGCATTACATACGTCATGACCAAATAGCAGCGACTGGTTAAATAAAAAAGTATCCGCCTATTGTTGAGCGAATGAATTCTAATGCTGCAAGGTCAGACGGTTTCCACGAAGTGAAACTGGCTGATGAATTAGTCTAAAATAATGGTCCTTTAAGCTTCCATCTGTAAGTTTATTTGACTTTTTTGATACCAGTAGATGGCTTTCTGGCAGTCTTCTGTCAAACCAAAGCTGGTACACTATCAAACTGCAGTAACGTAGTGGTGTAATGCGAAAACACAACACGGGTGTGTCAGCCAGTCTAATTACAGATTAACTTCCTGACTGACTTCACCACCAATTTTCTGAGCACTTGGGCCTCAAATGCAGGACAATACAGGATTACTCAAACATAAATGTCTGTTAAAATTATAGACATAAATGGACACAGCTAATCCCTTAGCCGCTGCATTCCAAATATCAAGTAAGCATGGGTGCTCGTCCAGCTCCAGCTGTCAGACTTGTCATTTTGATCTTAACCCTCTCAGGCTCAAATTAAATTTTAGTAACTGGAAAAAATCTGATATTTGGGGAAAATGATCATATGGGGTAGTAATATACAATCCTGACTTTTTTTTGAGAGAGACCTTCACATCCATTGCTTCCTGGGATGTTGCAGATTTGCAGCTTTAGTCCAGTGTGTTAAATTAACACTGAAGACTGAAAATGAAATGAACACTAACTTCATGTGTATACCACTTTTTATAACAATGAAAACATAAAGCACAGTGTAACAGCTTTACAGTGGCAGAACAACATCACTTTTTCGTGTGGTTCTCCAAGAAACAATTTTTATCCTTTATAAACAACAAAAGTACTTTGCACTTCTGGCAGGCTGTTTGTGTGTAGCCATTTTTGCACAGTCTACATCGTCCACATTTATCAGCATGGATGGGAAAAAAGGCTCCTGAGTAAAAAAAAGTTCATAAAATATGGATTTGGAGTAAATAGGTAACTGGCATTTAGCTGTTGCAAATCTGCAACGCCTGCCTGGAGAGGGTTAAAATGTTCATATTAACCCACACTTACTACTTTTATTTAGCTATTTTGTCCATAAATCAAGATATGAACATGAATAACAGACAAATCAGACCCCTTCTTTCCCTGTAGTCACTCCCAATAGATGTTGCTAATAGGTTTGAATGACAGCGTTCCTATAACTGCGAACCTCGAAATGAGCTGAGCCTCTTTCACTCTCCCTTCGTCCACTTCTTTATAGAGTCCATGATTAAAATACAACTCTGGGCAATGACGAGAAAACATTACTTTACCCGGTTACTACTCATAATCGTAAATTTTACATAATATTTCCCCTTTAATATTGTTTTCCTGTTTTTTTTTAGGATGATTTCAGGGGTCAGATCGAGTTCCAGGGCTGTAAGTTCACATACCCGACGCGGCCGGACACGCAGGTTCTGAATGGGCTGAGTGTGTCGGTGAGGCCGGGGCAGACTCTGGCGTTTGTGGGGAGCAGCGGCTGTGGGAAGAGCACCAGTGTTCAGCTGCTAGAACGTTTCTACGACCCCGACCAAGGCCAAGTGGTCAGTACAGAAATCAGCACACAAAAACATAAAAGTTTGTTGTTTTTAGCTTGCACCAAGAGTCAATTTTGTGTAATAAAAGACTTTTGATTTGCTTTTATTTTTTATTTTTTACAGTTGGTTGATGGTCGGCCCTCGCAGAGCATCAACGTGCCTTTCCTTCGCTCTCAGATGGGGATCGTGTCTCAGGAGCCGGTGCTGTTCGACTGCAGCATCTTAGAGAACATCCAGTACGGAGACAACAGCCGCACCATCAGCCTGGAGCAGGTCATCGAGGCCTCCAAGAAAGCTTTTCTCCACGACTTTGTCATGGCTCTACCCCAGGTCAGTTTAAAGAGGAATGAGCTCAAGAGTCTGTTTCATTCCACCATTACAGATAAACGTAGGTGTTTATTTGGAGTGAAAGGAGTAACACAGTGCACATGTAATGCTAATTTTAAGGTTAGGTAAGACACCTGCAGCTGAGAATGTTAGTCAGAACAGAAGAGCGGTTCTTTGAAGGAGCCCAAGGTGTGAATGAAAACCAAATACCACATATGCAAATACCATATATGCATATTAAGGTTTATAAACGAACAAAAACACACAAACGTTTTTTTGAGGGTAAAATAAATTAGTCTGTTAAACAAAAATATAAGGCATTTTCCTTTCAAAAGAGTTTTGTTATAATTCACGGTTTGAGAATCGTAACTGTTGCGTGAACTTAAAGGAACTGGAGCAAAACAGGAAGTGGACCCGCCAAAATAAAAGTCTCAGTATTAGATGTGAGTTACAGACACATTAGCAAACATTGACGAAAATGTTTTAAGATTGTCTGGAGATCGTTTGACACACAAATTGAAATTGTGATAAAAATTCAATTAATTGCACAGCCTTAGGTCAGACTGTGTTAAAATAAAGCACAGTAAAATGTAATAAAGCCTCAGACAGAACAGTGCCTACAGTTAGCTTCACACCTTCAGGGAATGTTGACAACATCAGCTGCAAAGTATCACTTGATAAGTTGAAACAGGGTTGCCTGAAACCAGAATGACATCTGTCATCTGTCTCTATTTTTTATACAGAGGAATATCAAAACCAGAACATGAAAGTGTGATTTGTTTTTTCCAGCGATGCATGTGAAATGAAGGAGCTCATTGGTCACAAACAAAACTTTCTCTCATCTCATATTTTAGTGCTTTACTCATTGATTCTGCAGACCTGCCAGAAACAATAAATTCCCGTATTCATTAACTTCCAAAATGCAGGAACAATTTGTGCACAATTAAACATTGACTTAACATTTGCACAAGAAAGATCTGACTCTTCAGCTGTTTAATTAATGACAGCAATAATATTATTATATAATACCAATAATATTTTTAGATTTTAACCTTCCTGTTGTCCTTGGGTCAAAATGATCTGCCACTCTGTTAAAACCCCCCAAAATCACCTTCACGATCATTTTTGAACTTGAAATTTTATGACTTTTCCTAGATTGACCCAAACTTTAGGAAAAGTGAAGTGTTGCCTTTATTCACATTATCATACATGCTGTACAAAAAAGGTACAAAGGTCAAAACGACCCAACAGTGACATTCTCTTAAAATCACGGTCAGAGTTATTTATACACCACAGAATGTGAGAATGTTTTAGTTCTTTCTCAGATCAATCAGTAGCAGATGTAAAGAAGACAAGACAGGTGGCCTTCTCATGGACAGTGCCTTTGATCTGTGAATTTCCAGAAGTTATAAAGGTGCTGCAGATGACATTACCCTGAATTCTCTTTGTGCTGAAGCCATGAGTTTGCATTATAATGTCCAAAAGGCTCTAGAGCTGATTTCTGTGACAATTTCTTCACCTCTTATGAACTTGGACAGCAGCTCCTGAAGAGGAAGATCACCATGGTTGGCACAGTTCGAAAGAACAAGCCTGAGCTCCCACCTGCACTGCTTGCAACAAAGGAGAGAGAGGTCTTCTCATCAAAGTTTACCTTCACACCCACCACCACCCTAGTTTCCTACATCCCAAAGAAAAATAAGCATGTAGTACTTCTGAGCACACTGCACACAGATGCTGGCATTAGCGAGCGTCATCATCCTAGACTAGCTGCAGAAGGATGACTGCCCGCTGGCCCCTGGTCATCTTCCACAGCATTATTAATGTTTCCTCGTACAATGCCTTTGTGATTTGGAGAGAGATCAACCCAACCTGGATGCCTCATAAGCAGAACAAGAGGAGGGTGTTCCTGGAGCAGCTAGGAAAACACTTGTAACTCCACTCATTGAAAGAAGGAAGCATGTCCCCCGCACAGAAGCCTCTGCAGCAGTTTTCAAAGATATACAGAGTGTAGGAACTCCTGATCAACCTGAGGATCCAGCTGCCACAGCCGCTGCCCCAGCTGGGGCAAGTAAGAGGAAGAGATGTCGGTTCTGCCTGCCAAAGAAGGACTGTAAAACACATACTGTGTGCTGTAGGTGTAAGAAATATATCTGCAGCTATGCATTTGCATACTGCCCTACATGTGCTAATTGGTTGAATGAGATATATTGTTTTTTTTTGGATTGTATATTTTCTTACATTGTTCACTGTCAAAAAATACAAACAAAAACCCCCCAGAAGAATCTGACTCATTTGGATGAATAAAAATGCATTCAAAATTCCTTTTTGCACATTTCTTTTGTTTCTAAAGCTATAGAAATGCAGGTGAAAAGGGAAAACTCAAGTATTCATACATTTTATGGTGAATGTTTCTTCAAGCAAAATAAAATTTGGTGTTTAAAATTCAATTAAACTGCTTTTATTGGGGATTTAGTGAAGACGGGTCATTTTGACCGGGAGGACCCGGGGTGTATACAGAATATGAGGACAACAGGAGGGTTAATGTTATTACCTCGTCAAAAACATATCAGGTTTGTTTTTGAGAAAATAGCCCCTGAAATAAGTAGTTTAAGTTGTCATATTCGCTTTAAGTTCTACGCTTAATGAAGCAGTGAAGCCGTCATGTACTGTACTGTACTCTGTCTATACTCTAAACTCTAAAACATAACTCGTTCTGATGTGTGACATTTTCTCTCTGGTTGCCACAGAAATACGACACTCAGGTTGGTGCTCAGGGCTCTCAGCTCTCCAGAGGACAGAAGCAGAGGATCGCCATCGCCCGCGCCATCGTCAGAAACCCCAAGATCCTCCTGCTGGACGAGGCCACCTCAGCGCTGGACACTGAGAGTGAACAGGTACTCAAATGTCCACTAGAGCTGAAGGATTTGTGGAAAATGTCTAACTGTGATTTTTTCTGACAAGCATTGTGATTGTGATTACATTTGCGATTTATTGTTTAATAATAAGAATGTCCAGAACAATTGACAAAAAGACTGATATATGAATTGACAAAGTAATACAAGTCACTGTGGCACAAGGGCGTAGGTTTGGTAGGGACATTATTACTTGTACACACAACACAACCACACTATGCGGAATATTTCAACACTTTACTTTTTCGTTTTTTCAAATTTTAAGAACATTTTGGGCTGTTGTGCAAAAGAAAAACATTCCAGATAACAAATAACATTAGCGTATAAAATTCTTGCTCTCAAAATAAATAATACAACTGTTGCATTTTTGGGATCTTGTGCATTGAACAGCCAAAACATTGTCCTTCTAAGATGATTTTTTAACAGATAACAGCGATGTAGAAATTTGTAGCAGATTTCCCTTTGCTTGTTGGTGATGAGGTATTTGTGAGGTCGTGTCCGTACATTTTTCCATGGAATATTGTCAGTAGAGTCTAGAGTCTTTTTCTGTGGCGACTCATTATAAGACAAGTTCAATTGAAGATGAAGGCAAGTAAGTTCCTTTTGAAAAGTTTTTCAAAGTTTTCTTCACTCACGCCAGCTCAAGACGCCATCTTCAGGTGCGGCCCTGTCCTGAAACAGCGGCAGGAGTAACCCTGTCATCATGTCACTGAATACATCTCAGAACATCTAATAAACAAAATGTGAACTAAAACGTGTTAAATTAATACTACTGAGTTTGGAAAAATATCAGAATAAATTTGTTTTTTTTGTTTCTTAAAATAAAAATCAATCAATCAATCAATCAAACTTTATTTGTATAGCACTTTTCATACATTTGAAATGTAGCACAAAAGTGCTTCACATGCAACAGAAACATTTTTAATACATTAATTAAACACCCCCCCCCCCATACCACAATTTAAACAGAAACATAAAAACTAAAAAACTAATAACATAAAGCTCTTAAAAGTTATAGTAAAAATTAAAAGTGTATAGCTAAGACCAGATGGAGACAAATAAAATAGTAATGATAATTTAATTTAAAACTACCATAATATAAACAATAATAATGATAATTTAAGTTAAAACAGGTAAAAGTTTCAGTTAAAAGCTAAATTAAAAAGATATGTTTTAAGTTTACTTTTAAAAATATGAACACTCGCAGCGGACCTCAGATCCTCAGGCAGACTGTTCCACAGACGGGGGCCGTAAAAGCTAAAAGATGCCTCACCGTGAGTTTTAGTTTGGACTCTTGGGACAGCTAAAAGAAGACTACCTGAGGACCTGAGAGTCCGAGAGGGCTCATATGATAAAAGCAGATCAGATAAATAAATAGGACTAAGACCATTAAGAGCTTTATAAACCAATAAAAGAACTTTAAAATCTATCCTGAAGCTCACAGGAAGCCAGTGCAGAGACTTCAGTACTGGGGTGATGTGCTCTCTCTTCCTGGTCCTCGTCAGCAGCCGGGCTGCAGAGTTTTGGAGGAGCTGCAATGGAGCTGTAGATTTCTTTGGAAGACCAGAAAGGAGAGCATTACAGTAATCAACACGATTTGTAATAAAAGCATGTATTAAAGTCTCTGCACTGGCTTGAGAAAGAAAAGGTCTGACTCTGGCAATATTTTTTAGATGATAAAAACCAGATTTAGTGATGGACCTGATGTGTGGCTCAAAGCTAAGCTCACTGTCAAGAATAACTCCTAAACTTTTCACCCTCTCACAGGGGTTCAGTGAGTAGGTTTGGAGCTTAGCTTTGAGCCTCTCTCTCTGAGCTTCAGGACCAATAATTAAAACCTCAGTTTTGCCCTGGTTGAGCTGGAGGAAGTTTGCTGCCATCCAGGACTTAATATCTAAAATGCAGTTAAAAAGGGTATCGATCGGGCTCAGGTCACCAGGAGACACGGCTATGTAGAGCTGGGTATCATCAGCGTAGCTATGAAAGTTAACACCGTGTCTCCTGATGACCTGTCCTAGTGGCAGCATGTAAAGGTTAAAAAGGGTTGGACCTAAAATTGAGCCTTGGGGAACACCGCACTCCATTTTACATTTTGCGGAGGAGTGTTCCCCAAGACTAACATAAAAATCCCTGTTTGTTAAAAATGATTTGAACCAGTTAAAAACAGATCCAGAGAGGCCGAGTGTATAGTGTAATCTATCTAATAAAATACAGTGGTCTACCGTGTCATATGCTGCCGTGAGATCCAACAGCACCAGGACTGACAGGTTTTTCTTGTCTAAGTTGGATCTTATATCATTAAGAATCTTTAATAATGCAGTCTCTGTGCTATGCTGAACTCTAAAGCCAGATTGATAAATTTCAAAAATATTGTTAGAAATCATAAAATCACTAACCTGGTTAAAAAACAATTTTTCTAAAATTTTGCTTAAAAACGGCAGATTTGACACAGGTCTGTAATTACTGAGCAGGGAGGAGTCCAAGTTATCCTTTTTAAGCAGAGGTTTGACCATGGCAGTTTTAAGTGCTGTAGGAAAAACCCCTGTCTGCAGCGAAAAATTTACAATGTTAAGAACTTCTTGGGCTAAAAAATTTAAAAACTGATTTAAAAAGCGATGTAGAATAGGATCTAAAAAACAGGTGGCTGGTTTTAATTGTAAAATAATTTTGTTAAGAGTCGTAGCATCAACCAGGGCAAAACTATCAAGTGTGTGTCAAGTTGATAAAACCAAAGGACTTGTATTACAGACAATGCCTGGTTGGATCTGTCGCAGGTCAGCTCTAATCGACTGAATTTTACTGCTGAAATAGGTCAGAAAATCCTCACAGTTTGGCATGTTGGCTGGTTCATACCAATTACAAACAGGGTCGATAACGGAACTAATAGTGGAAAATAGCATCCTAGGATTATTTATGTTGTTATGTATGAGTTGAGAGAGATATGCTTGTCTTTCACATTTAATGCTATTGTTGTATTTTCTCATATGTTCACGATAAATTTCATAGTTTATTGTAATTTTATTCTTGCGCCATTTTCTTTCTGCTTTCCTACAATTTTGCTTTAGTTGTCTTGTTTTTTCATTTATCCAAGGAGACTTTTTTGTCTTCACATTTTTCACTTTTAGCGGTGCTACAGCATCAAGAGCAGATTTTAGTTTATTATTAAAATATTCTACAATATGATCGCATGAAGATGGTAAAATAGGGGTTGGAGTGTTGTTTAGTATTTCTGTAAAGTTTGTTGTAACTTCAGCAGTAATGCAGCGTTTTCTGACAATGCATTCAGATATGGGGGGTTGCTCAATGTTATATTAAAAAATACACAGGCATGGTCTGAAAATCCCACGTCCACAACAGAGGCCATGTTTACTGATATTCCATAGGAAATTACTAAATCTAATATACGGCCTCTGTTGTGGGTGGGCTGTGAAACATTTTGTTTTTAAAATTCATACAGTTTAAAAGGTTTAAAAACTCTGTTGCTAGTGAGTCTGATTTGATATCAATGTGTAAATTAAAATCACTACAATTATAATTCTATTGTAATTTGAATGAGCAATGGACAGGAGGTCTGAGAAATCTGCCATGAAAGAGGAGGAATGTTTGGGCGGGCGGTAAATACATATAAAGAGAATGGAGGGGTTTGTTAAGGCCAAGGAGTGATGCTCAAATGAAGGGTATTGATTAAAATAAATATTTTTGAAATTATGTTTGGCACAAAAGATTGTAGCTGTACCACCACCTCTTTTATCAAGGCGAGAGGAATATGAATAGCTATAATTAGGAGGTGTGGTTTCGTTTAGTGTTACGGCTCCATCTGTGCCTGTCCATGTCTCTGTTAAAAACATACAATCAAGAGGCCGATCTACAATCATGTCATTAATTATAAAGGATTTATTTGCCAAAGATCTAACGTTTAAAAGTCCCATATTAAAAGTCAGTGGTGCTTTTTCATTGTATTAACATGAGCAATTAAAATATTAATATTAATATTAATATTAAAATGGTAAATATTGGTACAGACTATTTTGTTTTCCGCAAAATATTGGTTGTGACATGTCCCCAAACCTACTCCCTTGCAGCAGCACATTAAATCTTTACTAAAAACGCACCTTTTCTCATTGGCATTTGATTTGAGTTGGACAGACTGACATCTTGGTTTTATATTATACTGTATTTTTACTGTGTTTTTTCTTTATTTTGTAAATATTTAATTTGTATTATTGTTGTTCAGCATTTTGGTAAACTTTAACTGGTTTAAATGTGCTTTTTATATACTTGATCTGATTTATTTTTCAGGCACAGACTCAGTTAGAGGAGCGAATTTGAAGCAGAGGTTTTATTATTTATTAGGATTAAGAATTTATTTACAGACAAAATAGTGAAATAAAAACACCAGGATCATGAAGAGTGGGTTAAAACGAACATTTTAAGACCAAAATGACGAGGCTCACTGCAACAGTTATAGAGAGAAGGGCGACAATATTCCAGTGTGAAGTCAATTGGAGCCAGAGTCGATAGAGCCGCCATGTTCACTTTGTATTTAGAACACGGCGGCTAGTGGGTTCACTATGTCCATTTATATATACAGTCTATGAGTTTAGGTAAAGTTTTATGCAGAATAAGAGTTGTTTGTGGGAAAATTGTGACACTTCAAAAATTTCAGCCTTTACGATTTGATAAATGCGCCCATTCAAATTGCATTTTCGATTGGATAATGATTAATTTTGCAAACCTCTTATCCATAAATCCAAATTAAAATCCTTTGTTCTGAGTTTTATTTTGTGTTCATGTTTCCAGACCGTGCAGAAGGCTCTAGACGAGGCGAGGAAAGGCCGGACCTGTATCGTAATCGCCCACAGACTGTCCACCATCCAGAACGCAGACATCATCGCCGTCATGTCCCAGGGAGCCATCATAGAGCAGGGAACACACAACGGACTGATGGCAAAGAGGGGGGCCTACTACAAACTCGTCACGACTGGGGCCCCTGTCAGCTAGCCCATATGTAGGGAACAGTATGGGACTGTGTTATTTATGTTTGCTGCTTTTCTATTTAAAAATGATTGTGTTTTTTATTAAAAAGTAACGTTCTAGTGAAATGTATTGTGGAGAATATACTTGACTGAAGAGTAAATGAACAATGAATCAGTTTTTTGTATGTATGTAAAGACGTAGTTTTACAATAAAAAAAATAATAATAAAAACCCCCAAGAAAGTATGTGCTGACTTATGTGTTTTATAGTGTGTCCTGAAATGGCTTTAAGTGGAAGAGTGAGTTTTTATAAAGTTTTAAATAGAAATCCATTTTATTGTGCTGTCTCTTTTTTTTTCAATATCTCCATTAATACTATTTCATTTATTACTCATCATTGAAATTATACTTTCATTTGTAGTCTTATAGTCCAGCCCGCCCACGACCAACTGTTCTATCACCATATTTGCATAAAAATGATTTTAAGAGATCAGGCTTGCGTGCTCTCGTAATAGTCTTTTTTTTTGTTTGTTTCAATTTAATTTCTGTTCTCAAATTAACCACAAGATGGCGCATAGATGCAACAAATAATCGGCTCACAAATAAAAAGAAATTTAAATTAATGACTGAAGCCGAAACAACCCTTACGAATTTGCTGCATACTATTTATTTCATCTTTAATAAATTTTTATTTACGTTTTTATTTGCAAAGCACACCGAAATAAGTGAATTATTCGGACGCAACTTTATACTGTTATACAGTTATATTTTCTACAAGCACTAAAAAAATAATAATAGTTAGTTATATCATTACTAGATTACAGAATATAAAAATAAATACAAAAAATTAAAAATAAAATAAAACGATTTCGAAGACGACATTTCCGGTTTGCAGCCCCGCCCATAGAAGCACACCGGAAGTCAACAGACCGCGGATTTTTGAAAAGAAGACGTTTTCTTGTGGATTATTTTTTCATCAAAAACTTCTTATTTCGGATCTTTTAAGGCTGTGAGTGATATTATTTGTCCACGCTAAGTCCAAAAAAGTGTGTTATCAAGGTCGATTGTTGTGATGTCTTGTGCAAATTCACGTTTAGAGCAAGTTACGCACGGCTATTGAAAAGCTAACGAGAGAAATTGTAAACAAAACATCTCAAAAAAGACAGATATTATACATTATCTATTGTCGTATTGTAAATATGAGCTAAACGTGATAGAATATACAATTACTTAATAATAATAATGAAAAAAGACAATGATAAAACATACTAGTACTCAGTGTTGGGAAGGTGACTTTTAAAATGTATTCCCCTACAGATTACAAGTTACATACCTCAAAATGTAGTTTGTAACGGAATCCATTAAATTACTTAAAGTGAGTAACATAATCTGAATACTTTGGATTACTTGATATTATCATGCTTTTTAAAACTACACGAATGTACCAACTACATCCTGAAAATTCTTGTTTGTTCTCTTCAAATTGGCTGTTGAGCCCAAATCTCCATGAACAGACTTTTGTTTGCTGTAAAGTAGCAAAGACTAGAATCTTAACATAAGATGTTTTGTCTGCTAAAAGACAATAAAAAGACCAGTCTTTTCTTAGGCATATTAAAAATATTATTGATAGTGAAATTATTTTTATGTGAGATCACTGCTGCCTTAAAGTATGTCCACCCTACTATTACGTTTCATGTTGTTTAGACCTGGTTTAGTCCTGGTTTAGACATGGTTTTAGTTCTGGTTTTAGTCTGGTTTAGTTCTGATTTAGACCTGGTTTATTCCTGGATTAGACCTGGTTTAGTCCTGATTTATTCCTGGTTTAGACCTGGTTTAGTCCTGGTTTAGACATGATTTTAGTCCTGGTTTTAATCCTGGTTTAGCCCAAAAATGTGAAAACAGGAAAATACCGCCATGTAATCCATTTATTTCAACAAAGTAACTGTTCAATTCCAATTACCACTCACTGAAACAGTAACTGTAACTGAATACAGTTACTCATAATTTGTACTCTGATTACGTAACGCCGGTACATGTAATCTGTTACTCCCCAACACTGCTAGTATTCCACAATGTTAGTTTTATGCAATATATTTCAATTGGGTTTCAATAAACCGGAGTAAATCTAAGTATAACTGAGGGGAAAATAAATATATAATTAACTTTTTTGTGCTTTACATCCACCATTGTTTATTTAAAGGTTGTGTAACATTTCTGGTGGAGAAATGCGTTTATTCGTGGAGATCTTATGGCTTTAGTCTGGTATTAAACATTTCTATCTTCATGGAAACCAAACCAGAACAAGTTACAAGTCAAAGCTGTGGAGGGGCGACTTTGCTCACAGTCAGAATGCCAGTTTTTCTAGATAAATAGATAAATTTGAGCTATAAAACCACTTAGGTAGAGCTGTTTTAGGGCTGGGTGATACAGAGCAAAAAATAAATAAATAAATAAATCCCCCCAAAAAAACTTTTGCAAAGACAAATCTGCCAAATTCTACAAGTTTTTTTTTTTTTTTTTTAATTGAAGTGCAAAGAGGTAGACAATCCCTGTATACAAAAATAATAATTTAACTGTAAAACGAAGGAAGAAAAAAACACATATTGCCTTCATTTCATTATAAATAAAATAAAACAACTCAGCTCAACTTAAGCTCATCTTTGCATGAACTCTGTTAACCATAACCATAATTTTGTTTATTTATTTCACGCATAAAGTATAAAATGAGATTAACAGTGTCACAACATCAAACATACAAGAAATGAATGAAAAGGAGTAGAAAAAAGAGTCATCTTGTGTTTTTCTGCCCCCTTTTCCAGACAAAACATCAACACTGATAGTCATTTTAAAACATTTTGAATCAGTACATTTCATTTTTCAGTCACAGTTATTAATCAATTGCAAACAGAATGTGTATGTGTGTGTTTTTGTTTTTTTTATGCAATCATTGTACTTGAATGTCATACTGTGGAACCTTCTAAGCCGAGCAATGACATCTCCATAGAAAGAAGCAGGTGTCAGACCTCCAACCTGCAAATGTTACACCGTGCACCTTTAAACGTAATGATACCTGTGTTATCATGGAGCTCAGAGTTCAAATTACACCTGTGTTTATTGTGTCGTTGTGCCAGGGGTCTCCCGTGTTTTTTCCTCTAGTGAGCTACTTTTACAAAACAAAAATTAGCAGTCACAAAGAAATGAAGTATATATAAGAGCCTTGGCAAGCCTTAGACGTGGAACTAAAACCATTATCCATTTATCAGTACACAAATCTAGGCAGAAAATGATACATTTACAGCGGTAATAAATCAAATTTTACTTATTCAGCACAATACACAGAATTCAGAAATCCCTTGGCGAACTAGTCTGAAGGATGTGGAGAGCTACAGGTTGGAGACCGCTGCCTTAAGCAAAACATTTGTCTAAGACTTAAACCACAGCAAATTAACACACTGGTTCACAGGTTTCGAAAATCGATGAGACGAAGGATGAATGCATAAAAATGTTGATAATGTGGCTGCACAATTTTAGAAAGTATTGCGATTAGATTTGCCAAAAATGTTTTAAAAGGTAGGATTCGGTTCATAGTGCACAACAACGCCAGGAGCAATAACGTTTGAAAGAAGAATAAAATATGAACTGATAAACTACAGAGATACAAAATACAAGAACACCATGCATTTCCAAATGTGTTTATAGAGATATTTAATCATCTACTAGTAAATAATTGCAGAGTTTGACATCTGAAAAGTGTTCCTACTCAAATTTCTGTTCTGATTTGATTTGTGATATATTGCGTGGCCCTATTTGACAGTAACAATGTGAAATAAATAACATTACAACTCATTTTTAATAACTTGAACGTTTTGTCACCATTTAGAGCATCATGATGTCAATTACTGACCCGGGGACGAGCGAGTACTTCGCCAAAGCCATGGAGGAAATACACAGCCAGCACCTCAAAGCTCTGGGCAAAATCACAGACATGACCACGGAGCTGTCCCAGACCCACAAACAGTTTATCAAATCTGCCCAGGGTGAGTAAGCAGCATTGTATGATTCAATATGTAAGTGAAATGAGTAATTATGTTGTTATATATGATGTTTTTTGCAGATACATGTATAAAGAAGTGCAAGGATGACGAGATGTTGTTTGATACAATAGAATCATTCAAAAAAGGTATGGATTTGAACAGGTTTGAAGATCCTAAATTACACAAAATGGATTCTTGTGAGCTTTAAGACGTGTTATAATGCTGTTACCTCATCAAAAACAGACCTGGAGATGTGTTTTGTTTCATTCTTTTGGATTAGATTTGTTACTCAAACATACATTCATGTTTTTTTGGTTTTTGTTTTGCATATTTTTACATATTTCCTTGTAAAATTATTCAGATTTTAACTCAATTGTCTTCGTTCAGACTTGGAGCAGAAGGGCAAGCTGCTGAAGGACAAACGTTTGGTCATCTCCGAAGTCATGTCTGAGATCGAGCAGAAGGACATGAAGAAAGAAGAAATCATCCACAAGATCGAGAAACTCAAAGAGGAGCAGGCCAAGAGGCGAGATGGTAAATCGCCATGGAGGCAAAACATGTACAAACGTGGAAGCTCTTTCAAATTGTTGTGTATTTTCTGTCTTCAGTGATCGACGCTCAGAACAAGGCGAACAAGAAGAGACTGAAGAACCTGCAGAAGGCCCGGTACATGTTCCAGGAGCATCTGGGGCTAGAGATACGAGCCATCATGGGCAAAGCAGAGGTTTCAAGAGGTAAATGACAGCATGTAATATATTTGTACACATGTATTTTACTGTAATGTGGTCCTGTTTCAAATGGTTCATACTATAACAGTGTTTCCCATAGACTCCAATAACATAAAGACACAAGTCAGTAATAAACAGAGGAGTGGGATTTGCAGCATGTGCTATACAGTAGGAATGGGTCACATCTGTGTTTTATCAGCTTAATCACAGAAGAAATAACAGAAAGCAAATATCATTTCATTAGCCTAATACAGAGGTGTCCAAACTTTTTTCATCAAGGGCCATATATCTAAACAGAGACGAAGCAGAGGGGTGATCAAGGGCTGTAGACTGATGCTCAATACAGTGAATAATTGAAATATTTGCATGTTTAACACGTTAAAATGAGCCATCAGACTTTATTCACGCTAAAATCCTTAAAACCACACACTAAATATTACATTTTAGTTTTTATCAAGGTAGATTTTCGAAAAACTTGCAGCAAAAAGTAAAATTTGTAAAATTGTCTGAGGGCCGCATTTAGCCCACGAGCCATAGTTTGGACATGCCTGGTCTAATAGCATAGTTGCCTTAGTCATATTTGGACATTTTAGGAAAACAAAAAAAAAAACAGCACATTTTTATAGCGAGCACATTGGTATTTTTTGTTGATATTGTATATATGTGTATAGAGATGACAGTGGGCAGACACTGATTTTAGATTCTAACAAGTGTTCTGAGGACATACGCAATAAGTCAGGGTGATGCAGCAGTGTTGGGGAGTAAAGTTAGACAGATATCACAATATTTCCAAAAAAAAAAGACTAAGGCAATTATGCTATTAGGTTAACGATGTTGTTTTGGCTCAAATCACACTATAGCACCACCTGGAGGCCATCAAAGAGAACTCTGTGGACAGTATGTATCCTGGTTGTCCACAACAGAACACAATACTGTGAGCAATTCTTTTTGCTCTAAAATGTTTATGAGAACACAATGGGCAGCAAAGTGTGATTCTGTGTTCCCAGTGGATAGTCCAGATTGTTTTTTTAGACTATGGGGGGCTACGATAGTCTCTTATTTATGGATAATACTATACATTTTGTCCGTGTATCTAGTTTAATACATTTGATCTGCTTACATTTGCACCTGTTATAATTTATTACAGATTAAACAAACTACACGGCTCCAAATCTGAACACTTAACATTTTTACATAACTAAATACACTACCGGTCAAACGTCTTAGAACAGCACACTTTTCCATTTTTTTTCCTGTTTACTGTTGACCAAAACGTATTCTAAACTTTTGATTCATGAAAGTGTCCAATATAACAGCTGAACACACTCGTGGCTCGTTCTTTTTACAACAGAAATCAAATATTCTTCAGAAAGTTCTTCCCGAGTCTGTTGCAGAAGTTCCCATAAATGTGTGGCACTTGTAGGTTGCTTCACTCTTCTGTCCAGTTCATCCCAAAACCAGCTCGATGGGGTTTAAGTCTGGACTCTGTGCTGGACACTCCATGTTTTCAAGCTTTACCATCTTGTTCTTTTTTCCTGAGGTAGTTTTGGTAGAGCTTGGACTTGTTTTTATATCTTTTATCTTTTTTTTTAACCTCTGGCTGTTCTGTTTTACCTTAGTTTGTACCATTTCCAGCTCTTCATTGGACTTGAATTGCAATAAATAACTGGAAAAATTAGGGTGTTCTAAAACTTTTGACCGGTTTTGTGTATACATATAACTAAAATAAATCATCTAATTAAGTATTTATTAAAAAAATAGATAAGAGCTTGATAAAATTAGAAAACATTTTAATGACTCATTTGAATTATATAAACACGTCAACAATGAAACAAATGAAATGTTTAATTAGTAGTATTTCATTATTCAAGTTTTGTGAATTTATACACAATTATAAACCTTACAGTCAGTCTAAACATTTATGTCATAACAGTTAAATGATTTCTAAATATTTACACTTTTTACATCATGTCCACTGTGTACAAAAACAAATATGGGACTTGGACTTGACTTGAATATTGTCTGTTCATTCTGTGCTAAGGAGAAAAACTGCAGTTTATTTTCCGAAACATCAACCGCGCCGATTTAACGAGCACCTATATCGTTACCATGGGGATCAACGCCGAGGGGGCCTACCAAGGTATGTCAAACTACAACTACTTATTATAGAAGTACCTACATATGCTCTTCATGTAATATTACGTTGAAGTATAATGCGTGTAATTTTCTGGTCCAGTTGTGTCCAGTGACCCGGCTCTGGACTGTTTACCCGATCTGGAAAAGCGTCTTCAGGAAACCAACAACCTCGCAGCTTTCCTCGCCAACATCAGGAAAGAGTTTGTCTCTCTAGCCCGGCATTAAAGGTGTAACTTTTCTGGTGGAGGGTCCGTCAAATGCTTTTCTCCACGGAGATGTTACTGCTTTGTCTGGAATGTTTCACAGTATGACGTTAAACCTTTTTATCTTTAAGGAGACCAAACCAGACACGCCTGTTTTTCAAGGTATTTTTGAGGTAAAAATACACGTGTATCTTAATAAATATAAAGTTGACTTGTTTAATGTCATACTTTCCAGACAGAGCAATGACATATCCATAGAAACAATCAGGCGACGGACCCCCAAACGGCACCTTTAACGATTAATTTTGGACTTATTGAACAAAAAGACTAACTTGCACCAAATCTGCTTTTAAATTGGATTTATAGAAGTACTTTTCACTACTTTTCCAGACCTTTCTATGTGTCATTTTTACAAGTAACATGTCCTTGTTTGTGTAATAATAAATATTTGTTTTTTATGAGCTCGGAGTGTTATTTTCTAAGACCTCTTCGGGCTTTTTGAGAGTTTTTTCCTCACACACTTCCACCACATAAGTACAGGGGAAGTGTCCCTTGTGTCCGTTGAGCTCCCCGAACCACCAGCCGTTCTCCGCCTTCGTGAAAATGTTTAGGACGTCACCTGGAACAAGCAGTCACTTCGTTAGACACTGGATAATTGTGTGTTTGTGCTTGTGAATTCAGTCTTTACTCACCTTCTTTAAAGGACAGTTCATCCTCCTGCTTTGGGGTGAAGTCGTATATGGCCTTACATTGTCCGATGCAGCTCGACTCAAGCGGGGGTTCAGCTGTCGAAAATGTTCAGATTTTAGATATGAGCTTTAAAGGAGCTGTATGTAAGGTTTTGTTTTTAAATCTCATAAACCTGAGCTATCTGTGTCCCTGGATATGAGGTAAACATGTTCAATACAGCTGATAACAATTCTAATGCTGCTTTTTTTCTTAATGATGATCCTTTTATTTATATTATAGTTTATTTATTGTCCTAATTTGGGGTTTTGGTTCTCAAGACAATTATCCAATTACAAGCCCATGACTCATTTGCGTTGCCAGTTTCAATCCTGAAATCTGGTTAAAACATAAAATGACCAATGATCCAAATCTTTGCTCCCTAAAACCCCAGCACCTGCAGTCACTCATGAGTCAGTGCTAGTGCAGCCTCTGCGGCTCAGTAAGTCACTTCTGGAGGTTCTGTGCTTTCACGTGAGACATGGCCTGAGAAAAACTTGTATGTGTCCTCTAGTAGTCTATATTTAGACTTAGACAAACTTTATTGATCCACAAGGGAAATGATTTGGACACAAGAGCTCACACATTACAATTTAATATAATAAAAACGAGTAAAAGCTATAAATGAAAATAAAAAATTCTAAATAAGTAGCAACAAAAAGAAGGCATAATTATATAGATGTGTATGTATATGCGGGTTAAGGCAGTGGCAACCCTAACGTTTTTGTAAAAGCGCAAGACACATACAGTTCTTTTAAATACTTCTATGTCACAGCTAAACATAAATACCAGGGATGTAACGATGTCCAAATCTCTCGGTACGATATTTATTGCGATATTTTGGAGACGCTGATATAATTGTAGATAGGACACGTTTCTGCTTTTAAAATACCTTGACAAGATTTTGATGTGAATTATTTCCATCATAATCCCAAGAATTCAAGTAAAAACATATTTCTGCATGTTGTCTGTGCTGAAATGAATCATGGGATATGTAGTTCCTGATGTTTATAAGCTGTTGCTACTATAAAACCATGCATTTAATCTAAGAATTTTGTCATTCGATATATTGTGACAGCCCACGATATTATTGTGAGACTTTGACGATACGATATTACGATATTTCAGTTATTGTTACATCCCTGTTACAAATACTGTATGTGGATGTATTTGGTAGGTGTTTTTTTCATGATTTCAAACCTGCAAAAGATTTATTAACAGTGAGCACATTTACATAGCCCAAAAAAATCAGTAGTCAGATCATTTCATAATAAAAATTTAAAAAAAGTGCTTGGACAGGGTAACAATATTCAAGAGAAACTGAATTATTTTACTGTAATGTGGCTGGTGTTATGAAGTATAATATGATTTGGAGATTATTATTTTCCTTTACTCTTCTGGAAACAATTTTAGCCCAAGTGCCATCATATTTTATTTACTATGTTTATGCTCTTTAAAACACCAGTCACTTTAAAATAATTCAAAGTATAATGTAATTTTGGAGATTATTCTTTTCCTATACACTTTTTACTGGCTTTGGTTTTAGGTTTACAGTATAATTAAAAACTACAACATGCCTATCAAGTCTAATTCACTGCACTAACCCCTGTCACATCATATTTGCGTTACCGTGTTTGTGCTCCTTGTCTGGGTGAGTCTTGGCCCCCTTTTCCTCTCCTGTCTCCTGGGTCGGGGTCGGGGGCGGTGAGGCGGCCCCGCTCGGCTCCGCGGTCACATTCGGCCCTTTGTAAATGATGGAGGCCCTGAGGGAGCGACGGGAACGGTACGAAGACCTCCTCAACTTCACCGGGCGCCTCAGCTGGACCGCGCTGTGCTCGCTGTCCTACACCAGGAAACAACCAAGACACTAGAGTAATTAAAGTACACATATTACACTGTCTTCTGATTGACTGGATGTAATAATGTTGTTTCATCATCACAAACGATCCTGGAGTTTTGTTTTGTTTCATTCATACATGTTTAACTCACAAATTTATCATATTGAGGCTGAGACACAAGGTGGAACAGAGCATTTTAAGCTTTAGGCATGTAGACAGACCAGAGTCCTGCACGGGTCCATTTTTTGGAGACCCGCACCCGCGCAGTTCAGCACCGCACCCGCCCATAAACCCGAAATTTTATCAAAGTTAAATCCGCACCTGCCCTTGTCCAGGATAAATCACACACAAATTAAAACCATTCTAACTGAAGCATCCATCAGAACACGAATTGAAAAGTTACGACTTCAAGAATTACAATCATGAAATGAAATGAAACGGTTACACTTTCTTCAGTACGAGAAAGGAATTCACAGATGCGGCTCGACGTCTTCACTTCACAGGTGTTATTTACTGAGCTGAAGAAACATTGATTGAGATGCTGGATTTTTTGCACCGCACACGCCACAGATTGAACCAGGACCAAACCAGGACTAAACCAAGAATAACCCAGGGCTGATTCCAGGACAGAATCAAGAGGACTAAACCAGGACTGAACTAGGACTAAACCAGGACAGAACCAGAAGGACTAAACCAGGACTGAACCAGAAGGACTAAACCAGGACTAAACCAGAAGGACTAAACCAGGACTGAACTTGGACTAAACCAGGACTGACCCAGGACTAAACCAGGACAGAACCAGAAGGAGTAAACCAGGACTGAACTTGGACTAAATCAGGACTAAACCAGGACTGAACCAGGACTGAACCAGGACTGAACCAGGACTGAACCAGGACTAAACCAGGACTGAACCAGGACTGAAGCGGGACTGAAGCGGGACTGAACCAGGACTAAACAGGGACAGAACCAGGACAAAACCATGTCTAAACCAGGACTGAACCAGGTCTAAACCAAGACTAAACCAGGACTGAACCAGGACTGAACCAGGACTGAAGCGGGACTGAAGACAGGGACTAAACAGGGACAGAACCAGGACAAAACCATGTCTAAACCAGGACTGAACCAGGTCTAAACCAAGACTAAACCAGGACTGAACCAGGACTGAACCAGGACTGAACTAGGACTGAGCTAGGACTAAACAAGGACAGAACCAGGACTGAACTAGGACTAAACTAGGACTAAACCAGGACTGAACCAGGACTGAACCAGGACTGAACCAGAATTAAACCAGGGCAGCCGTCGCCCAATCGCGCTTTCTCTCTCGCTTGGGGTTCTCCCTCTCTCTTAAGTCCAAAATTAGTCCTGGTGTTGTCCTGGTTTAGTCCTGATTTAGTCCTGACCCGCCCATGTGTAATCACTACCCGCCTGCATACCTGCCCGTAAAATTCCAGAACGTTAAAACCCGCCCGTTTCAGCAACTGTTTGCTCGTACTCATCGAGTACCCGCGGTACCCGACCCGGTGCAGGACTCTGAGACAGACTAATAACTCAGGATTACTCAAACATATGAATGAAACAAGACACAAATCTGATTTTTTTTTTGTTGAGGTAACAACATTTTAACATGGCTTAAAGCTCACGCGAGTCAATTCTGGGTAATATAGGACCTTTAATAACACTGAAATAGGTTAGGTTGCTTTAGTCGTACCTGTAGGTAAATTTGTTTTGCAGATTTGAAGGTCTGGTCCCACATTTCACATTTCAATCATCCACGTTATGTACAATAAACACGCATAAAAACACAATTACAAAATAAAGTGTTACAGTGCTCCAGAGCAGAATGGCTTTGCTCCATAAATAATTAACTAAATTCATCCAGCACGCTTGGCTAAGATCACAATAAATGTTAAATATATTTTTAAAAAACACATGATTTTTCGAAATAATAATATTCTTGCAATCTATACAGCACCTCTCAGGATTTCTGTGGGCCAAAACAATGGTGACTATGAATTATCACGCAACTGGATGCAAACTAAAGCCTCATTTCCCTGTTGTGGGACAATAATATCTGTTTTCTTATCTAACCGGTCAGACTTGTGAGCATTTCCAGCTCCAAACACAACACAGAACAGAACCATCACAATGTAAAAAGTCAGATTTTCACTAATAACATAAGAAAAATCATCTATCAACAGACACGACCAACAGACCGTTAAGTAGAGCTATTTATTATTTTTATGATTTGACATATCTTAAAGCTACAGCCGTCTTAGATAGAATGACCAAAGCAAGGCTGCCAGTCCCATCAGAAGTGAATGACGTGTCTTGCCTAAGGACACAACAACAGAACTTGGTCCATGCGATTGGACCGGCGCTTTCACCACTGAGCCACTGTTGCACCCATTGTAGTAGTCAGTCATATAAATACTATAAGATAAGTCCTAGTACCGCTCGTCTTGATAATAACATTAATACTTTGAATTTTTAAAATAACCAAACAGTGCAGTTTTTATTCACTCCATCCGCTGTAGTGGAGTAATGTAGCCACAGCTGCCTTGGGACAGACAGTAACACTTTATAATAAGGTGCCATAATAAACAGCAAACTAATCATTACCTTATTAATTGTTACTAAATCATATATCTACTGGGGGTTGGAGGGGCCATTGACACAGACTGTCAGCCTTACTGTGAGTCTGCCCGGTAACACTTTATAATAAAATGCCATAACAAATAACAAACTAGTAATTACCTAACCCTTTATTAATATTTGTTAATTGTTACAAAAATATCAGTTTGGCACAAGTTATATTAAATATTTTTTTCATCATTAACTAAACATTAGTTGTTTGCATAAAATCTGTGTATTAATGTTTTAACAAATAGAAAACAATTTATGAACTAATATCGTATGAATATTTGTTTATAGTTAACTAAAAGACTTTTTGGCACTAATTAATAGTTATTTTTACATCATTCCAATGTTAAATGTTTATTTACAAACTATATTTAATATAAAAGTTCATGACATATGATTATTTAACTCTTTTTAAACTGTACTTCTGCTTATCCTTATAATAAAGTTGGTTAAGCTTAATTAATATATAAATAATATATAACTATAAGCGTGGGGCACCTTATAATAAAGTTAGAACAGTAATTATTAACTATTTACAAATATTTCTTATAACATTTATTAACAATAGCAAATACATTTAGACATTTAGTTAACTATTAATAAATATTAATACGATATAAGTTAATAGTAATAGTTAATAATGCAAACAACTAATGTTTAGTTAATGATGAAAGCAGTGTTGGGGAGTAACTGATTACATGTACTGGAGTTATGTAATCAGAGTACAAATTACTCTTTCAGTGAGTGGTAATTGGATTACAGTTACTTTGTTGAAATAAATGGATTACATGGTGGTATTTTCCTGTTTTCACATTTCGGGCTAAATCCCCAGGTCTAAACTAGATCTAAACCAGGTCTAAACCAGGACTAAACCAGGTCTAAACCAGGACTAAACCAGGACTAAACCAGGTCTAAACCAGGACTAAACCAGGTCTAAACCAGGACTAAACCAGGTCTAAACCAGGTTCGAAAATCAGGTGTAAACTAGATCTAAACCAGGTCTAAACCAGGACTAAACCAGGTCTAAACCAGGTCTAAACCAGGTCTAAACCAGGACTAAACCAGGACTAAACCAGGTCTAAACTAGATCTAAACCAGATCTAAACCAAGTCGAAACCAGGTCGAAAATCAGGTGTAAACTAGATCTAAACCAGGTCTAAACCAGGACTAAACCAGGTCTAAACTAGATCTAAACCAGATCTAAACTAGATCTAAACCAGGTCGAAAACCAGGTCTAAACCAGGACTAAACCAGGTCTAAACTAGATCTAAACCAGATCTAAACTAGATCTAAACCAGGTCGAAAACCAGGTCTAAAACCAGGTCTAAACCAGGACTAAACCAGGACTAAACCATGCTGTGTGGACGTGTCTCCTCCTCTTCTATCAATAATATTTTTAATACGGTTCAGTAAAGTCTGGGCTTTTTCTTTTCTTTTAGCAGATAAAACTTCATATGTTACGATATCCTCGTCTTTGTTTCTCTACAGCAAATCAAGTAATCCAAAGTATTCAGATTACGTTACTCACTTTAAGTAATTTAATGGATTACATTACAGATTACATATCCCAGAATGTAGTTTGTAATCTGTAGGGGAATACATTTTAAAAGTCACCTTCCCAACACTGGATGAAAGTATTTAGTATGACTTTTGCCAAACTGATATTTTTGTAACAATGAACAAATATTAACAAAGGGTTAGGTAATTACTAGTTTATTTATTATGGCACCTTGTTATAAAGTGTCACCGGGCAGACTGACAGTATTATAGTAAGGCTGCACATACACCACCGTGTGTCTTGCCCAAGAGCACACAAACACTTCAACACTACGCACATTTTCTTTATGCATTGTGAGGGACAAGGTGAAACAGTTGTGGAATTGATTTCATTTTCCCATTCAATTTTATTTCCCACTTTATATTGTTTCACGGCAATAAAAAAACAATCTCACAATATTACCTAAACAGACGAACCAGATAAGACTCCCCGAGGACAGAGGCTTAACTCATCCCCCTGTAACTCTTAAAATATAACACCAACACAACTTTTTCTGCTGTTTTCTGGGCTTATCTAAGTCCTGGGAGTGGCACGAGTGATTAGGCTCACCTTATCTTTCCACTTGGAGATGCTGTCGCTGAATCGATGCAGTGACTTTGGCCTTCCCTCCACTTCAGACAGAGCCAGGGACAGTTTGTAATGAGTGGCCTCCAGCAGGTCTAGTTTTAGAGTGGTCTGGAAGCAGAGCAGCCAATATGTGTGCTTAAAGACCGATGTGCTGCTAAATATTATTACTCAAGTAGAAGTACAAAGTAGTGAGACAGATAATTGTTAAAGGGCAAGTGTTATGCTGTTTTCTGATCTGTTGTAATGCCGTTTCCTTGTCAAAATCAGACCTGGAGTTGTGTTTCTTTTGTTTCATTCACACGTTTAACACACAAACTCTGCATATTTAGGATAAGTTCTTCTCTCAAACAAGAAATTCTGTATTCTACCTTGTGATGTCATGTAGTACATGGGCCCGGTCAAGCAGAAGTAAACAGCAAGGTCAAAAATTCAAGTTAATGCATCTGATATAAAAATTGTATTCAACAGATACATATGTACTCTAGTTTATGAAACTGTTTGACCTTTTTTCTGTACCATTTTTAGTTCTAAAGTTACACACGTTTTAAACAGACCATGTATGAAACATGGAACAAAAATAATTTCCCAAATTTCAAAGACCTGAAAATCATGTAAATAAATGGATGTATTTCATCATATCTTGTGTTATTTGATCTTTGAACTGGTGATGAACTTACATGATTTTTCAACAAAAAAAAAAAAAGTATTTAAAATGATAAAAATTTGCTTGGAAGGACTGACATATTTTATAGAAATAGTTTCCTTTCATTTTGAAGTAATATTAAAGTATTTGGAAGAAAAAAGCGACAAATTATGCAAAATCCTGCACCTTCTACTTGCTGCACAATTTTCCTCTCCGTTACTTTTCCCTCCGTTACCATGACCTTTCTTAATAAAAAAATCTCATTACTCAAAAAGTAAGAGGTTTTTCAACCTAATCTTGTACCATATGGTAGAAAACTATATGAAGCAAATATTCAAACCAGTTTGTTAAGGATATGTAAGTGAGAACCAAGAGTTATTCCTGTTTGTATTTATTGCCCAAAAAGTGCTGCATATTTCATTCCCTCTGTTACTGACATGAGTTTTTAAATTTTTAGTCACCAACTTGAAAGAATATCACAGGTTTAACTTGACCCTGTTGGAGTGTTAACTCTTTCCTACATTCTGATACTTTACTTATTTCAATAGTCCCTCTAGTTTCTGAATAAGAGCTATTTGAATGTAAAAAATCTGCCCCTGTTTCCTTCCGTTACCGCTTGACCGAACCCACATACAAGAAGTGCTCTACTGTGTTTTTAAACTCCATACACCTTCACTAGAATCATGTGGATAATTTCAACCCCGGGATTGGCTATTTCTACTGGACTAAATGTAAAAAGTTGCTGTTAATTTAATAATAATAAAAGATTTCTCAAACATGTGTGAATGAAACAAAACACCATTCTAGGTATGTCAGATGAAGGAAAAAGAGGCAGAGCGCTTCACTGATAATGTCCCTACCAAAGCTAAAACCAAACCTACGCCCTTGCTTAAGTACAAGTACGTACAAGAATACTTTTTACTTTTACTTCACTAAATTTGAGAGCAGGTATCTGTACTTTCTACTTCACAACATTTCTGAACTGGACTGAAAAGAAGAAGTATTTGTTTATCATAGTTTGAGGCCTGTTTATAACACATTTGTAGTTTGAACAAATAAAAATCTACAAATAAAAACAGCTAAGAAAAGAACAAGTAGAAATCTTCAAAACCTCTATCAACATTGCTTCATTTAGATCTCAAAATCTGAGCAAAATACTTCTACTTTTTACTATTTAAGTACATTTTTAAACAAGTACTTTAATACTATTACTTTTACTTGAGCTTTTTTTTTGCTCTTCTATCTGTACTTTACTTAAGCACATGTACGTACAGGGATAATTTTTACTTTTACTTCACAAAATTTTAAGGCAGGTATCTGTACTTTCTACTTCACAACATTTTTGAACTGGAAAAGTATTTGTTTATCATACTTTGAGACACACTGAAAAGGCAGTTTTAACACATTTGTAGTTTGAACAAATAAAATTATACATATAAACACAGCTAGAAAAAGAACAAGTAGAAATCCTCAAAACCTCTATCAATGTCACTACATTTGAAGCTTTATTTAGATTTCAAAATCTGAGCACTTTACTATTTAAGTACATTTTTAAACAGGTCTTAAAAGAGTAAAAATGAGCAGTACAGGTGCTGTACGAGGGTTAAAACAGTAGTCTTTAAACAGAGAGTTGCCCTTTTCTGTGTAAAAATGGGCAAGGTACAAACCCGAGGCCCTCTGACTGAATATATTAAAAGTCCTTTATTGCGTGAAGGGACGTTCCTTTTACATTTTTTCCCATTTTTACAGTTTCCAGTAAGGGCAACTTTCTGTTTAAAGACCATTGTAGGTGTGTTTTTGATAAGGTGACAGCTTTATGACATGGGTTAAAGCTCACAAGAACCATAATATAGGACCTTTAAAGTAAAAGTGAATAAGTATTTGGAAAAACTACTGCTTGAGTTAATGGGGCAAATATTAAATATGTCAGATTCTTGTATTTCCCAAAAAAAGAGAGAAAATCAAATTACAAAAAACATATTTGAAGGGAATGTATTGTTCAAATAATTTTATGTTAATACTTTTGACATAGAACTACTCAGTGGCAAGAGTAATCAAAACTTTTACTCAAGTAAGAATATTGTTACTTCAAATTAATATTGCTCAAGTAGGAGTTAAAGTTTGGTGAAAGTACAATTACTTCAAATAGTTACTCAAGTAAATGTAACCGAGGACTACTTACACTACCAGTCAAAAGTTTTAGAACACCACACTTTATCCAGTTTTTTACTGTTTGAGCAAAACATATTCTAAACTTTTATATTTTACATATTCTGTCATGAAAGTGTCCACCTTTGGCAGATATAACAGCTGAACACACTCGTGGCTCGTTCTTTTTACAATAGAAATCAAATATTCTTCAGAAAGTTCTTCCCAAGTCTGTTGCAGAAGTTCCCATAAATGTGTGGCACTTGTAGGTTGCTTGGTTTTCACTCTTCTGTCCAGTTCATCCCAAACCAGCTCGATGGGGTTTAAGTCTGGACACTGTGCTGGACACTCCATGTTTTCAAGCTTTACCATCTTGTTCTTTTTTCCTGAGGTAGTTTTGGCAGAGCTTGGACTTGTGTTTTGTATCTTTTATCTTGTTTTTTTAACCTCTGGCTGTTCATTTCTTACCTTTGTACCATTTCAAGCTCTTCACTGGACTTGCACGACTTGAATTGCAATAAGTAACGAGAAAAAATAAGGTGTTCTAAAACTTTTGACTGGTAATGTACCTCTGTCTATTATAAAGAATGAAACAATTAAAAAGAACAAATGGCCGGCCAACCTCATCCAACTGCTGATCCGTCTCCTCGATGTTCCTCTCGTTGGAAAAAGACGGATTCTCAGAGTACATTTTCATCAGTCGCTTTATACCTGTTACAATAATAACTCTGATAAGCATAAACAAAAGTGGCACAATGAAATTTTATGTAAATCTAAATTAAGAACATATATCTTAATGACTGTTTTGGACCTGAGCCATATGTCACTCTGAACCTGAGCAGAGGTCAGAGGTCAGTATGTGCTCAGTTGAGGTGTGGGACTCTGCCTCTGGCCTTGGAGACAGGACGATTCCACTCAGTCCCAGAGGAGGCGCGCACATGTGTTCTGTGCGACTTAAAGGTTGTATAGAAGATTTTCCAAGGAAAGAGAAATGCAGCGACTGTTTGTCCTTTTTCAAATGTTGTGCTTTGCTCCTTTTCCCCTTCTCTTCTTCTTTCCGCGACGTCAAAAATGGACTTTCATTCGCGATGAACTGGTCGTGAATTCTTGTCCGCCGTCACAACAAACTTTGCGCAAACTGAGAGGAAGCTACAGTTTCGAAAAAGACCCCGAGAACCGCTGTATCGGTCGAGTAAACGGCATCAGTGCGTGAGAGGCGAACGTAAACCTCTTAATCCCCCAGAAGAGATTTGAACCCCCCTGAACCCTTAATGACTTTTGCAGTTCACTAAAGAAATTTTGACCTTTAGAAACGGCTGTTTTTCCACATTTCAGAGACTGTGATCGGTGCCACTACAACCCACACTAGACTGTAGGATTCAAGGAATGTTTTCGCCGATTTTTCCGAAGTTAATCGAAATAGTGACTGGTAGCTCCAAAAACACAACAGGAAACCGTGCAATTTGCCGCCAGTTTTAGATCGTATTTATGGATAATAGAGAAAGTCTTTTATAGATTTCAAAGTGATGATGTTGAAGTTGATTATTAAGTGGAAAACGCGACAGCGAGGACTTTCGGGAGAAGGTGAAATGCCGCTGATGCGTCTGTGTGGAGTCTGCGATGTGAAAAAATCTGAGCTTTATACTCGTGAACCAAAATTCTGAAATCGATGTTCCGTCCTTTAAAAATTTGTTTTTTTTCCAAGATGCGATGTAACAGAATCGTACAGAAAAAAATTGCGGAGCTTGCACACGAGTAACCGCAAATACACAACTGACGGGGAAGAGTTTTATTATTATTTATCATTAAGCTAAATTTTTAAGCTAAATGAGAGTTGAATAAGCTGAATAAGTTAAATGGATAATTTGCACACAGGTGAGAACAGGAAGTCTACTGTACGGTGAAAAATCTGTTTAAATACTTTGACGAATATAAACTAGAATGCCAGATGCGAGTTTTGTTTTCGAGTTTGCACCTGACCAGGTGTATCGAGGTAAACTATAAATGAGTTGATCGCATAAATAAAGTTCGGCAGGTTTCAGAGATACCAAATATGCTGTGTGTTCAGAGGTTTATAATCACTCGAAACGTTAAAGCCCTAGTAACCTCGTCCAGTAATCCCAGCGCGCCGGCGAGTCAGTGACGCTAGAAATGTAGGGAGTTTGATTAACAACCCAACAGCCAATAGAAAATGAGGTAGCCTTGTTTTCTATTGGCTGATGTTTATCTGGCCTCACTACATCCACAGTTGATGGATTTTCATTTTTTTTTTTTTTTGGTCATCATAATTACAAGGCTGCTGCGTCTCTGTAATGGTACTTTAAACTTTCACTGACAATTTGAAACAAGTAAAAAAAATCCTCCATACAACCTTTAAAGGACATTGAAAATGAAATGCATTTTCTGCTTTATTGTCCTTTGTATCATGACCTGCGCTGTCAGTTGTTGTCTAATGTGTCTTACTGTTGGTTTGTTATGTCTGATGAGGAGAGACTGAAGTATCTGTTTAAATGTAATGCTTTTAAGTTGGCCCAGTTTGTGTTGAAAGCCTGGGACCTCTGTAAAAGGAGGTTTATGTTTGATGTGTCATCTGTCTGCTTATTGTTTTATGTGTCGTATAAGCTCATGCAGGCTGGACACCAATTAAATGGTGCATGACACTAAATAAGTACAATAAACTAAACTAAACTAAACTAATAAATCAGGTTAAAAAGGCCTGTTATAACTACATTAAAGCTACATTATGTAACTTTTCTGGTAGAGGGTACACTCACATATATGATAAACAAGTGTAATTGTATGAATCCAAAAAAAGGCCTTGTATGTGTTTTCTATTCCATGTATTTAAGCAAAATTTGTCTTGAGGTCAAAATGAGACTGCTGTCCAATAACCAGTAAGTGCACTGATAGCATGCTAGTTGTTTTAAGCTTTAGTGTGATGGCAAAACTCTGCTCTGGCCTCTGGAAGTTGTGAAAAGATCTTATAAACTCATCACGGTGAATAATTTGGATGCTCAGAATGACATACTGTGGAAATATCCATTCAAATCACCAGAAAGTTACACAATGCACCTTTAAATAACTCTCTGTATAGATGTAAATGGACTTACCTTCGATGTCTTTCTTAGTCTTGGCGATATTGTCCTGTAGCCGCCGTAGTTTGACTTGCAGCGCGTCTCTCCTCCGCTCTTTACCCATCAGTGACTTCGAGTCCTCTTCCTGTGCGATAAAAAACAGAGGAACAATCAATATTCAGGTTTGCTCTTCAAATTATGATTCATGTTTATGGAAAATATGTCCCCGCGAAAAAGTACGGCACACATTAGTCTGGCTAATTATGCCATTTTCTACTTTATTGATCCACAAGGGCAAATATTTGGACACAGTAGAAGCTCAAGCCCAGTGGATAAACGTAACAAAGTAAAAGTAGTAAAGTAGTTAAACATTGTAGGTATTTATTCTTTACTCAAGTACAAGAGTGTAGGTTTGTGGACATGTCACAACCAATATTTGGGGATGACAAAATAGTCCCAACCAATATTTACCAATTTATTTTAATAAACAAAAATATACATTTATTCTGATATTTTTCCAAACTCAATAATATTAATGTAACATGTTTTAGTTCACATTTTGTTTATTAGACGTTCTGAGATGTATTCAGTGATATGACAACTGTGATGATGCAACAGTGATCTGCACCCACTGGCGGGTTGATTTCCCACATTGGCAAGACACTTAACCCACCTTGCCCACACACTTGCCCACAACTGGTGTGAATGTGTGTGTGATGGGTTGGTTCCAAGTGCTTGAAGTGTGTGAGCATCAGTGGAGCCAGGAGCCTAAACTGGGGAAACGGCAGGACAGGGTCACACCCGAAGATGTCGGCTTGAGCAGACGTGACTGAAGATGTTCCTTTTTAAAACTTTTCAAAAGGAACTTACTTGGCTTCATCTTCAATTAAACTTGACATAAAATGAGTCGCCACGGAAAAAGAGCGACTATCACCACAAGTGCATCTCCCAAATGGAGCTCTACTCGTGCGCTGTGAGCAGCCCGACTCTACTGACAATATTCCACGGAAAAATATTTGGACATTACTTCACAAATATCTCATCACCAACAAGCAAAGAGAAATCTGCTACAAACTTCTACATCACTGTTATCCACTAAAGAATCATCTTAGCAGGGCAATAGACACAAACTGTACATTTTGCGAACTGAAAAATGAAACCACCTCTCATTTATTTTGGATCTGCCCAGACTCTGTGCGTTTTTGGAAAGAATTCATAAAACAAATGGGCTGATAATGTCCCCACCAAAGCTGAAACCAAACCTACGCCCTTGCTTAATACTTTTTACTTTTACTTCACTAAATTTGAGAGCAGGTTTCTGTACTTTCTATTTCACTACATTTTTTAACTGGACTGAAAAGAAGAAGTATTTGTTTATCATAGTTTGAGGCCTGTTTTTAACAAATTTGGAGTCTGAACAAATAAAAATATACAAATAAAAACAGCTAGGAAAAGAACAAGTACAAATCTTCAAAACCTGTGTCAATATCGCTTCATTTAGATCTCAAAATCTGAGCAAAACACTTCTACTTTTTACTATTTAAGTAAATTTTTAAACAAGTACTTTAATACTGTTACTTTTACTTGAGCTTTTTTTTTGCTCTTCTATCTGTATTTTACTTAAGTACACCTACGTACAAGGATAGTTTTAACTTTTACTTCACAAAATTTTAAGGCAGGTATCTGTACTTTCTACTTCACAACATTTTTGAACTGGACTGAAAAGTAAAAGTATTTGTTTATCATAGTTTGAAGCCTGTTTTTAACAAATCTGGAGTCTGAACAAATAAAAATACACAAATAAAAACAGCTAGGAAGTAGTATCAAGTAGTAGTACAAGTAGTACAAGTAGGAGTAGTATCAAGTAGTAGTAGTAGTAGTAGAATCTTCAAAACCTCTATCAATATCACTACATTTGAAGCTTTATTTAGATCTCAAAATCAGAGCAAAATACATTTACTTTTTACTATTTAAGCACATTTTTAAACAGGTACTAATACTGTTACTTTTTTTTTTTTGCTCTGCTTTCTGTACTTTTACTTAAGTAACAAAACTGAATACTTCTTCCACGACTACACAAATACGATATAAAGACGTGAATAAGAATACTGGTGAAAGCAAAATGCGAAAATAGGTCAGATCTTAGCGTGGGGGAGCGATATACAGATTTATGCAAAGATCTGAGTCCTAAGAGTAATGAGTGAAATTCAAAATCTCCTTGCTAATCTAAAAACCCACACTTCTAGGAAACATTACATAATTTAAAGCCGCAGTATGTCACTTTTTAGCCCAAAATAGACCAAAAAAAGAAGAAGAAATGCATTTTTGGTTGTGTTTATTGCACCGAAAAAAACGTATCCTTACTGTGAACGGGCTTGCATCTCCACAAACCTGACTCTGGTGTTAATATTCCACACTCTGGCATGAAACTTTTCTATCTCTATGCAGAATGTTCCAGAGTTTGGCTTTAACTTTGGAGTTTTTATGCAGATACTTACACATTTTACGATTTGTTCCTTCAGCATTAACCTGCCTGAAAATGAGGCTGAATGGGTCACTTGGTACATTAACATACTCGCTGGACTTCACATAAACTTTTATCCAGCTGAAATAAAATCTTAAATGGCTAAAATGGTTTATCAGGTTTGCAGTAAAAGTGTGAAGTTACTTTGAAAGGCCAACACTAATGTATATATTTGCCTGCAGATGTGGGTAGTACTTCGCTGTTCTTTGAGTAACCTTTTAAAGAAACTGTACTTTTCTAGCAGCGACTTTTACTCCTACTTGAGTAATATTTTTTACTGAAGTAACAGTACTCTTACTTCAGTAAAGCTTTTCTCGCTGTGAGTAAATCTACAAGTGACAAAAGTTTTATGTTGACAATATGAAGTGATTTGAACATTTGTGTTTCTTTCACTGTTCCTTCAAATAAGTGTAGAGTAGTTTTTTTTTATTTTTTGTGTTCTATCCTTTGAAAATACAAAATTTTGTTCATTATTTGATGTTTTGTCCTTCCAATTACGTTACTCTTTGAAGGTTTGTACGCAAAATTGACTCTTTTGATCTTTCAGCCATGTTATGATGCCGTTACCTCCACAAAAACAGAGCTGGAGTTGTGTTTTGTTTCATTCACACATGTTTGAGTAACTCTTTGTTATTAGTCTGTCTACATCTCCAAAGATCAAAATGCACCATTCCACCTTGTGATGTCATAAACTCTGAGGAAGATCACTAGTGAGCAGTCGAAAATGTCAGGAATGAAAACAAACTCTTGATCTGAAAAAAGAACCTAATAACATAAATCAGTGTTTCCCAAACTTTTTTTCTGGGGACTCATATTTTAAAAGTCACAAACCTTTGTGACTCAAGTCAATAGACATTAATCGTAAATCACAAAATAAAGGTGGATTTGACCATTATTGAACATTAACGAGGATATTTTATTGTTTACTGAGTGATCGTGTCTCTGAACAATTAGTATTAGTCAAGTTTTAAACAATGAAAAACAGTAATTGAAGCAGCAATAAAAGGATCCAAAAGTCGCCTATTTGTATGTTAAATGTTGTCCATTTCTATTTCTTTCCAACATTCAATTGAAGCAGCAATATTGGAACAAAATAGTCAATAAAATAATTACTAAAAGATAAAAAATTATACAAGACATGTCTTAACATTTCAACATTTTTAATGAGATAGGTGGGCCTGTCTGTGTTTTTGTAGCGTGTTCCAGTCCGGGTGCAGGAGGAGAGCGCAACATACAGGTCAGGCGACTCAAAAAAATATATCTTGCGACCCACCTGAGGATCGCGACCCAGTCTTTGGGAAACACTGACATAAATAAATTATCGGAAGACCAAATGAACTTCATTGGACTATGAAGAGGTAGTTTCAAGTTTTTAGTTCAGCATTTAGTTCAGTAGAGATGGACAATTCCAGGAATAAAATCGTCCTAATGATTCTAGTGAAGGTGTATGAAGCTTAAAAACACAGTGAGGTACTTCCTGTATTACCACATGACATCACAAGGTGGAACGCAGTGTGAACTCAGCCTAAATATGCAGGATTTGTGTGTTAACAATGTGTGAATGAAACAAAACACAACTCCAGGTCTGTTTGTGAAGCGGAAACAACATTATAACACAGATCAGATCTTATTTGAGTCATTTCTTGTGCCACGACTTTGTACTTGTACTTGAGTATTTATTTTGAACTAACAACTCTTACTTGCCAGATGATATTGACAACTCACTGCTCCCCCCTAACCCAGTAGTTTCCAGACTGGATTTTATAACACAGACGTCACCGAGGACCATAAACGGTGGTCAGCTTTGAGAACCACACCTCAGGCTTGTAACGTTTTTATTGAGCGTATGATACAGCAGTTTTCAAATTGCAGTAAAAAGTTTGTGTTTTGGTCATTCGGGACGACAAAATCTGATCTGGCTGCACTTGGACCCCAGGCCACAGTTTGGACACCCCTGCCTTCACCGCCCACCAAGAGAAAGTAGATTCAGCTTTGAAGGGAACATTAAACTTTTCCTGATCTATATTTTATAATTTTGTTTTCGTAGGATCTTTAATCTGCAGTAAAGTAACTTGAAAGTACACCACAAATATTAGAAAAACGATGAGTGGTGCAAGAAAATGTTCAAATGATTTCATATTGTCACTTTTGTCACTTGTAGATTTATAACAGTAGGAAGAGGAACCAAAACTTTTACTCAAGTAAGAGTATTAAATAAAAAATATTATTTAAAAGTAGAGCCCGACCGATATATCGGTTGGCTGATATTATCGGCTGATATGGGCAACTTTAGGCATATCGGCTATCGGCCGATAGGGGCCGATATTTCACGTGGGCATGTTATACCTTTAAAAGCTTAGACTCTCTACATTATGTTCATTTAATCCAATTTACAGACAGATAAATGTCCTAATATGTGGCTCCACATCAGTATTTATCTACGGAGTCATTTGTCTGTGTGTCCTACTGTCCGTGAACACACCACAGAGTCGCGTCACTCACGTGTGTTTGTTTACATCTGCAGACACAGATCCAAACACTGAGATTATTTTCTTTTTACGGACAATCGGTTTGAGTCTGGATTAAAAGGACATTTATTAGTGCAGATTTGTGATGTGGGAGGAGCCTGTATGAGCGGTGAGTGTTGGAAATATGTCGACTCTGAAGCTAGTTTTTGTCATTTGTTATGGGTTAGCTGCTGTAGCTCCCGCACATAAACAGACTGTTTTCTATTGGTCTGTTCTAAAGTGACTATATTGGCCGTATATTTGTTACTGGACCTGCACTGATATGTAAATGAGCTGTGAATAGAGGTGTGAATTATGACATTTGCGCATATAATTAATTACCGCGGAGCGCACGTATTTACGGCTAAAGGCTAATAGCGCTACTTTCTTTACTAGTTATGGGTCCGTCGCGAACGAAATGACTCTTAGAACCGGCTCTTTGAAGGGAACGACGGGGAGCCTGATCCTTATTGGGAGCCGTGTTTTCTCTTTCTCTCACTTTTTTTTTCTCTTCACGCCGCGTGCAGACTCGTGGTAGTTTGACAGCGGCTGAAAACGAAACTTTGAGAAATTTGCGTGTACGTAGGATTTAAAAAAAAACAAAAAAAAAACAAAAACAAAACGAACATATCTGACTGTAGTTTAGCATAAAATAAATAAGTCCCAGTTTAGTCCTTTTTCAGTCCTGGTTTAGACCTGGTTCAGTCCTGATTCAGTCCTGCTTTAGACGTGCTTTAGTCCTGCTTGCAATAAAAACAATCTGAAGAGCCACTTGGGAGCCAAAAGAACCAGCAGCTTTTAGTGAGCCGAGCCAAAAGAGCCGGTTCTCTAAAAAGAACTGGAATACCCATCACTAGTGTCTAGAATGTGACGCAAAAATGCCATTAAGCCAAACTACTGTCTGTAAATATGATGTAAAGAGGCAGAATAACAATAAATGTTGCCTAAATAAACCCAATTTAAAATCCATCAGAGCCAAACCTAAGTTTTTTAAACAATTCAACATTTACAGTGAATTTTTACATCACTAAATATATCGGCGATTATATCGGTTATCGGCAGCTACAACTTACATTATATCGGTTTCATATCGGCCACAGCAAAATCCATATCGGTCGGGCTCTATTTAAAAGTTCCATCTGATTTCTCCATAAAGATGTTGTTGCTTTGTCTGAAATTTCTCGCAATATGGCATTAAACCTTTCATTATCATCATGAAGAACAAACCAGGGAGAGGCTCACAGTTAGAATGCCTGTTTTTCTAGCTATTTTTGAGCAATAAACCACTTATTCCGTATTTTTCTGATTATAAGTTGCACTTTTTTTCATGGTTTGGGTGTTTCCTGCGACTTATATATTAAAATTTTCACACTGATAAACTTCCAGTGTCCAGGAGGAATCAGGTGAACACGACAGGAAAGACATCACTGTTCCTCTGCTCTGGTGTTTTGTTTGGCGATGAAATGGTCCGTTCCCTCAAAATGTTTCCTCTACCGTGTTTATTGCCACATATGGTGTGTAAAACGCCTGTAGCTGCTGTGACGCTGCAGGACACAGAGGAGAGACACTTTTGGCTCTTCCACGGGATCTGCTGACTCTCCCTGACCAGTCCTCCTGTTAAACTGCACTCAGACCTTTGACTGACACACAAAGGACACTCAGATGCACAGTGGAAACGTTACTGCAGTAAAAACAGGATTTCCCTTGGGATTAATAAAGTATCTCTCTCTGTGTTTGTCTGTCTGTCTCTCTCTCTCTGTCTCTCTAAACACAGTGGGTTTATGTTCTAAATGTTAGAGCAGTTTAATGTCGTACTGTGGAACATTTGAAGCAGAGCAAAGACAAGAAGGAAGGAATTTCCCTCGGGATCACTAAAGTATCTTTCTCTCTGTCTCTCTTCATCTCTGTCTCTGCGTGTCTCTCTGCATGTCTCTCTCTTTTTCTGTTTCTGTCTCTCTCTGTGTCTCTCTCTGTCTTTGTCTCTCTCTCTTTGTCTCTTTCTGTCTGTCTCTCTTCATCTCTGTCTCTGTAAGTGTCTCCCTTTCTCTCTGTCTCTTTCTCTCTGCCTCTCACTCCTTCCGTCTCTCTCTCTTTGTCTCTCTGTGTCCCTGTCTCTCTCTCTCTCTCTCTGTCTGTTTCTGTGTGTGTGCCTCTCTCTTTCTCTCTCCATCTCTCTCTCTGTCTGTTTCTGTCTCTCTCTGTCTCGCTATCTCTCTGCATGTCTCTCTCTTTTTCTGTTTCTGTCTCTCTCTCTCTCTGTCTCGCTCTCTTTGTCTCTTTCTCTCTCTCTGTGTCTGTCTCTGTCTCTCTCTTTATGTCTCCCTCTCTCTTTGCCTCTTTCTCTCCCTCTCTCTCTGCCTCTTTCTCTCTCTATCTCTGTCTGTCTCTCTTTCTGTCTGTCTCTTTCTCTCTGCCTCACTCTCTGTCTGTCTCTCTGTCTGTCTTTTTCTCTCTCCGTCTGTCTCTCTGTCTCTTTCTCTCTCTGTCTGTCTCTTTCTCTCTGCCTCACTCTCTGTCTGTCTCTCTTTCACTCTCTGTCTGTCTCTCTGTCTGTCTCTTTCTCTCTGCCTCACTCTCTGTCTCTCTCTCCGTCTGTCTCTTTCACTCTCTGTCTGTCTCTCTCTCTGTCTCTTTCTGTCTGTCTCTTTCTCTCTTCCTCACTCTCTGTCTGTCTCTTTCACTCTCTGTCTGTCTCTTTCTCTCTCTGTCTGTCTCTTTCTCTCTCTGTCTGTCTCTTTCTCTCTCTGTCTGTCTCTTTCTCTGTCTCTTTCTCTCTCTGTCTGTCTCTTTCTCTCTCTGTCTGTCTCTCTCTCTGTCTCTTTCTGTCTGTCTCTTTCTCTCTTCCTCACTCTCTGTCTGTCTCTTTCACTCTCTGTCTGTCTCTTTCTCTCTCTGTCTGTCTCTTTCTCTCTCTGTCTGTCTCTCTCTCTGTCTGTCTCTTTCTCTCTCTGTCTGTCCCTTTCTCTCTTCCTCACTCTCTGTCTGTCTCTTTCACTCTCTGTCTGTCTCTTTCTCTCTCTCTGTCTGTCTCTTTCTCTCTCTGTCTGTCTCTCTCTCTGTCTCTTTCTCTCTCTGTCTGTCCCTTTCTCTCTTCCTCACTCTCTGTCTGTCTCTTTCTCTCTCTGTCTGTCTCTCTCTCTGTCTCTTTCTCTCTCTGTCTGTCTCTTTCTCTCTGCCTCACTCTCTGTCTGTCTCTCTCTCTGTCTCTTTCTCTCTCTGTCTGTCTCTTTCTCTCTTCCTCACTCTCTCTGTCTGTCTCTTTCTCTCTCTGTCTGTCTCTCTCTGTCTGTCTCTTTCTCTCTCTGTCTGTCTCTTTCTCTCTCTGTCTGTCTCTCTCTGTCTGTCTCTTTCTCTCTCTCTCTCTGTCTCTTTCTCTCTCTGTCTGTCTCTTTCTCTCTGCCTCTCACTCTCTCTGTGTGTGTGTGTGTCTCTCTGTCTCTGTCTCTCTCTCTGTCTCTCACTCTCTCTCTGTCTCTTTCTCTCTCTGTCTGTCTCTTTCTCTCTGCCTCTCACTCTCTCTGTGTGTGTGTGTCTCTCTGTCTCTGTCTCTCTCTCTGTCTCTCACTCTCTCTCTGTCTCTCTCTATCTCTAAACACAGTAGGTTTTCGTTCTAAAAGCTAGAGCAGTTTAATGTCGTACTGTGGAACATTTGAACCAGAGCAAAGACAAGAAGGTGACGGACCCACCAACCGAAAAGTTACACAGTGCTTGTTTAAGTAAGAGCATGTAGTAAGCTGTTAGAAAAGTACTCGTGTCTTTTTTTGAGAGTGAAATTCAGTTCACGTTGTAGGTCACATTATAAACTGGATCTTACGTAATAGTCGACCATGAGAAACTCGGCCTTGTTGTCCTCTGGAGGGAGGCGGTGATCAGCCAACAGTGTGTCTATATCTCTGTCCACGTCCACCCTCTGTACGGTCTGCTCGATCTGCTTCTGCCCCTGAACACACCACACACAGTAAACACACGCTCTGGGGCCTGCTAGAGCCTACTACTACTACTACTACTACTACTTTATCATTATGAATGTGGGAGGAGTTAAAGCGGCGTCCTACGTGTTTGAGAGCCTGCCCGAAACTGGACATGTGGAGGTTGTATCTGCTCAAAGCCTCGCCCAGCACTTCGATTCGCTGTTTCTCCATTTCCTGAATGATCTGTAGAACATATGTAAGATAAAACATGTTCAAATAAAACATCGTACTGATATTAATTAGTATTTATTTATTTTTAATTACAAAAGCATCGGACATGGCCAAGTTGTTGATGTTATATTTATATAGTTATATATATACAGTTCTCAAGTTAATTATCCAAACAGTATGAGCCTCACATGAGACTCATTTGGGTTGCCAGTTTCAGTGTTGAAAACCTAAAACAAATATGTTAAATTCAGGCCCAGGGGCTAAATTTGGCCCGCCATATAATAATATTTGGCCCACGAGATCATATCAAACATGTATTTGAGCTGGCCTGTCACCTTCATATAGGCTATAGAGACATTATTTATTTAAAATGTTGTTATTATTTTATATGATGCTTGTTCTGGATTCAATGTTTAAGCAAAAATATTATTAAACATTTATTTTAATAAGAAAAGGTTTAACATTGCATATATCGAAAGAAGAGAAAACATGCAGATGTTGAAATTTTTCAATAAATATTTAGTTTGGCCCACAACTTAGTCTCAGTTTTAAATTTTGGCCCTTTGTGAATTTGAGTTTGACACCCCTGACCTAAAAGGACTCTTTCTGATCTAAACGGTCAGTGCCTAAACTCCAGAACCTGCAGCCAAACACTGAGCAGTGCTAGTGCAGCCGCTGCAACTCAGGGAGTGAATTCTGGAGGTTTGTCCATATACTGAGAATGAGAACAACTTGTATGTGTCTTCTGTATGCAGATTAAAAGGACAGTCTGTAATTTTGGGCTTAGGGCCTCATTTCCGTTTTGATTTCTGTTTTAGTGGCAGCATAAATATGACCATTGACATGCACTAGTCTAGCACCAGAGACCTCTGCAAACACAAGGACTGGATGGAATATTTAAAAAAGTGTCTCCACACGTCTCCAACACTCTGGTTCACTAGGAAATGAGGTTCTATGTCCAAAATTCCAGACTGTCCCTTTAAGGAACTAGCAACCCAGCTTAAATTTTTAGAACTGTAATAGCACAGTTTACATACAGTCTATAAAATATATGAATAAAAGTATTTAATATAATACTTAACTTTAAATGTGATTTCTATTCCAATGATGATTTATTAAAATATTTACTTTAATTATGAATACAATTATGACTACTAAATGATATGCTCCACCTAAATTTCCACAGTTTTACCTGATAACATGCTTTGAGCGTGTTCTCCCACTTCAGTCTCATCTCGTGTCCCTCCAAGTTCATGTTGAAATACTCCTCGTCCACTCGCGCCTGGAGCTCTGCCGACTTGGTCAATCTGTTTAGCATCTGAAATCATAAAAAATACAGTATATATACGTAGTGTAACCATAGACTGTATAACGTATAAGCAGCCACATGCATTTAAGAGCAGGGAGTCAAATATCTCAAATATCTGGCTCACCTTTTGTTTTTCTTTCTCTGTGCTGAGGTGTTTGTTGCTCTCTACAAAGTTGAACAGGGCTTCGTGTTCTCTGGTCAATCCAACAAGTTTCTTTTTGAGCTGAAAAGTTGGTACAGCAGATAAACACAAAACACAGTTACAGCAGTTACAGTGAGACTATTTTTCAATGTAAAGTCAATAGGAAACAGAGTCGATGGAGCCAGAAGTGCCCCCATGATCACTTCCAATTTGTGAGTTTTCTTTACCTTCAGTTGCTCTGTCCAGTTTGCTGTAACCGCTTTCCCACTTCTTTCAATGGCACTGTCAAGCTTTAAGAGGTAAAAATCTTCAATTCAACTCAAAATTTAAATATTTGAAGTGTTTATAAATAAAATACTCGTCTTACAGGCCTCTTCCTCTTGTTGTGTTCATCCAGGACCTGCTTTAGTTCCACTGTGGCCTCTTGCTGAAACGCATTGCCCAAAGACCTGACAGAAGTTCACACATTTAGTTGGCTACAGATTACTTCATCACACACTACCAGTCAAAAGTTTCTCTCAGTGTGTGCTTTTTTTCTATATATTTACTACTTTCTACATCTGACATACATATAGAAGGCATCACATATATGAAATAAGATGTATGGAACTATGAAGCAAAGAAAAAGAGATAAATAACTCTACTAAATATATTTTTATACTGTATTTTATGTTCAATCCCTTTGCTTTGTTGAGTTTTCTCTTTCTTTTTTCTTGAGTGTATCCAAACTTTTGACTGGTAGTGAATGTTAAAACAGCACAAGTCAAAAGTTTAGACACACCCTTCCATTTAGTGTTTTTTTTTTCTTTTTTCTTACTGCTTACTACATTTTCTATACATACAGGAGACATCAAACGTATGACGCAGCATATATGGAATTATTTACTAAAGAAAAACAGTTAAATAACTCAAATATTTAATGAATACTTAACACGCAAATAAAACAAAAACATTTTTATACATACATTTCATATTCAAAACCTCAAATTAGCCACCCTTTGCTTTGTCAACAATATTTAGTGGAGTTATCTAACTTTCTTTACAAAATAATTCCATATATCATGCTTTATATTTTTTATGACTTCTTCTTCTGTATGTATATATCAAATGTAGAAAGTAGTAATAAAAAAGACATTGGTGCTGTTTAAAAATACACGTTTTTTTTTTCTTACTACTTTCTACATTTGATATAAAAACAGGAGACAGCAAATATATGAAGCAAGATATATGGAATTATTTACTAAAAAAACTGTTAAAAACTAAAATATTTAATACTTAATACTCAAATCTAACATTTTTAATATATACATTTCATATTCAAAACCTCAAATTAGCCACCCTTTGATTTGTCAAAAATATTTAGTAGAGTTATCCAACTTTTTTACAAAATAATTACATATACAGTATTTACAGTATCTTCTATATGTATATGTCAAATGTAGAAAGTAGTAATTAACCCTAACCCTAAAGAAAAAAAACTGTTAAATAACCCAAATATTTAATACTTAATTCTCAAATATAGCATTTTTAATATATGTATAATTTATATTCAAAGTAGTAATAAAAAAGAAAGAAAAAATGAATGAGACAGTGTGTCCAAACTTTTGATTGGTGTTGTTTAAACATACACAAGTTTTTTTTTTGTTTTTTTTACTACTTTCTACATTTTATATACATACAGAAGACATCAAATATATGAAGCAAGATATATAGAATTATTTAGTAAAGAAAAAAAGGTAAATAAATCTACTAAACATTTTTTGACAAAGCAAAGGGAGGCCACTTTGAGGATTTGGTTATAAAATGTATATAAAAATAGTAGAGTAGAGTTATTTCATTTTTTTTTTCTTTGGTTAAGGTTAAGAAAAAAGATAATTCCATACATCTTGCTTCAAATATATTACATGTCTTCTGTAGTGTATATATATCAAATGTAGAAAGTGTTAAGAAAAGGGAAAAAAAAAACATTGAGAGTCCAAATGAGTATTTATTATGGTTGTATTCAGAGTCATATCTCTCTTTATCGGACTGTGCACAAACACAGGCCCCATTTCCAACATGGCCCCTCAAAGGTGAGAGTTTAGTCCTATTGCAGATTAAGACAAGATATTTATTGGAAAAACACAAATGTCAAAGTGCATTCCTGACCGCTGACTGTAATCGTTTTGTAACATCTTTATGAATCATCGAGGCTACGGGTTATGAATGACATTAATGGATTTATCAGTGAATAGATAGAATGTGATGAGAACACACTCCCACAAGATGCCACGATGATGAATACACAGATGTCAACTACAGTCACTTAAAGGGCCCATGTGATGCTATTTTCTGATCTGTGTTATAATGTTGTTTCCTCATCACAAACATACTGTATCTGGAGTTGGGTTTTGTTTCATTCACACATTTTTAACACACAAACCCTGCAAATTTAGGCTGAGTTCTTCTCTCAAACTGAAAACACTCTGTTCCACCTTGTGATATCACGTGGTGTTGGTCATACAGGAAGTGCCCCACCACGTTTTAAAGTCCATACATTAATATTTCAAAGGGGACATTTTTATTTTGAATTTGAAACATAAATTCAAACTACAATTCAGAATAAAAATCATTCAAACGTCTTTTTTAGAGTTCAAAATTCAAAGTGATGAAACAAATGATCTTCCATAAAGGTGCACTATGTAACTTTTTGGTTGGTGCGCTTGCTTGTTTCTATGGAAACGCAACAATAACCGAAATATCGTGATATTGTATCGTCAAAAGTCTCACAATAATATCGTGGGCTGTCACAATATATCGAATCCCAAGTTTCTTTACTTAAATACATGGTTTTACAGTAGCAACAGCTTATAAACATTGGAAACTACATATCCCATGATTCATTTCAGTGCAGACAACATGAACAAACATGTTTTTTACTTGAATTCTTGGGATTATGACAGAAATAATTCACATCAAAATTTTGTCTTTTAAAAGCAAAAAAGTGTCCTATCTACTATTATATTAGCCTCTCCAAAATATCAAAATAAATATCGTACAGTGAGATGAATATCGTGATAATATCGTACGGAGAGATTTGGATATCGTTACATACCTACTCCATATACCTTCAAAAAAATCAATTTTATAATCTCAGCCCTGAAATTGACAATCTCTGCTAACCTAAAGGTAAAGAAAGGTAGCTGTTAATGTGACAACTAACACTTCATGACATCACAAGGCGGAACAGAGCATTTTGAGCTTTGGAGATGTAAACAGACTAATAAAGTAAACATAACTCCAGGTCTGTTTGTGACAAGGTAACAGTATTATAACATGGCTTAAAGGTGTATGGAAGATCATTTGTTCCGTCAGATTCTGAATTTTAAATAGTGTTGAATTTCTCACTTTGAATTTTTTTACTCTGGAAAAACATATTTGAATTATTTTTATTCAGAATTTTAGTTGCTGAACTTTGAAGTGAGGTGAAGTGAAAGAAAATCACCTTTTAAATATTCAGTATATATATTGTTAAGCCCTCAAATTCAACAGACAAAATTTAGAGTGTCAGTTTTGCAGTAAAAAATCAATTGTTGCTTGACATCTTGGATCTTTGCTGTGAAATTTTTCCACTGCGAATTTTCCACTTTGAATTTTGACTATTGGATTTGAGAGCTTGACAATACTGAATATTTAAAAGGTGACATGTTTATTTTGAATTTGAAACATAAATTCAAACTAAAATTCAGAATAAAAATCATTCAAACATCTATTTTAGAGTTTAAAAATTCAAAGTGAAGAACAAATAATCTTCGATAAAGGTGCACTATGTAACTTTTTGGTTCCGTCACCTGCTTGTTTCTATGGAAATGTCATTGCTCTGCCTGGAATGTTCCACAGTGTGACATTAAACAGCTCTACTTTACATTTATTCAATTACAAATGGTTTTATAGCTCAAAAATACCCAGAAAACAGGCGTAGCAATAACATCTCCATGGATAAAAACATTTAAGCTACACCAGAAAAGTTACATAACGCACCTTTAAAGCTCAAAAGTAAACAAGAGTTAATTTTGCGTAATACAGGACCTTTGAACTTACTTTATAACAAACAACTTAAGTGCATACTGAGGAAAACTTCACTACACCCCTTATACAAATACAGAGCTCTGTAAACAGACTGGTGTGATTTAGATTTTCACCTCCTCAGAGTTCTTTGGCCTCACTTGTGTTTGTGTTTGTGATGTGTTGTGTGGTTGTGTGGTTGTGTGGTTGTGTGGTTTGTACCTGTGGGCGTCCGCTCTGGAGTACATCTCATCAGACACATGACACCAGGCGCTGTAGGTGGAACTGAGCAGGAGCCAGTATGGAAAAAGTTAGAGCTGAATGATGGAGACTAACAGGCTAACACACAATGTAATCCTCATAATGGCAAAACATTATTATAAACAGTATATTTAAATCCAGGTTTTTTCTAAGTCCTCGCACATTTTTAAAGCTTTTTGCAATAAAATAAAACTGTATTATAAAAGTTAAAAATAAAAAAATCTATCAAATCCAAAATGGCAACTGAACTATTAAATCATATTGGACATTACAAATAAACTGAGTCAAGTCAAGATCGCACGAATCCAGACCAAGACCAGTTAGAGACCTCAGGGTCCCGAGACCAAGACCAAGACTTTTAAAGGTCGAGACCGAGACAAGACCAAGACTTTTAAAGGTCGAGACCGAGACAAGACCAAGACTTTTAAAGGTCGAGACCGAGACAAGACCAAGACTTTTAAAGGTCGAGACCGAGACAAGACCAAGACTTTTAAAGGTCGAGACCGAGACAAGACCAAGACTTTTAATGGTCGAGACCGAGACAAGACCAAGACTTTTAATGGTCGAGGACCAAGACAAGACCAAGACTTTTAATGGTCGAGACCAGAGACAAGACCGAAGACTTTTAATGGTCGGTACCAGGACAAGACGAAGACTTTTAAAGGTCGAGACCGAGGCAAGACCAAGACTTTTAATGGTCGGGACCAGGACAAGACGAAGACTTTTAATGGTCGAGACCAAGACAAGACCAAGACTTTTAAAGGTCGAGACCGAGACAAGACTAGGACTTTTAAAGGTCGAGACCGAGACAAGACCAAGACTTTTAATGGTCGAGACAGGACAAGACCAAGACTTTTAATGGTCGAAACCGAGGCAAGACCAAGACTTTTAAAAGGTCGAGACCGAGGACAAGACCAAGACTTTTAATGGTCGAGACGAGACAAGACCAAGACTTTTAATGGTCGAGACCGGGACAAGACCAAGACTTTTACTGGTTGAGACCGAGATCGAGACCGAGACAAGACCAAGACCACAGCCCATCAAGACCAAATCAAGACCATCTTTGTAATTTTCAACATTTATTCATATTTTACAGTTATTTTGGCACAAATATATCACTGTTTTTTATAAATCTATCTCCATTTTATCACTTGTCGAGTGTCAGACCTCGAGACCGAGACAAGACTGAGTCAAAATGCCTTTAAGACCAAGACAAGACCAAGCTGAAATGCGGTCAAGTCCGAGATGAGACTAAGACCAAAAAAAAAGAAGAAGTCTCGAGGCCGTTCTCGAAACCAAGACCGGTCTTGAGTACTACAATACTACCCTGACCCATAAAAATGAACAAAAAAAAAGTATTTATTAAAATTTTTTGCATCCTTTTATTTGTTTATTATATATTTTTTACACCGATTTATTTCCGTTCATTATTAATACTGTACACGTTTAACAATAATAATAAAAATACATATATAATTTTATGTTAATTTTATGTTACTGAAGAATCTGACTTACTTGTTGGTCATTTCTTTGGACGCCCTGATGAGTTTTCCAGCGAGCTTCTGAAGGCCTTTAGCGTACGTTAGCTCAAGTTCGGACCTGTGATTAAATTACATAAATAGTTTAGTTGAATTGTAATTTTTGTGGAAACTTTACTAAAGCCATGTCAGAATATTGTTACCTCCTCAAAAACACCTGGAGTTGTGTTTTGTTTCATTCACACGTCTGAGTAAAACTTTATTATTAGTCTGTTTACATCTCCAAAGCTCAAAATGCTCTGTTCCACCTTGTGATGTCATAACTTTTACCTTTCGTTTAGTAGAGATTTGAAGTTTCATGGCTGAAATCGTCCAGATGATTCTAGTGAAGGTGCAGTTTAAAAACACAATGGGGCACTTCCTGTATTACCAAATGACATCACAAGGTGGAACAGAGTGTTTTCAGTTTGAGAGAATAAATCAGCCTAAATACGATGGGTTTGTGTGTTAAACATGTGTGAATAAAACACAACTTCGGGTCTGTTTTTGATGAGAAATTAACAATACAATTACGTAGATCTGAAAATAGCGTTTAATAATATTTAAACCGGATATCCAGGCAGGCAATGTGACTGAAATGTCTTGCTCAGGGACACACTGGCAGTATGCACTATGGTGAGGTGCTTTCTGCTTTCATCTAGTTTGCAAACGAATGCTTAACCAGTGATAAGCAACGTTCCACCAGAGAACAGTCTGCCCCTTCCAAATATTTTAAAGCGAGACAAGATAAGATAAACTGTCTTGCCCAAGCACACAACAGCATTCTCTCTTTGATGGAAAGCGGAAATTGAACTCCCAACCCTATATTCAGTGGAAAAACCTGCACTATCTCCAGGTAAATGCAAATGTATGGAACTGATAGTTTGAAAAGAAAATTAAAGATCCCATATTACACAAAGTAGACTCTTCTTGTGAGCTTTAAACCATGTTATACTGTTGTTACCTCATCAAAAACAGACCCGGAGTTGTGTTTTGTTTCATTCAGCAGCGCTCAAAATGCTCTGTTCCACCTCGTGATGTCATGAAGAGGTAGTTTTCAAGTTAACATCTCCTTTTACCGTTAATTCAGTAGAGATTGGCAATTCCAGAGCTGAAATTATCCAAGTGATTCTAGTGAAGGTGTATGGCGTTTAAAAACACAGTGGAGCACTTCCTGTATTACCACATGACATCACGAGGTGGAACAGAGTATTTTCTGTGTGAGAGAAGAACCTAAATATGCAGGATTTGTGCGTTAAACATGTGTGAATGAAACAAAACACAACTCCAGGTCTGTTTGTGATGAGGAAACAACATTATAACATAGATCAGAAAATTGCGTAATACGGGCCCCTAATGTCCCCCTATTAATTTAGAATTTAAAACAGACATTATTAATTTAAATATAATAAACTATAAAATAAAATTGACATTTTTCATAAGGACACATAGAGTTATTGTTTAATTTTTGGACTAAATAAGTTATCTCGAGTTAAAACAGAAACAACCTGAGTAAGTCAAACAGTAACTTTGGCTACGACTGAATGAATGGGCCGTTAACGGTGGAGGGTCTGTCATATTCTTGTTTCCACGGAGACGTTAGTGCTTTGTCTGGAATGTTTCACAGTATGGCATTAAACCAGACCAAGTTACGGGTCAGATCTGTGGAGAGGCGACGTCGCTTACAGTCAGAATGCCTGTTTTTAGGTATTTTTGAGCTATAAAATCACCTGTAGTTGTATAAAAGTAAGGTAGAGCTGTTTAAAGTCACACTGTGGAACATTCTAGGCAGAGAAATATCCATATCCAATCCACAGAAACAAGCAGGTGATGGACGCTCCACCAGAAAAGTTACATAGTGCACCTTTAATACCAGTAGACTAAATCAAAATGACACTATTTATCTATCTAAATGGCTCCTTACTGTTTACTAATAATAATATTGTACAATTTAAGTTTCATTTTAGCATAATTTTCGCTCTGGACAAGACCAGGAAGTAGAAATCAAACAAATACTCCTTTTGAATTGGTAAGGATATCGATAAATCAACCGATAAAAGTACAAATGATCTTATTTTGTGTCAATTTGTAAGCTGTTTACGCAAAAACAAAATGTAATTACGATCACATTCATAACATAACGTACCTTTGCTGAAAAACTGCCATGAGCTCCTTGCAAAAATACTCCCCCGATTTCGAAAAGCGCTTGACATCCTGGTACAGCTGGTTGTACTGTAACAAAAAATGGGTTAATCACAATTTTTTTTGCAGTTTTAGTCGGAAAAAAAGACCAGAATCCACCTGACTGGACGGTATGTGCTCTTTCTCTCCAGTGCATGTTTTCAAATGTGGCGTCCCCTCATGTCTCTGTTTGTGTTTGAAAAGGAGAAAAACTTACCATGCAGGTGCTGATTGGGTCCTTCATCTTGAGACTGTTTGTGGACTTCGGATTTTGAACTTTGTACGCCCAAGCCCTCCAGGTAAAACCACTCACGCGCATAGTACCTGCACGTTTTGCAAGGGAGCAGTGAGAAAAGAGGAAAATTCCATGGACCAGGATTGTAAATATCACTGTACTTGTATTTCTGTAACGCTAGAGCAGATTAAAAAGGTAGTATGCGTGCCCCTATCTTGTATGTAGTGTACACACAAAGTTAACTGACGACAGGAGTGGACTGACTGGGCGTGACGAAGTAATAAATAACACTTCAAACAGTAGCATAAAGGTCAAAGGTGCAGCTTAAAATTAAAAAAAAAGAAAAGTTGGAAATTAGCAGAATTTCAATGTGTTGGCAATATTAAAGAGGCCCATATTAAGCTATTTTCTGATGTTGTAATGTTGTTTTCTCAACAAAAACTGAACTAAACTAAATTGGAAACACTGAAAACACCTTGTGATGTCATGTGGTAATACAGGAAGTGCTCCGGGGTGTTTTTAAGCTCCATACACTTTCACGAGAATCATTTGGATTTGGACTTGCAAATCTCTGCTGAAATAAGGTTTAAATAAGGTAAATAAAGGGAGCTGTTAACTTAAAAACTAACACTTCATGACATCACAAGGTGGGGCGTAGCATTTTGAGCTTTGGAGATGTAAACACACTAATAATAAAGAGTTACTCCAACATGTGTGAAACAAAACACAACTCCAGGTCTGTTTTTGAGGAGGTAACAGCTTTGTAACATGGCTAAAAACTCACAAGAGTCAATTTTGTGTAATATAAGACCTAAAGTACTTTGTGTAACCCTTGGCATTAAAGGGACAGTTTGGAATTTTGGACATATTCCATTCATTTATTTCCTAGTGAGCCAGAGTGTTGGAGACGTGTGGAGACACTTTTTTAAATATTCCATCCAGTCCTTGTATTTGCAGAGGTCGCTGGTGCTAGATTAGTACATGTCAATGGTCATAGTTATCCTGTCACTAAAAACAGTCTTACCCACTCCACAAAACACCTGAAACAAATCTATTATTACACCAGACTGTTGATGTAAATGTCTGTGTTGATAGAATAATGTTTGAAATTAAACTAACCTTGCATCACATGAATTGTCACATGTTGGGGGACTATTTTCTCATATATCAATCCACTGCTGCCAAACTTTCTATCAGGAAGTACCAGTGGCCATAGGCTATATCACATGAACCAGGACTACACCTGGACTAAATTGGCTCTAAACTAGGACTAAACCAGGACTAATCTTGGACTTGAGAGCGAGAGAGAGAACCCCAAATCCATGGAGCAGGGTGTCCACAAAGCGCAATCGGGCGACTGAGTCCAGTGTGACACGGAGCTCTTGCACCGGACCTTTCTCCCACGGTCACTCGACGGTCTACAGAGGCACACCTTCAGACCCATCCCGAGACTCTGTCCTGGTTCAGTTCTGATTTAGTTCTGGTTTAGACCTGGTTTAATCCTGGTTCAGTCCTGTTGTCAGTCCTGGTCCCTCATGTCTCAGGTCACTATAGGACAGTACAGAAGATATCATGAGCCTATGCAGTTTGTTTTCACCATTGCCAGTAGCTTCTGTTTGATATTTAAGTCGTAGCTATTTCATATTTCATATTTGGTATTTTTTTTATATATCTCATGTCAGGAGAAATGGGTGGACAGCGTAGCCCCACGTACCACGCCCACTACACTCCTGGGAAGTACAACTTGCTGCTGCTGCTCAGACATAAATCCTTCAAATGCAAAGTTGGTTTTACTTCTAAAATTATTCTATCAACACAGACATTTACATCGACAGTCTGGTGTAATAATAGATTTGTTTCAGGTGTTTTGTGGAGTGGGTAAGACTGTTTTTAGTGGCAGGATAACTATGGCCATTGACATGCACTAGTCTAGCACCAGTGACCTCTGCAAATACAAGAACTGGATGGAATATTTAAAAAAGTGTCTCCACACGTCTCCAACACTCTGGCTCACTAGGAAATTAGGTCCTATGTCCAAAAATCAGAACTGTCCCTTTAAACTTATCTATGTCAACAAGTAGTTATTGGTCAGATCTGTGGAGAGGCGCTGCTTTTCGAGGTATTTTTGAGCGGTAAAACCTCTTGTATAACTGAATAAATGCAAAATAGATCTGTTTAATGTCATATTGTGTAACATCTGAAGCAGAGCGATGACATATCCATAGAAACAAGACTTATGGCAGACCCACCCCCAACCGAAAAGTTACATAGTGCACCTTTAAGTGTATTCAAATGACACCTGCTTTGATTCCGTGCGGGCCTACTTTTCACCCAAACTGTGAAATCAAATCATGCATTATACATTACACCGAGGCTTTCAATATCAAAGGAGCAGTGGGAGTAGTGAATTATAATGACCGACTTAAAAAGGACACTGCGGACGGTTTGTCGGACTCGTTCCACACTGGTCCGTGAAAAGGGAGGCCAGTGCTAACAACACCACATTTTCAACAGCTTGGATGGCTAGAATTTACTGCTTAAAAGTGCATTGTGTAACTTTTCTGGCAGAGGGTCGGCCAGTTGCTTGTTTCCATGGAGATGTCATTGCTTTGCCTGGAATATTTGATCTTAAACATACACATCTAGTATTTATTCATTCCAGGTGTTTTTATTGCTCAAAAATACAATGATTCCTTCTGTTAATAGGGGGCGACTCTCCACAGATCTGAACTGTAATGTAGTGTAACGTAGTGAATCCATGTATCATTTGTTCATTTGTTTTTCTTCATTATTTGTCTCCAAAACCAAAATGAAAAAACGGATAATGATTCATTTTTTAAGTTTTCGATTTTGTGTTTAAATGAATAATGGAAAAAACTGATACGTTTTTCAGTCCTGGTCTCAGTTCCGGTCTGGTCTCGGTCTGGTCCCTGTCTCAGTCCCAGTCTGGTCTCAGTCTGGTCCCAGTCTCAGTCTTGGTCTCAGTCTTGGTCTCAGTCTTGGTCTCAGTCTTGGTCTCAGTCCCGGTCACAGTCCTAAACCAGGACTGAACCAGGAGTGTCGGGACAGGCCCAGAGATGTGCCCGCGTAGACTGTCGGGTGGTCAGGACTGAAACCAGGATCAGACCGGGACTGAGACCGGTTTAGTCCAACTGCCATCTACAGGTAAAGAAAAAATCTAATAAACTTACGGATGGTACTTTCAACTTTGGTATTTATATGAATGTGTCTTGGCAATATCTCATAGCCTTAGTTGTGATTTTTTTTTAATACCAGGTGGACTATATCTGTAGAGCCATTGAAAGTGTAAGTAGTTTATATTGGCTAAAACAATGGGGTTGTGTTTTTTTTTTCATTTACATGTTGGAGTAATTCTGCATTATTAGTCTGTCTACATCTTCAAAACTCAAAATGCTCTGTTCCACCTTGTGATGTCATGAAGTGGTAGTTTTCAAGTTAATTTTACCTTGTGTTCAGTAGAGACAGGCAATTCCAGGGCTGAAATTATCCAGATGATTGTAGTGAAGGTGTATGGAGTTAAAAAACATAGTGGAGCATTTCCTGTATTATTACATGACATCACAAGGTGGAACAGACAGTTCTGTTTTGAAAGAACACAGCCTAAATATAAACCTAAATCTGCAGGGTTTGTGTGTTAAACATGTGTGAATGAAACAAAACAAAACTCCAGGTCTGTTTGTGATGAGAAAACAACATTATAACATAGACCAGAAAATAGCGTGATGCTGGCCCTTTAACACATTTTAATTTTTGGTTTAAGATTTTTAAGCAGCCTGGACTCCCTGTACTCATGACAGTTACAGCGGGTGTCCCAGATGATTCTAGGAGACGTGCAAGATCCACTAAACTCAGAGTTTCAGCTGCTTCCCTCTGGTCAGAGACTTTTAGTCCCAAAATCTAGAACGAATCCTTTTAAAAGGAGCCTTGTTCCAGCTGCTATTGTACTTGATACTTGATCCTCATGATTACATACATCATGAATAAACTGTAATCTATTTATCTATTAATTTCAGTATGTTGTCTTGTGTATTTTTTATATATTCAGTATTTACTGTGATCTTAGCCAAGCGTGATGGATGAATTGAATTATTTATGGAACAAAGCCTTTCTGCACTGGAGCACTGTAACACTTTATTTTTATCTTGTAATTGTGTTTTTATACATGTTTGTTGTACATAATGTGGATGAATGAAATGTGGGACCAGCCTCTCAAATCTGCAAAACAAATTTATCTACGGGTAAGAATAAAGCAACCTAACCTAACCTTTGATTCAAACTACCGTATTTTCCACACTATTGGGCGCTCTGGATTATAAGGCGCACTGTCATTGAATGGTCTATTTTCGAACTTTTTGAACATGTTAAATAAAGTTTGACTGACTTATCTAACTGTTCTGTTTTGTTGTTCAATTGTAACGTGTTAAAAAAAATACTGTCTGACCCGCATCTCTCTTGTCATTATCCGAGTCAGTGTAGTTACTCTTCCCTGGCAGTTCAGTGATATTCCGGTCTTGGTAAAAGCTCGGACCACAGTTGATACTGATCCTTAGCACAGGCGTCCACAATCGATTGGCAGGTCGCTCGGCGCTGTCTCCTTGTCTTGGTGAATGTGTGTTCGCCTTCCCTCATCCACTGCTCCCACACAGCTCGCACTTTAACTTTATAATAGCCTTGAGTTTAAGCGTGTCTCTTGGCAGGTGCATTTTGATATTAAAAGGAATCACAGTATGTATTACTCCACAATGCTCCTGACTACGGGAGCCGTAATGCTGCAAGTGGTGCGGCTTTGTACTTTACTAAAGTCGTACTAAGACACCCAAATAAATTCATATATAGACGCTCTGGATTATAAGGCACGCAGTTGATGAAATTAAAGGCTTTTAAGTGTGCCTTATAGTGTGGAAAATATGGTATACTGAAAATAAATACTCACCACTGCACTCCATGCTACTGCTACTGCATTCAAATGAAGTACATAAAATACACACCTGCTATGTTTGGATTATTCAATAAAAGGTACAAACAACTTTTGCATCATAACAAATGACCTTTTTAATGAAATGCTCATATCAGAAATGTACAAGAATACTTAACAAATTGCTCAGAAAAGGGAATACAGCATCTAGCCATAGTGATCCAAACATGTAATACTGTTATTGACATCTCAAACTAGTGTGACATGGATTTGAAAAACACTCTTCGTACATTAGTCGTGAGTGAGACATCGTAACTTTTTGGCATATATTTGTGGGGTGTGGCGGTCAACGCAAACCCGGTATCTGTAATTAAAAGATCATTAAACACTGACGTCAAAAGAGCGGTTTGACTACCATTGGCAAATATACCATTATAAAAAATAAATAACATAATATTGAGACACAAACGTAAGAAATCGTACCCCCAGCCAGTATGCCCCGTTGACGGTAAGTAGCGGTACGAAGCATGCCAATTGCTAACACCATGAAGTGACTAATCTGAATGAGATGCACATATCAATAAATATGACAAAAGTTACAAAGAAAATCAGAACCCAGGGAAACCATGACATATATCGGGGTGAAACAGCTAAGGTTTGCCTCTTTAAAATTTGAAATCGGTTTTAGAAGTTTAGTCGTTTCATAATTTTTTTTGCGCAAAATTAGTCTTTCCTCAGTACCGATATATTGTATAAGTAGCTCGTGAGGATAAAATAAGTCTAACTATCTTATAATCAGGAAGTGTGTGTTAGCATGCTAGTTGCTGTCTCTGAAGGTTGTGAAAAGCGCTTATAAACTCACTCTGATGAATAATTAGGCTGCTGTGAATGCATAAAGTAAGTGAGGAATAACTTTGAACCACTGCAAACTGTTAAAAATTAACTAGCTCCGTTTTTCACATTTTTAAGACCGTAAAAACAACAAAAAAAAACAGAGAGATTTATTTAATGACGATTCAAGCCTAGACCAAATCTGGGGATGGTTTGAAAATATTGTGCACTTGAATGTTCTGCAAGGGTTTTGTACAGAAAAAAATAAACAAAATTCTAGTTTGTGTACCAAAATTAGTTCTAAACAGCTAATTTTAATCAATGAAATATTTTAAAGGTGCACTGTGTAACTTTTTCACCTGCTTGTTTCCATGGATATGTCATTGCTCTGCTTGGAATGTCCCACAGTGTGACATTAAACAGCTTTACTTTACATTTATTCAATTACAGGTGGTTTTATAGCTCAAAAATACCCAGAAAAATAACATTCTGACTGTGAGCGGGGTCGCCTCTCCACAGCTCTGACCTGTAACTTAGTCTGGTTTGGTCTCTGTAAAGATAGAAAGGTTTAATGCCATACTGAGAAACATTCCAGTCGCTTGTTAGAAGAAAGAAAATGAATGCTCTTATTGCTTTGAACCGATTCTGTACACCACTGCCTTTTAACAACCCCCATGTTTTATTTTCCTTTTCTGAAGAAGAAAAATCTTCACATGATGCATATTTCAGTTTTTAACTTTTGTCTGTGACTGTCTCTGCCTGGTCTGGTTCTGGAGGACAACAATGATACACAGTGCCTGACCTTAACAACATTTGCCCCATGTTATCTGTTATTTTCTACGTTTCTAGCGTAACTTCTGAAGAAGAAAAATACTGCTCACATTTTCCTTCTGATTTCCTTCTGCTTCAGTTTTCATATTTTGCGTTTTCTTTTGAATAACCTTCTCTGCTTTTTCCTTTTGTCTAATGTGACTGTCTCTGCCTGGTCTGGTGTCATTTAATGTGGATTTTCGAGTTGGATTTCGCAGCTTTAATACAAAAACCTGATTAAATTAATGAATGAATTTTAGTAAGTTAGCAGTAAGGTAGTTTAGTAAATTAGGGTTGTAAAAAATGGTACCTGGATACTACCTAATCAATTTCTTTTTAATCTAGTGTGTAAAGTAGTAATTTTGACAAGATACGGACAAAAAAATAAAATAAATTGGACTCTTTTTGGAAGTTGTGATTAGTTTTGAATCATCTTTGTTGATATAATAACTAGTATAAGACCATCATGACAATATCAAAGAATTATTTTGTGTTGAAAATTTGCCTTTTTCTTAGTAAATACTTTGAAAAATTGTGTACAATTTTAACATTAGTTTAATTTGTATAGATTTTTGGACTTGTTTCAATGGACTTCAAGTGGTCTAACTTCATTTTCAGAATGTTGAAAACAAAATAATCGTGTAAAAAAAAAAAAGTTACCTAGATACTACTGAACCAATTTCTATCTAATCTAGTAGTAATTTTGACAAGATACGGACAAAAAAATAAAATAAATTGGACTTTTTGGGAAGGTGTGATTAGTTTTGAATCGTCTTTGTTGATATAATAACTAGTATAAGACCACCATGACAATATCAAAGAATTATTTTGTGTTGAAAATTTGCCTTTTTCTTAGGAAGTACTTTGAGAAATTTGTACAATTTTAACATTAATTTGATTTATTTTAATTTGTGTAGATTTTATGACTTGTTTCAGTGTACTTTAACTGGTTTAACTTAATTTTCAGAATTTGGCGGGGGGGATCACTTAAAAGTTCACCAAAATTAACTCTACAGATGGTTTATCTTAAAAGTAAATGTTGGCGCAGTTATGACAAATATGTTATGTAAGTATGTTTGATTTAAAAGTGCGATGTGTAACTTTTAAGATGGATGGTCAACTACTTGCTTGTCTGCATGGTGATGTTATTTTTTTCATGGAATGTTCCCCAGTATGGCATTCTACCATTTATTCAATTACAGGCATTTTATACACTAACGGTGAAAAGTTTTAGAACACCCTAATTTTTCCAGTTATTTATAGCAATTCAAGTCGTGCAAGTCCAATGAAGAGCTTGAAATGGTACAAAGGTAAGAACTGAACAGCCAGAGGTTTAAAAAAAATAATATAAAAGATAACAAAACACAAGTCAAAGCTCTGCCAAAACTACCTCAGGAAAAAAAAAACAAGATGGTAAAGCTTGAAAACACGAAGTGTCCAGCACAGTCTCCAGACTTAAACCCCATCGAGCTGGTTTTGGGATGAACTGGACAGAAGAGTGAAAGTCAAGAAACCTACAAGTGCCACACATTTATGGGAACTTCTGCAACAGACTTGGGAAGAACTTTCTCAAGAATACCGTATTTTCCAGGCTATTAGACGCGTTCTTAAGCCTCCAACCCCATCAAAAAACGATTGCGCCCCCCACAGTACAGAGCGCCCTATACACGAATCCACTCGGGTGTCCCAGTACGACTTTAGTAAACTACAAAGCCGCACCACCCGCAGCGCACGCAAAAACACACGGAGCAGAGAGCGACCGCACAGCGAAAAACACCCGCAGCCACACTCATCACTCCACTCCGACGAGGAACGAAACGAAAAAGCGAGTGTAATGTGCCACTTCTAGACACAACTGAACAACTGAGTCACTGCGAACACGCCGACAATCCAGCGGTCCCAGACAGCACCCTCCCTACACGCCACAACTGAACAAAGCCCAGAGTCACCGTGAACGCGACAAACAAAGTCCCACTGACCCATCCAACTGTTATGTTTCGTTTAAAGTCCGGTGTGGTTTATTTGTGAAAAAAGTTCCAAAATAGACCATTTAATGACAGTGCGCCTAATAGTCCGGAAAATACGGTATTTGATTTCTACTGTAAAAAAACGAGCCACGAGTGTGTTCATGTGCCAAAGGTGGACACTTCCATGAATCAAAAGTTTAGAATACGTTTTGGTCAACAGTAAACGGTAAAAAACTAGAAAAAGTGTGGTGTTCTAAAACTTTTGAATGGTAGTGAAGCTCAAAAATGCCTTGAAACTTGAATTTAATTTCCCTTTTGGATCAATAAAGTTTGTCTAAGTCTAAAAACGTGATTCTTACCATGTGCAGGCTTGCTCCTCCATAGATCTAACTTGTCTCCACTGTGATAACCAAATTTATTTCCATACTGTGAAATAATCCAGGCAAAGCAGTAACAAAGCAGAAAAGTTACACAGTGCACCTTTCTTTCGTTCTTTCTACCCACCAGACATGAATAGTATTTGTTTACACCTCGTTCAATTTTAAACTCAAAGAGGGCTCCTTAACCTTTTCACCCCGATATTCCCATAGCAGACAGGCAATGCTCCCCACTCACCCATTCACATATTCACTCGTTCACACACACAAACAATGGAAGGTGTCTGTAGCATGGCTCCAGTGCGGCGCTCTCCGCAGGTCAGTGTTCATCGGGATACAGCGCCCCCGTCAGGTAGCCGTTGGTGCCGTGGCTCTTGTTGGTGCCGTTGGTGGCGCTGCTGTGGTGCCTCTGATTGGCCGACGGGGCGGGAAGGGGCGGGCTCTCGTCTTCATCCGAGCTGGACTCGATGTCGCTGCGGTCGTCTTTAGACACCTGGAGCAGAGAATCAGAGCAGATCAGTCATATTAGATTTTCTCATTACGGAGTGTGGAGTGTGACGAATGGAGCCGGGATTGAAAAAGGAGGAACAATCAATCAGCAGAAGAAAACGGCGGGACATATTCAGGAAACATGTAACAGTCATTTATTAGCAGCGAGAACTTAAAATATCTGAAGTAATTTTAAAATTGATTAAACTGTTAATGCGTATCACCCTAAACATATATTAATTTGACTCTAGAAATGTGAAAATGATTCTAAGGAACTGTATGTATGTAAGCTTTTGTATGATTTTTTTTTTTATTTCACAATAATAATTCCATATATAGTTTCCTCCGCAGGGTGGCTGGGCGCTCCCTTAGAGACAGGGTGAGGAGCTCAGTCACACGGGAGGAGCTCGGAGTAGAGCCGCTGCTCCTCCATGTGGAGAGGAGCCAGTTGAGGTGGCTCGGGCATCTGTTCTGATGCCTCCTGGACGCCTCCCTCGAGAGGTGTTCTGGGCATGTCCCACAGGGAGGAGGCCCCGGGGAAGACCCAGGACACGCTGGAGGGACTATGTCTCTCGGCTGGCCTGGGAACCCCGGAGGAGCTGTAGGACGTGTCTGGAGTGAGGGAAGTCTGGGAGTCCCTGCTTAGGCTGCTGCCCCCGCGACCCGGCCCTGGATAAGCGGACGAAAATGGATGGATGGATGAAATTCCATATAAGGCTGTGCAATTAATTGAATTTTGATCGTGATTTCAATTTGTGTGAAAAACGATCTCCAAACTCATATAATCGAGTTGAAACGATCTTAAAGTTTATTTTGGGATATTTTTTTCATAGAGATTCTAGAACAGATGGATATATAGTTTATTTTGGATACATTTATGCTTTTCTAGGCCTTATTTCATTTTCAAAGTATAATTTATTCATTTTATGTTTTACGCATCGCAAAACTGCTCTAAGGTTCATATTTGGAGCAGGCTACATACGGAAGGTGATCATCTAAATCTAACTTGTTAATCTCAACATGCACATGAGTCCCCTGGTGTTTCACTAGCCTGATTCATCAGCCGGTTTCACTCTGTAGAAACCGTCTGACCTCGCAACATTAGGATTCGTTCGCTTAATGGTAGGCGGGTACTTTTTTATTTTACCAATCGCTGCTATTTGGTCGTGACGTATGTAATGTGCCAAATCCCGTAGGAAGAAGAAGGGCAATAACGTCTTTCCTCTTGATAAAATTCACCAAACATTTTCTTTGTTCCAGCTTTAAATCCTCGATCTCGGGAATCGTTGCCAACACAGAATGTACGGCTTCGTCTACATCCATCTCGATCGCTTTGTTTACTGTTGTGCTGTACCACAAACGGGACCCAGACAGGCGCTTGAGTTTGACGTCATGGCTTCACAGCTCTTCTCTGATTGGCCAGCGCGCGGTCTACAACTTCCGGGGTTCTTGCAAAACGTCTAGTGTATTCCAATTCCTGATCTAGTCGCTGGAGAGAAATGAATTTGTGCGGAGGCAGCCTGACTAGTGTTTCTCATCTACCATTTGACAAACTGATAAAGGCAAAACAATGAGTCGCCCATATACCTCCTGTTTCCTTGGATGCTACACTTCTGCTGTTCTCATTTCATCCAGCAATTTTGAGACCATTCATCCATCCACACTCAACCCGGGCACGTTTTCCTAACAATATTGTAGCCTGTGCTCTTGAGGTATTAGCTGTGTTCTTTGGTAATGAGATGCTAATTGTTTATGTAGCGTTAAGAAGCCCCATGTCCACGGCAGAGTGTCAGTACAGGATGTTTTACTTGTGCTTGTGTCAAACCAACTCATTCAATTAGAGCTGTAACAGAAACCAGGACAAAGTGGATGCACAATATTGCTTCAAGTCAGTCTTAAGTTGTACGAGTTAAATATTGTGTCAGCTGAAAACAAAGCTACTACATGCTTGAAAATAAACAAAATAAAATAAATAAATCAGTTAAAAGGGCCCATATTACGCTATTTTCTGATCTAAGTAAACTCCACACACCTTCACTAGAATCATTTGGATAATTTCAGGAATTTCTGGAATTGCCAATCTCTATTGAACTAAAGGTAACTTGAAAACTACCACTACATGACATCACAAAGTGGAACAGAGCATTTCGAGCTTTAGAGATGGAGACAGACTAATAATAAAGGATTACTCAAACAATGCAACTTTCAGATTAAGAAACAGTTCATAACATTTAAACAAATCGCATGGTTCCCACTCTTTTTCATTGTCAACATTTCAAAACTTTTCCATGACTTTTTCACGACCTAAGTGAATTTTCCATGACTTTACAGCACCTACATGTGTAGAATTGAGCATACTACTGTTAAATCTGAAATGTTGTCCCTTTCCACTCACCTTATGGTTTGGCATTATAGTTTTTAACATTCAAAATACTGACAGTGCATTTATTGTTGTCTTTTTTAAACAAAAGGCACAGAAGTTCAGAAATAATCATAATAACCTAATGAAAACTTAACAGAACGCTGTATTTGCATGAAAGAGATACTAAAATTGACTTTTCCAAAACTTTCATTGAATTTACAAAATTCCATGACTTTTCCAGGCCTGAAAAATGACATTTACAATTTCCATGACTTTTCCAGGATTTCCATGACTGCTGGAACCCTACATAGTGATACAAACATTGCCTAATAAGTTTTTACAAAATATAAAACGGATTTAAACAACACATTTTCAGTATCTTAACAAAAAATAAGGAGTGACTGACTGAAAATGCTCACTTCCTTGTGACTGTAACTTTAATTGAAAGAGACTTGCATATACATACAGAATCAGCTCATCAAAAGGTTCAAATGTTCAGAAAAAAATCATAATAGTCCAACGTTAACTTAACAGAACACTGTAGTTGACTGAAAGAGATACTAAAATTCCATGACTTTCTCGAAACTTTCATCAACTTTCATTTCCAGGCCTGGAAAATGACACTTGCAATTTCCACGACTTTTCCAGGATTTCCATGGACTGTGGGAACCTTGAAACTAGTACTGCCCCTTATATTTTTTTTCCTGATAAGAAGTAGAGAGTAGAAACTTTACTTCTGATGATAAGAAGTAAAGTTAAAATCAAATATTGGTTTTAGTGTGATACAAATCAGTCTGGACATTTTAAAGGTGTAAAAAGCCTTTCCATTGTGTATTTTGATTCTCAAGCCGATTATCCAATCAGAAAGCAGAATGATCTCAAAGGGCTTTCTGTATTTGTCTTCAGTATGAAACAAGTTCAGCTTCAGTTTGTTGTGCAGTTGTTTTTTTTTAAACCAGTAGTGCATGCGGCTATCACCTTTAGTCAACTGAAATTCATATCATGTTTAATCATTGGCAAACTCGACCACTTCCTCTTTAGAGATACGAGGATGACGTCAATTTCAGACCACACTGCACCCATTTTCCAGCTCCAAATGAGTTTTTACCATCAGCTTTTTCAATTTTAGCATCAAATACAGCTGATTTTTCAATTTAAAGTGTGACATAATGCGCAATTTTAGTCCTATAAAGTTCCTATATTACGCAAAATTGACTCTTGTGAGCTTTAAGCCGCTGTTACCGCCTCAAAAACAAACCTGGCATGTTTGAGTAATCCTTTATCTTTAGTCTGTCTACATCTGCAAATCTCAAAATGCCCCGTTCCACCTCGAGATGTCAGGAAGCAGAAAGTGAACAGATACTTTTAACCTTTTTTCAGTAGAGATTCTGGGTAATTCCAAGTCTGCAATCATCCAAATGATTAGAGTTTAAACTCACAGAAGAGCACTTCCTGTGTGATCACAAGGTAGAAGAGTGTTTTCTGTTTGAGGAGGAACTCTGAATATGCAATGTTTGTGTGTTAAACGTGTAAATGAAACAAAACACAAGTCCAGGTCTGTTTGTGATAAGGAAACAGAACAATGCAGAACAGAAAACAGTGTAATATGGCCTTTTTAATCCACAGATGATTCATGCAGAAGAGAAACTTAAAAATAGAAAACAAAAAAAGCACCACCAGAAAAAGCACACCCAGCAGACTTGTTTAGGTTGTACTTACATGTAGCGGATTCCATTTCCCCACCTTGACGTTGGCATGGAGGACAAAGAAAAAAACGGCTAAATGAGTCTAGTGTTAATAGTATTATTTATGAATTCATGATGAATATTAACAGTAGATTGTGTTAGTATAAACTCTAATATGCAGGATTCATTTGACGTCTTTGTAGAGAGTTTAAACACGAGGTAGAGGGCTGATTATGATCTATGGTAAAAATTAAAAGTCCTACATTACTGCATTTTTCGGGTTATAAGGCGCACTTAAAAACCTTTAATTTTCTCAAAACTCGACTGGTGCGCCTTATGTATTAATTCTGGTTGTGCTTAGTGACCTTGGACCGATTTTATGTGGTACATGACTCTCAAAAATCTGTCAAAATGTTTTAGTACGACTTTGGTAAACTACGAAGCCGCATCGCTTGATGGATTGTTGGAGCATTATGGCTAGTCTAGTGAGGAGCCTCACGAAGTAAAGCCCAATTTACTATCTTTAGTCCGACAGAAGCTGACCACATCAGGGCACAAGGAGTGAGATGTTTTTTTCAGCGCTTATAGTTTATGCAAATTAGTCATGTGGTTTTAAGTTTTGATTTCTGTAAAACCTAAACAAATGTGCTCAAAGCTGCATTAAACACATTTTTACTCAATGTATATTTGAGTCGTCCACGTAGGAAATAAAAAAAAAACCAAACAAAATTATCCACCCACATTCACTTTAATAATACACATTCACCAAGACAGGGAGGCAACGCCGGGCGAATTACACCACGATCTGCCAATGGATTGTGGACGCCTGGACTAAGGGATCAGTCTCAAGTGTCGTTTGTTTCGCTTAATGCACCTTATAATCCAGTGCACCTTATGTATGAAAATAGACGAGAGAATTCAACATTATTGATATTGCCCCTTATAATCCGGTGCGCCTTATAGTCCGAAAAATACGGTACAAAAAATTTACTTGTGTGAGCTTTAAGCCATGTTATAATGTAGTGATCTTCTCAAAAACATGCCAGGAGTTTTGTTTTGTTTCATTCACACATGTTTGAGTAACTCTTTCTTATTGGTCTGTTTACATTTCCAAACCTCAAAATGCTCTGTTCCACCTTGTGATGTCATGTAGTGATAGTTTTCTAGTGAACAGCTCCCTTCCACCTTTTGTTTAGTATAGATCAACAAATCCAGGACTAAAATCATCCAAATGATTCTAGTGAAGGTGTATGGGGTTTAAAAACACAGTGGTGGATCAGAGTGTTTTCTATTTTGAGAGAAGAATGCAGAGTTTGTGTTTTAAACCTGTGTGAATGAAACAAAACACAGCGCCAGGTACGTTTTTGATGAAGAAAAACATTATAACATAGATCAGAAAATAGCGTAAAATAGGCCCTTTAAATGTCAAATTCTAGCCGTTTTGCTCTGGTTTATGTTTAAAAGGTTCAGTGGTCCAAAGTTATTCCTCACTTGCATTATGTATTCCAAACCTCCTAGTTATTCACGTCCAGTTTAATATTTTATCGTTTGTTTGTGTATTTATTTATGTGAATTGCTTACTTTGCACACCGGACCAGCTGCTTTTAGACTTTTTAGACTACCCACGGACCAGACTCATAACCGGAGGAGATGGAGCCATTTCTGAAGCAGACCCTAAACTGTGGATCACCCTCCCGTTTCACATCAGACCTGCTACTTACTACTTCCCCGGAGAGTTTTAAATTGCTGCTGAAAATGCCCTTTTTTTTATCCTAACTTTTAACTCAAGTTGATTTCCTGTAGTTTTATCTGTGTGCTTAACCTTGTTTTATTGTATTTACTAGTTCTCGCGGTTAACTCATATTCTGTTTTTATCGATATTGTTAAGAACTTTGTCGCAGTGCTGTCTGTTTTTAAATGTGCTATATAACTTTTCGCTTTTCGAAACTTTAAGAAACCAGACTGGAGTTTTGCAGTGACGGTAAAACAAACATACAAACTTGCAGTGTTCAGATTATCGGACATTAAAATGCTTTATAATTTGACGCAGACACAATACATCAGACTTATCTTGGTGTCAAGAGCTGCTTATACAAAATATCTGAACTGTGGCGAGTCAAATTTTGCTCAAATACGTGAAGAAAAAAATGGGTACATGTCTTTTAATCTTTCTGACAGTTTTAGTTTATAGTAATTAAAACATTTAAAACCTTTTCTGTCAGCAAAACTAAACAAAACTCAGATATATTTCTCACTTTTGTATTATAAAGTAGTGCAATTATTCAATCACACTATTATCATTTTTGTTTGTGTAGCCGTTCCCAAGCAGATAAATAACAATAACGTGAGTCAGCACCGGAATATATGACATTATACAACTGTGCAATTAATCAAATTTGAGTCGACATCGACACGTGGTAGTTTCTAATGTCAATGATCTGTCTGCAGCCAATCCTCTGTCAGTAAAAGCGTGCGGTTTGAAGCAGATTTCAGACTTTAGAGGAAGAAATTGGACCATCAGTCATAATGACAACAAATGAATCATACATTTATTCTCATATCACCCAGGCCTACAATATTGCATTCTAGAAAGTGAACACAAACCATTAGAGTTTAGTTAGAAGTTAGTGTTCAGTAAGCATTTAGTTAGAGATTACTGTATTTTCCGGGCTATTAGACGCGCTCTTAAGCCTCCAACCCCATCAAAAAACGACCGCAATCCAGAGCGACCTATACACGAATCCACTCAGGTGTCCCAGCATGACTTCAGCAAAATACAAAGCCGCACCACCCGCAGCGCACACAGCGACCGCACAGCGAAAAACACCCGCAGCCACACTCATCACTCCACGCCGACGAGGAAAGGAACGGAGGAACGAACTGAAAAAGCGAGTGCAATGTGCCACTTCTAGACACAACTGAACAACTGAGTCACTGCGAACACGCCGACAATCCAGCGGTCCCAGACAGCACCCTCCCTCCACGCCACAACTGAACAAAGCCCAGAGTCACCGTGAACGCACCAAACAAAGTCCCACTGACCCATCCAACTGTTGTGTTTTGTTTAAAGTCCGGTGCGGTTTATTTGTGAAAAAAGTTTGAACATAGACCATTTAATGACAGTGCGTCTTATAATCCAGAGCGCCTAATAGCCCGGAAAATACGGTAGTTAGAGATTAGTTAGCGATTAAATAGTTGATAGTTAGTGTTTAGTTAGTGTTTCGTCTCTCACCTTTCCTTTGGAGATGGCTCTGCAGGCTGTCCGTACGATGAGGTAGGACCAGAAGGAGTGGAGCAGCTGCAGCAGGAGGAGCAGCAGGTTAAAGAGCCACCAGGATGGGTACGGCCCCACGATCTCCCAGCTCTCAAACAGAGTGGTGTTTAGAATCCTGGAAAAACAACATGGAAAAATGTTTTTATATTAGAATGATTGATATCAATTGATACTTTGCAGCCGATGCCATCAACCTTCCCAGGGGATGTGATGCTGCTCAGTGTTTCCCACACATAGACCAACCTGTGCCGCAGCACCACAGAATGAAAACAGAGCGCCACAAATTGATTCTGCCTCTTTTTTCAATGCAATTTTATCACTCTCACTCACACACAAAGAGAGAGAGTGAAAATAAAACACTTGCCCTATTTGCTCTCTGGACCCAACTCTGTCTGCCCGCGGTGCGGCAGTGTGTGGGTGGGACGGGAAACCGGTCCTCCTGCGGGACCGGACCCCGAGTCTGCGGAGCACGGTGTCAGCAAAGTGCGATCAGTCGACGGTTGCACTTTGCCCCGAAGGGCACGCAGCTCTGCACCCGTCCTTTCGCCTGCGGTAACCCGACAGTCTGCGTGGGTGCACCTCCAGGCCCGTTCCGACACTTGGAACCATAACGAAGCCTGGCCCGGGCTCCCCACCGCGCAATAAATGGGCTAAAACCCAAGAGGTCCCTTATGAAGGGCACTTGAGTCATTTTTCAGAAAGCCACGTAAAATGAGGTGTTCTGATAGGACACGCATATGCACCAAATAATGACTAATGCTGTTTCATTATTTTATTTAGTTGTCTTGTTTATGTCTAATTATAGCATTTTATTTATTTAATTTGTATTATTATACAGTTGTTACATTATACTATTTATTTTGTTTGACCAAAAGGTTAAATACAAGAATAAGTTAATGTTGGCTGAGTTAAGTATTTGAAATAAATAGTTTAAGATTTAGTTGTTTTTTTCTGTAACTGATTCATTGAATGTCAAAGAATCTAAAGTCCATGCAAAAACTAAACTTCAACATCAATTTTGGTAAGTAATTCTCAACATGAAACTTAAAATACAGATTTTCCTCTAACATACTTTGTATGAGCAAACTGTGCCGTAGACGCTGCTCTGTCTGAGACTTTGTTTAATCTGACCAGAAGGAACTGGATTAGTTGGAACTACAACAGGTGATCGGATTTGTGCTGTTAAAAAAGTTTCTCACACACCAAATTACTGTCACTGAAGATGCTATTGCTTTGCCTGGAATGCTCCACAGTATTGCTTTAAACTACATCTCATATTTGTCATACAATAGTTGTGTCCTTGAGTTAAACCAAAACGAATAAATGTGTAAAGTGTAATATTTGAAAATTCAACCAAGAAGACTGTGTTTCCTTGTTCCAGTTATCTATCCATCGCTGTCAGCCAACCAAAACCTTTGTATATTTTTGTCTTTCACCCATCATTCTTCAGAGTATGATTATAGACCAACACAGCACACTTCCTCTCCCCGTCCTCCAGCCACTGCAGCTCTGGGAATACCTGATAGCTTCCCTTTAGTAACAGTACAGTATAAGATATGTATTTATGCGTTCTGCCTCTTTACTTATTTACATTTCATATATCTACTAGTTTAGCACTCGTCTTGTGTTATATATGTCCAGAGTTATATTTATCCTTGGGCAAATTTGTGCAAATGGCTGTCTGTGAATCATCCTCGGGAAACTGACTCCATGGCAACGGCTTTACAGTAATGACAACTTTACTACTGCTGCGATGGGGGCTGCCGAAAATATGTGCTTCATATCTCGGCGTGGAGGCAGGGAGAGCGAGCAGGCCTAAGTGCTCCGATTCACAACGTTATTTTAAAATCAGCTGAGATTACTAGTAAATTTAGAAAGGATTCATAACAACTCGGCAAATGCGTTGGCAATTTTTGAATGTGTGGGTGTAATAACGACTTCCGGGTTCGATGGGATTACAGACTCATTCGCTTTCATTTTAGTTTAGTTTTAGAGAATCCTAATCAGCTCCAGTTTCTCTCTCTCTCTAGGGCTGATGTGGATTATTATTATTTTTTGTTTATATTTTTATTTTCTTTATGTTTTGAGCTGATACCGATGTCCAATATTTGCCCTGCTGCAATCCATGTATCATTCGTTCATTTGTTTTTCCAATATAAAACCAAAAATCAGAAAAAGGAAAAAAAGAAAAACTGTTTTCTTCATCATTTGTCTCCAAAACCAAAATGAAAAAATGGATGATGATTCATTTTTTCATTTTTCAATTTTGTGTTTAAATGAATAATGGAAAAAACGAATAACAGCCGTTTCTCATTTTTCGTGGCTTAAACTGCAATGCAGGACTGAACCAGGACTGAACCAGGACTGAACCAGGACTGAACCAGGACTGAACCAGCACTGAACCAGGACTGAACCAGGACTGAACCAGGACTGAACCGGCACTGAACCGGCACTGAACCAGCACTGAACCAGCACTGAACCAGGACTGAACCAGCACTGAACCAGGACTGAACCAGGACTGAACCGGCACTGAACCGGCACTGAACCGGCACTGAACCGGGACTGAACCGGGACTGAACCGGGACTGAACCGGGACTGAACCGGGACTGAACCGGGACTGGACTAGGACCAGACTGAGATCTGGACCTCAGTTTAGACTGGGATTTAGACCGGGATTTAGACCGGGATTTAGACCGGGATTTAGACCGGGATTTAGACCGGGATTTAGACCAGGAGCAGACCGGGACCTGGACCAGGATTGAGACCGGGATTTAGATCGGGACTGAGACTGGGAAGAGACTGGGACCGAGACCGGAACTGAGACTGGGATTGAGACCGGAACTGAGACTGGGACCAGGACTGAGACCGGGACTGAGGCCGGGACTGAGACCAGGCCGGAGCAGATGTCCGTGAAGCGCAATCGGGCGACGGCCGCACTTACCTCTGTGCAGCGCAGAGCTCTGCCTGCGGTCATCAGACGGTCTACGCGGACGCACCTTAGTCCTGGGTTAGTCCTGGGTTAGTCCTGGGTTAGTCCTGGGTTAGTCCTGGGTTAGTCCTGGGTTAGTCCTGGGTTATCACGGGCAGTAACGGGTGAAATGTTAACGGGTCCAGGCGGGTGCGGGTTTCTAAAAATGGACCTGTGTTGGTCACGCCGGTCATGTTGGTCACATGCGATGATCGCCGTGGCCCAACATCCACCGCTTTGGGCCTCTTAGTACCTGTAGTGATTCATTTTTGCGGTTATTGCGACAGCCCTACTTGTACATTTACATTTATATAATTATATCTTATTTCACACATGTCTCTTGCTCTTTTTTTCTACTTATTTAGAATTTATTATAACCATTTGTATTTTTGCTCTTTGTTATTATATTTATTGTGATGTGTGAGCTACTGTGCCCAAATAATTTCCCTTGTGGATCAATAAAGTTTGTCTAAGTCTAAGACAGTGCCAAAAAATACCTGTATAGAACATTGACATCGATAATATTGACGGATAGTGGAATTGATCTATTACCCATAGTTTTGAAGAATGATATTTTAAAAGGTACACAGTGTAACTTTTCTGGTAGAGAGCCTGGTCTTGCTTGTCTCCATGGAGATGCTGCTGATTTGTCCGAAATGTTCGACATATGAAACAAAACTATGAAGACAAACAAATCACGCCACCAGATCAAGTCACAAGACAGATCTGTGGAGAGGTGAGTTTAACGGTGGCAGAGAAGGAAAAAGGAGGATGAGTAGGAGGTGGAGGAGGAGGAAGGGGAGGAAGAGGAGGAAGTAGAAGGGGAGGTGGAGGAAGAGGAGGAATAAAAGGAAGAAGAGGAGAAGGAGGAGGAGAGAGGAGAAGAAAGAGGAGGAGAAGGAGCAGAAGGAGAAGGTAGAGGAAGAAAAAGTGGAGGAGGAGGAAGAGAAGAACAAATGGAAAGTTCGACAGTACGAAATCAAACTATGAAGACAAACAGGTCACGCCACCAGACCAAGTCACGGGTCAGATCTGTGGAGAGGCGAGTTTAAGGAGAAAAGCAGAGAAGGAAAAAGAGGAGGAGGACGAGGAGGAGGAGGAGTAGTAAAAGGAAGAAGAGGAGAAGCAAAAGGATGAGAAGGACGAACAGGAGGATGAACAGGAAGAAGAGGAGAAGGAGGAGGAGGTGAAGAAGGAGGAGGAGGAGGAGGAGGAAGAGGAGAAGAGGATAGAAGAGAAGAACATTCGACAGTATGAAACAAAACTATGAAGCCAAACAGCTCACGCTACCGAACCGAGTCACGAATCAGATCTGCGGAGAGGCGACTTTAATAATAAGATGTAAGAATAAATGTTTTCTGAGGTATTTTTAACTGTAACAACACTTTTAATCGAATAAATACAAGTTGGGCAAGTTTGATCTGACTCTAAAAGGCAAAGCAATAACGTCACCATGGAAACAAGCAGTTTGACAGATGACAAGCTGACAGATCCCCCACCCGAAAAGTTACATAATGCACCTTTAAAGTGTTCGCCCGCACAAAAACAAGTCCTTCTAGATTATTTTCAAACATCAAATTATTTTACCGTTATAATCTAGGCCTAAAAATGCTTTCACTATATTTAGTTGGATAAATTTGTACAGACAAGGAAACTATTTATTCCCTCAGAATTCATTTGTCCGTCGTTGTTCCCGTGAGGTCACACTTTCCCCGCTTGTACGTAGCAGGAGATGTGGCAAAACTGAAAATTCCACGATCGCTTGACAAAAACGCACCGACCACAATGGCTTGATTTTTATTGGCCAATTTGTTTGGTTTTCTCCCGTCGAGGTTAACGCTGCTGCCGTATCCATAGAAACTATTACTTAGCAACAAAATTCACGGCAATGTGTCTCAACCCCTCACTGTAGAGAAAAAGTAGTACAAAAAAAAAAGAAAAAAAAAAAAGAAGAGAAAAGAAAAAACACTGGCTGGTGCAGACGTGGGAGCCCAAAAATAACTTGGCGCTTTGCGTAGAATGTTAATGGAAGGGTTTGAGAGAAGACGTTTGGGATGAAGAAGAGGGGGAGGAAGAGGGGGAGGAAGAGGGGGAGGAAAAGGAGGAAGGGGAGGAGCAGGAAAAGGAGAACAAGGAGGAAGAGACGGAGGTGGAGAAGAAAGAGGAGGGGGAGGAGTAAGAAGAGGAAAGGAGGAGGAGAATGACAAGGAGGTGGCAGAAAAGGAAAAAGAGGAGGACGAGGAGGAGGTGGAGAAGAAGAAAGAAGAGGAGGAGGAGGAAGAGAAGGAGGCAGAAAAGGAGAACAAGGAGGAAGAGACGGAGGTGGAGAAGAAAGAGGAGGGAGAGGAGTAAGAGGAGGAAAGGAGAATGAGGAGGAGATGGCAGAGAAGGAAAAAGAGGAGGAGGATGACGAGGAGAAGAAAGAAGAGGAGAAGGATGAAGGGGAGGTGGAGGGAGAGAAGGAGGAAGAAAAGGAGAACGAGGAGAAAGGCGGACGTGCGGAAGAAAGAAGAAGGAGAGGAGAAAGAGGAGGAGGTGGGAAAGAAGTAAAAAGAAAAGGAGGACGAAGAGGAGGAGGCGGTGGAGAAGAAGGAAGAGGAGGAATAGGAGGAGGAGGAAAAGGAGAACAAGGAGGAAGAGGGGTAGGTGGAGAAGAAAGAGGAGGGAGAGGAGTAAGAGGAGAAGGAGGAGGAGGAGAATGAGGAGGAAAAAGAGAACAAGGAGAAAGAGGCGGAGGTGCAAAAGGAAGAGGAGGGGCAGGAGGAAGAGGAGGAGGTGGCAGAGAAGGAAGAAGAGGCGGACGACGAGAAGGAGAAGGAGGAGGAGGAGGAAGAAGGGGAGGTGGAGGAAGAGAAGGAGGAGGAAAAAGAACAAGACGAAAGAGGTGGAGGTGCAAAAGGAAAAGGAGGGAGAGGAGGAAGCGGAGGAAAGGAGGAGGAAGAGGAGGAGGTGGCAGAGAAGGAAATAGAGGAGGAGGAAGAGAAGAAAGAAGAAGGGGTGGTGGAGGAAGAGGAGGAGGAGAAGGAGGAGGAGGTGGTAGAGGAGGAAAAAGGAGGAGGACAAGGAGGAGGTGGAGAAGGAGGAGAAAGAGGAGTAAGAGGAAGAGGAGGAGGAAAAAGGGGAGGTGGAGGAAGAGGAGGAGGAGAAGGAGAATGAGAAGGAAAATGAGGAGGGGGTGGCAGAGAAGGAAAAAGAGGATGAGGACGAGGAGGAGGAAGAAGGGGAGATGGAGGAAGAGGAGGAGTAAAAGGAGGAAGAGGAGACGCAGAAGGCGAAGGATGAAGAACAGGAGGATGAAGAGAAAGAAGAAAAGGAGCAGGAGGAGGAGGAGGTGAAGAAGAAGGACAACGAGCAGAAGAAGGAGGAGGAGAAGGAGGTGGTGGAGGAGGAGGAAGGGGAGAAGAAAGAGAAGGACCAGAAGGAGAAGAAATAGGAAGAAAAAGAGCAGAAAGAGGAAGCGCAAAAGGAAAAGGAAGAGGAGGAAAAGGAGGTAGAAGAGAAGAAGAGGAGGACGGAGAGGGAGGAGAGGAGGCACTTACCAGACGGGGTAAACTCCCAGTCTGGAGCTGATGAAGAGGATGGCGAACATGGCAAACAGGAGGTTGCACAAGATTTGGCACTTGGCGTAGTTGGCCATTTTGGCAGCCTGCAAGAGAGGGAAAAGAAGAAGTGGTATTGGCAGGAGCGCTTTGGTTTTGAGGATTTACTGCAGTGATTCTGAAGCTGTTTTCAATCACTCACATTTAACTAAAATACACGGATCACTGAGTCCGGCTTTAGTTGAGTTTGGTGTATTTTAGATTTTAATACGTTAGTTCGTAATATGGCCAAGCTAAAATTGCCTAGATATTTGGATTCCTGTGGTTCTGATTTAGACTTTGCCCACTTTTAGTTTATATATATAGTCTATATTACGCAAAATAGACTCTTGTGAGCTTTACGCCATGTTATAATGTATTTACTTAATCAAAAACAGACCTGGAGTTGTGTTTTGTTTCATTCACACACGTTTGTTTACATCTCCAAAGCTCAAAATGTTCTGTTCCACCTCGTGATGTCATGACAAGTACTGCACTTGTCAAGTTAGCATCTACCTTTTACCTTTAGTTCAGTAGAGATTGGAAATTCCAGGGCTGAAAGCAGAGGCGGTGCAACCATTAGGCAAAAGTAAGCTGCTGCCTAGGGCCCCCAAACCTTGAGGGGCCCCCAACAAATTGCCCTCAGTGTCACTAATGACCGAGGCCTCAGAGCAATTAGATTTTCTCTCAATGTGACATTAAATGAGAGTAGTTTACTTTCAAACAATAATCAAAATAATAATAATAATAATAATAATGATAATAAGAATCACTTGCAATGGATGTAAACAAAAATGTAATTTTACCAGCAAAAAAATTAAACGACTTTCAGTTCTAGTTATTTAGTAAGCGACCAAACTAATAAGACAAGTTTCCAATCCACCATAATTCAAATAAATAGAGATGTGCATGTCTCAAGGACAATGTGCAAAAACAGACAATAAATATATATTTAAAAAAAGAAGGGCCCCAAACTGAACTCCACCACTGGCTGAAATGACTGCCAAATGATTCTAGTAAAGGTGTGTAGAGTTTAAAAATACCATGGAGCACTTCCTGTATTACCACATGACATCCCAAGTTGGAACAGATTGTTTTCTGTTTGGGAGAAGAAGTCAGCCTGAATATGCAGAGTTTGTGTGTTAAAAATGTGTGAATGAAACAAAACATAACAAAACTCCAGGTATGTTTTTGATGAAAAACAACATAATAACATATATCATAACAAAGATCATAACATAGATTATAATATAGATCATAGCGTAGATTATTACATAGATCATAACATATATAATAACAGATCATTACATAAATCATAACTTAGATCATAACATGGATCATATCTTGGACCATATCTTGGACCATGACGTACACCATGACGTACACCACGTACACAACGACGTACACCACGACATGGATCATAACTTATATCATAACATGGATCATAACAAAGATCATGACTTTGATCATGATTTGGACCATATCTTTGACCATATCTTGGACCATGACGCACACCATGACGTACACCATGACGTACACCACGACGTACACAACGACGTACACCACGACATGGATCATAACTTATATCATAACATGGATCATAAAAAAGATCATGACTTTGATCATGACTTGGACCATATCGTGGACCATATCGTGGACCATATCGTGGACCATGAGGTGGACCATAACATGGACCATGACTTAGACCATGACTTAGATCATGACTTAGACCATGACTTAGATCATGACTTAGATCATGACTTAGATCATGACGTAGATCATGAGTAGATCATGAAGTAGATCATGAAGTAGATCATGAAGTAGATCATGAAGTAGATCATGATGTGGACCATGACTTGCACCATGACTTGCACCATGACGTGGACCATGACGTGGACCATGACGGTGACCATAACATGGACCATGACGGTGACCATAACGTAGGTCATAACTTAGATTATAACATAGATCATAAAGGCATAATATGAGCCCTTTAAGGTAGTATTCAGTATTCTAAATTGGTTTGCTAACAACATAAAAAAATAAAAACAAAAAACTAACCAACACTTAAAAAAGGAACCTGTCTTATCTTTTTTCATTAACCACTACCTGCACAAAGACACTCATTTTAATCATCAAAACTGTGAAAACAAAATTGTAGGGTTGTCAGAAAGTAATTTTGTAAAACACACAGAAAAAAAATCCACTTTGCAATAACTCAATACAGCGGGCCACTAAGCCTGTCATGATAATTACTACATCGAGAATCATGTGCACGTCTTCCTTTGTAGTAACTGGACATTCTTTGATTTTTTTGGTATTATGATGAGATTTGAGCTGTAGACAGTTTTTAATGAACTGCTATCACTCATTATAGACAAACTAACTTACTTACTTAAAGGTGCACTGTGTAACATTTTGGTTGGGGGTCTGTCATCTGCTTGTTTCTATGAATATGCCATTGCTGTGCCTGGAATGTTCCACAGTATGACTTTAAACAGCTCTACCTTACATTTATTCAATTACAGGTGGTTTTAAAGCTCAAAAATACCTAGAAAAACAGGCATTCTGACTGTCAGCGGGGTCGCCTCTCTGCAGATCTGACCTGTAACTTGGTCTGGTTTGGTCTCCGTTATGATTGAAAGGTTTAATTCTATACTGTGGAACATTCCAGTTGAAGCAATAACATCTCCATAGAGAAAAGCATGGACCCTCCACCAGAAAAATTACACAATGCACTCTTCTTTTTCTGCTGTTTTTTGCAATATTGTACATTTAGAATAGTTTTTGAAGATAATTCTGGTTTTGTTTTGCTTTCATTGTTAATGTATATAGTCTATATTTTCTTCAGCAATATATCTCAGTTCAAAATTTGTTATTGTGACTGACCTTATCAATAATATAACACCAAGTACCACAATAGTACCACAGCAGAACCACAATAGCAATATTTTTATTATTATTCAGCACACAGCTACATAAAAGTGCCAGCTGTTAACCCTTCCAGACCCAAGGGCATTTTTAGTACATCTGTCCTCGCCTGGATTTTTTTTCTTAATTTTGTGCGTTTAAAAGTCCCCCTTTTACCCCCTAATGAAGTGTTATGCATCCTTTTTTCAGTACAACCTGTTAATTCACAATCTGTATGCTGTAGTTGTATCATATGGCTGTAATAAAAACTATAGGACCAGAAATACAAATGAAAAAAGAAAATGGAATATAAAATTCACACTTTTTCATACAAAACAACTTTTTGGAGATAAAAAGTGCTTAATTTAAGGTCTTAGCTACAAAAGTGCAAAATACTAAGTCTGTAAGTAAACTAAAAATATCCTTATTGCCCTCAAAACAAACAAAAAAAGCTCAACTATCCTATTACTTTCCTGGTGCCAGTCATGGAAACAGCTCGTGTCAGGTCCAGGGCACAGAGCCACATCACTTCCTGCAATTCCATGGTGTTTATTACATTTATATTTTTGACTGAAATAAACCTTTCAAATAAAAATAGCAAGGGATGCGCAATTACACAGACCAAGATGTGCAATTTGCCATTTATTTGAGATATAACTGGACTTAGAGCGGCTTTTTTAATCGTTAGAAGCATAGACGCTCAGAGCAGACAACCATCTCGATTCGCTACACTCTTTGGCAAAGTTTGGGTCAATCAAAACATTTTCCCAATGTCACCACGAAGCATGCGTGTGACATAGGGTAAAGCTGGAGATATACTCGAAAAGCCAAAAGTCTTATCATTCAAAGGAAAACAAAGTAAGTTTCTATCTTTTATGGTTGGAAAGTTATGTGGAGTTATATAGAACATAATCGCATGTGTAGTCCAATGAGATTCATTTGGTCAAACACAAAGGATTCCAGGCACTCCAAACTAGTAGAAAAAATTTTAAAAATCGCACGAGGAAAAATATAGTTAAAAGGCCTTTATTTGAATGGCCAAAGCCAACATGTTTTGACCTTAACTGGTCTTCATCAGGGCTTGAAGGTTGAAACATGTTGGCTTTGGCTATTCAAATAAAGGCCTTTTAACTATATTTTTCCTCGTGCGATTTTTTAATTTTTCTACTAGTTTGGAGTGCCTGGAATCCGTTGTGTTTGAGTTTTGATCCTTTTTCCAAGAGCACCCTATTCCTGCTCCTACTGATTGGAATCACCTGCAGCAAACAGCCACATTTTTGTTCTTTCTGCACAGAGGTTCATTTGGTCTTCCAATATTTTATGTTATTAGGTTCTTTTTTCAGACCAAGAGTTTGTTTTCATACCTGACAGTTTTGACTACTCTCTAGCGGTCTTCCTCAGAGTGGTCACGTGATGTTGCTGACGTGTCCAGTCAGCTGATTTATACAGATTTTGGCTCTGTCCTCCCACCGGTGGAGGCAGGACGAGTGGGATGGAGCAAACATCATTGGGACAGAGGAAAACAAACATCGCTGCTGGATTAAAGAGGCAATCGAAATACGGAAACGTGCCCATGGGACGATAAACCGGGACAAGGGGGCTTTTTTGCTCTCGCACACCTGGGATACTGTCCTGAGGAAGTCGGACTGCAGATGGCGCTGTTGTCCTGACTCCACTGGTGGGAAGACAGCGCCAAAACCTGTTTAAATCAACTGACCGGACACGTCACAGCAACATCACATGACCACTCTGAGGAAGACGAAACTGTCAGGTATGAAAACAAACTCTTGGTCTGTAAAAAGAACCTAATAACATATAATCGCAGGTGTGTCGGTTTGGAAGGGTTAATTCCTCATGAAGTGTTGCATACTTTTCTCTTTGTTATTATATTCCCTTGTGGATCAATTAAGTTTGTCTAAGTCCAAGTCTAAGTCGTAATATTCCTCCACTGGTCTGGCTAAAAGAGAACCAGCCCCTCCTTCTCCTCCTCATATCACACCATGTTATTTTCCATACCAGTGCAGAGCTGAACCGTCACTGACCTCTATGAGCACGTCGGCGGCGTCGTGCAGACACATGACCAGCGTGCCCACCCTCGCCATGTTGTTGACGTAGGAGAAGGTGATGAGGGAGATGGTGGCCGCGTGGTGCACCAACATGATGGGGAAGTCCTGCCCGCAACAGTGGTCAAAGCAAACACAAAGAAAGACAGTCAACAACAAGGGTATTTCAAAGCAGTTAGTTTAGTCACACACAGAGAATCAGAGAAGTGTAATAACTGTAAGTGTGATAGACTGGAAAATACTGTAGCAGAATGGGATGAAAACTGGATAATTTGGTCTGAATAATATTTGTTTTAGCATGTTTTTGTGAGCTAGTGTTCGATTTTTGATACTAAGGACTAGATTCGAAACTCAATATCGATTTAGACACTATAATGATAACAAAAGACTTTCAGAATGCCATTTTCAGCTTCAAATTATAGAACTTTCTTTCTTATTACCATGTGGCCATATCTATGTAAACCAGGGGTCATCAAACTAAGGCCCGCGGGTTGACTCCAGTCCTCCACGTCCCTTTGACCGGCCCCCCGGCCCCTCTACCCCCCCACCACTTGAACTGGCCCTATGAAGCAATCTTCAAAAGCTGTCATGGCCTATTTTTTTAAATTAGTTTTTGGTAAATAATAACACACGGCATCTTGAATTGTGCAGATTTTTTTTCTATTAAAAAATGATATTTATATGAAGTATTTATATTTATATTTAAATAATTGCATGACATATTTACATTTGCCGCCGCATTTTTGTCGAGATCAACAGTGAGAGTCAACACACGTGCAGAGTACCGTAGTCCAGTTAAAGACCGCAAAATGATGAGTGTTAAAGTACAAAAACTTGACAGAGAGTTCCGAGTTTTCAAAGAACAATGGACGACCAATTATTTTTTGTTCAGTGTAAGGACCGTGCAGTTTGTCTGATATGTAAAAGAAAGTGTGGAAGTTTTCAAAGAATATAGTCTGCATCGTCAGGGTCGTATAATTCTGTTATACGGCCAACTTGACCCAAGCCCGGCCCCCATCACGGTCAGGAGCGATAATGTGGCCCCCAGAGAAAAAAATTTGGTGACCCCTGATGTAAACAGTTGTCCTGGTAGGTTCCATTGTGGCCCATTAGCGTATACTCATTTTAGTATCGATTAGGAACAGATTTTCTATGCTTCTGACAACTCTGCTGTGAGCTGATAAAAAAAACGTTTGAATCTTAAAGGTGCACTGTGTAATTGTCCAAAGCAGTTAGTTTAGTCACTGCTAGACAAACACAAGGACAAAGAATGGGAGAGGTTTGTAAGTAAGGTGTGTAAATTAAATACTGTAACAGAATGAGTTAAAACATGAAATCGTGTTAATTTGATTTAAAAGCGGAACTAAGTCAAGTTTTTTTTTGCTACTGAACTGTGTACATATGATGTTTTAATAGTATTTTCTGCTGGTCATTTTTGGCAACATAAGCGGAAACTAGGTAAATTTACAATTTTCTGGTCTAAAACACCAACGATATAAAAGAATGAGAACTTCGCACATCAATTACTTGAGACGAGTGCATTGGAGAAGCGGGAGCAGCCCAAGAATATAGAGATATTGTGAGATTTATTAGGTCAAACCGTGCAACGTTTCGGCACTAGGCCTTCATCAGGTAAAAAAAAAAACAAAAAAAAAGGCCTAGTGCGGAAACGTTGCACGGTTTGTCCTAATAAATCTCACAATGTGCAAGTAAGACGGTGTGCGGGATTTTTCTCTATGTTCTAAAACACCAACATTTAAGTCCGTGCTGGCTTCAAGTAGTTGGTGACATCACGCAAGACTGTCCTGATTACAGTTTCTAGTTACAAATACCTGGCTGAAGTCTGGACCAATCACACTGTTCCTTATAGCCCTTCTTTAGTCCTCCAGCTCTGTTTGAAATGTGGTTGTGGGTGAAGTTTAGGCGTTTAGTCTAATTTTAATAATATTTTAAGCAGCATGTCTTTGTGAGCTGCTAACAATGTTGTTAGAATCTTAAGTATCCACGGGTTTCAGAGTGACGCAAATTAGCATCGCAAATCACGTCGCAATTAATATTTCAAAATCTTATTATGACGCACGCTCGGGGGCATTACCTGCTCGTCTCCATAAAAATAGGCAGATATGTTTAATGCCGTACTGTGGAATGTTCTAGACAACAGATAATACTCCCTACAACTGTACAACAACCCACTCTTATGCAATGGATAATACTCCCTACAACTGTACAACAACTCACCCTTACGTAACAGATAATACTCCCTACAACTGTACAACTACTCAGTCTTATGTAATGGATAATACTCCCTACAACTGTACAACAACTCACCCTTACGTAACAGATAATACTCCCTACAACTGTAAAACATCTCACACTTATGTAACAGATAATACTCCCTACAACTGCACAACTCACCCTTATGTAACAGATAATACTCCCTACAACTGTACAACAACTCACCCTTATGTAACAGATAATACTCCCTACAACTGTACCTATGACCTGTTTTCTATTTTATTTCGACTTGTACATATAAATTTATATAATTATTTCTTATTTTACACCTGGCTCTTGCTCTTTTTTGCTACTTATTTAGAATTTATTGTTACCATTTATGTTTTTAATCTTTTTTATTATATTATATTGTGATGTGTAAGCTACTGTGTCCAAATAATTTCCTTTATGGATCAATAAAGTTTGAAAATTACAGTTTCTAATTCTAATGTCCGTCTAAAACTATCACATAATGTAGTAAAAGACTTCATCGGAGTGTTTTGATGAAGATTATAATGAGGAAGAGATAACACATGTTCCAGAGACTCATATACTGGTCCCCCATAGAACACCTATAGAAGTGCACACATCTCACAAGTACCCAGAATACACTGCGGCGCAATGACACAAGTCTATTTTTAGCCACCCAAAAAAAGCAGAGGTAAAGTGTGAGCATGTAGATGATAAAATGCAGTACGTTGAGCCAGAAAACAAAGAAAAATCCAACACTAAAACGAAAAGAGAGATGATACTTTGCAGCTGACGCCATCAACGTTCTTTGGGGGCGTGATGCTAACTGTAGGCACTGCTCCGTCTGAAGCTCTGTTAGATTTTATCTCAGCTTTGTTTTAACACAATCTGACCAGAAAGAGTTGATTTAGTTAGAACAACAACAGGTGATTTGATTTGGTGCTGTTAAACAAGCCGCTCTCAAATAACATTACTATCACAAGCTAGTTAGCGTTAGCCAACAGTTTTTCAGTTGTCACTCTCAACTTTTTTGATCACAAGCTCCTGAATATGTGTTATTTAAAGGAACAGTCTGGAATTTTGGACATAGGACCTCATTTTCTACTTATACAGAGTGTTGGAGACGTGTGGAGACACTTTTTAAAATATTCCATCCAGTCCTTGTATTTGCAGAGGTCGCTGGTGCTAGGCTAGTGCATGTCAATGTCAATGGCCATAATTATCCTGCCACTAAAAACAGTTTTACCCACTCCACAAACAGGGACTTTTGGGCTGTGTGGTACATGGTCTCTGTTACCTGTGGTTTTGTGGCCCGTGTTCACACCTGTGCGGCCGATGGCATCATCGCATGGCGCTGATTATTTATGTTTTGACTTGTTTTTATTCTCAAATTAATTTTTATCCCTTCAGCTTAGATATAATAATGTTAAAACATTGTGCTTATCTGTTAAAAGTTGTAAAATAAAATAAAAAACTTGAATCGCAGGACTTCTATGGCATAAATCCAAACAAAAAGTTCAAGAATTTTGATTAACTCAAAAGTGTATCGTGTAACTTTTGTAAACGTTTCTATCTTCATGGAGACCAAACCAGACCAAGTTACAGGTCAGATCTGTGGAGAGGTGACCCTGCTTACTGTCAGAATACCTGTTTTTGTAGGGATTTTTGAGCTATAAAACCACTTGTTGTACTTCCTGATAGAAAGCTTGGGAGTGGCGGATTGACTGATCACCTAGCACTTATGTTACTGGCAAAGTAAAAAAGAAAATAGCCCCTCAACATGTGTCCATTTATGCAAGGTTAGTTTTATTTCAAACATTATTCTATCAACACAGACATTCACATTGACAGTCTGGTGTAATAATAAATTTGCTTCGGGTGTTTTGTGGGGTGGGTAAGACTGTTTTTAGTGGCAGGATAACTATAGCCATTGACATGCACTAATCTAGCACCAGCGACCTCTGCAAATACAAGGACTGGATGGAATATTTTAAAAAGGGTCTCCACACATCTCCAACACTCTGGCTCATTAAAAAATAAGGTCCTATGTCAAAAATTCCAAACTGTCCCTTTAAATCCATTTTGTAAACCATTTTAAATCTTAAAAGGTGCAGTGCGCAACATTTCTGGTTGAGGGTCCGTCAAATGCTTTTCTCCAAGGAGATGCTATTGCTTTGTCTGGAATGTTTCACAGTATGGCATTAAACTTTCTATCACCATGGAGACCAAACTAGACTAAGTTACAGGTCAGATCTATGGAGAGGCGATGCCGCTCAGTCAGAATAAACGTTTTTCAAACTATTTTTTGAGCTGTAAAACCACCTGTGATTGAATCAAATTTAAAATAGAGCTTTTTAATGTCACACTGTGGAACATTCCAGGCAAAGCAATGACATATCCATAGAAACAAGCAGGTGACAGACTCCCAATCAAAAAGTTACAAAGTGCACCTTACCTTTAAAGCTCTTAATATTTGCCTGTATTTGCTAACGGCTGAATATTCCGCCAGAGACAAACCGTATTTTCCACACTATAGGGTGCACTTAAAATCCTTTAATTTCATCAAAAAACTACTGCGCGCCTTATAATCCAGAGCACCTTATATATGAATTTATTCGGGTGTCTTAGTACGACTTTAGTAAACTACAAAGCCGCAACACTTGCAGCATCACAGCTCCCGTAGTCAGGAGTAATACATAATACATACTGTGATTCCTTTTAATATCAAAATGCCACCTGTCCAAAGACACGATTACTACGTTGATTTTAAACTAAAGGCTATTATAAAGTGAAAATGTGAGCTGCGTGGGAGCAGTGGATGAGAGAAGGTGAACACACATTCACCAAGACAGAGAGACAGCGCCGAGCAACTTACGCCACGATCTGCCAATGGATCGTGGACGCCTGGGCTAAGGATCAGTATCAACTGTGGTCCGGGCTTTCACCAAGACCAGAATCATCACTGAACTGCCAGGGAACAGTAACCACACTGACCCGGATAATGACGAGTCGCCGTAATCGCCCAACTGTTTGAACAATTATGAGTTATTGTGAATACACTAACAATTTAGCCTGTCAGACAGTATTTTTTTTTTTACGTGTTACAATTGAACAAAGTTGAGAGTTATTGTGAACACGATAAAGTTTGACTGACTTATCTAACTGTTGTGTTTCGTTTAATGCACCTTATAGTCCGGTGCGGTGAAAAAAGTAAGAAAAATAGACGATTCAATGACAGTGCGCCTTATAATCCAGAGCGCCTTAAAGTGCGGAAAATACGGTACATGCAGAACCACCCCGGCGTGACGTCATTGCAAAGTATCAATAGAAGTGGAGTGGATGCAGTGCGGGGAGGACATACAGTACTGGAGGATGCATGGGGAGCAGAGGACCTCGTCAGAGTGGAGCTGTGCATGAGAAAACTGAAAGGAGAAACAAAAAACACACAAACATGCCACCAGTCAACACACAGATGATAGAGCAATGCATTGTGGGAGAGCGGGAAGGCATGCACGTACACAGACACACCCGGTGAACCCCAAGAAACAGAGACATGTGGAGAGGGTAATAATGAACGTGATGTAATTGAGTTTAAAGGTCCTATATTACGCAAAATTGACTCTTGTAAGCTTTAAATCATGTTAGAATATTGTGACCTCCTCATAAACAAACCTGGAGTGCTGTTTTCTTGCATTTATTCATCATCGTTTATTACTAGGGGTGTAACAATAACCAAAATATTGTGTTATCGTGGACCTTCTTAATATATCAAATCACAAGTTTCTTTGCTTAAATTCATTGTGATGGAGCAGCAATAGCCAAATAAACAGAGGGAACTACATAGACCATGATCCTTTGCTCTGTTTTGGCGCAAACTACATCAAGAAATAACAGTTCTAAGCGCTTTTAAATTCTTTGGATTAAGTCTTGTCAAGGCATTTTATGAGGAAAAAGTAGCATATTCACAATTTTGTTTGCCTCCTCAAAATATCGCAATAAATATCATACCGTAAGATTTGGTTATCGTTATATATTTATTTATTTATCTATTTATTATTAGTCTGTCTACATCTCCAAAGCTCAAAATGCTCTGTTCCACTTTGTGATGTCATGTACTGGTAGTTTTCAAGTTAACAGCTCCTTTTTAGTTTATTTTTGGAAATTCCAGGGATGAAACCATCCAAAAGATTCTAGTGTACAGAGTTTAAAAACACAGTGGAGCAATTCCTGTATTACCACATGACATCACAAGGTTGAAAGGAGTGTTTTCTCGGGATGTAATGATATCCAAATCTCTTGGTACGATACTTTCACGATATGCATCTCACGGTACGATATTTATTGCGATATTTTTGTAGATAAGACACTTTTTTGCTTTTAAAAAAACCTTGACAATATTTTGGTGTGAATTATTTCTGTCATAAACCCAAAAATTAAAGTAAAAAACATATTTCTTCATGTTGCTGCCCTGAAATGAATCATGGGATCTGTAGTTCCCGATATTTATAAGCTGTTTCTACTGTAAAACCATGCATTTAAGCAAAGGAACTTGTGATTCGATATATTGTGACAGCCCATGATATTATTGTGAGACTTTTCACAATATTTTGGTTATTGTTACATCCCTATTTTTTATATTTTTTTTGTTTAAGACAAGAACTCAGCCTAAATATGCAGGGTTTGTGTGTTAAACATGTGTGAATGAAACAAAACACAACTCCAGGTGAGTTTGTGATGAGGAAACAACATTATAACAGATACATTTTTTTTTTTAAATAGCACAATATAGGCCCTTTTAACAACGAGGCTTTCTACTTATAAAAGTAAAACACATGAATGAAAAACTAAAAGTTACAATTTAACACTTTAACAATTTTATATCAAACTTTTGTACAAACCTGATACATAAACTGATTAAAGCTGTATTAAGTAGCTATTACAAATTTCAATTTGCATATAATATCTTGTCTCATGGGATTTGTGTTTTGTTCCATGGTCCACCCCCAGCAAGTAAAGACTGCAACAAACAGGCAGTATTCATATGGTGCAAAAAAATAAAAAATAAATCTGATTTCACGCAAAAATACAGGAATTCTGTGGCAAAAAAAACCTTACATCATACACATTTTAACTGTGTTTTTTTTTTTTTTTTTGTTTTGCTTTTTTTCCTGTTGTGTGTGTGCCATCTTATTTATGTAATTAATGTCTCCCTCTTTTTAATTTTATGATAATTATTTATGTTTTGATTTGTTTTTATTGTGATTTTAATGTATTTCTTATTCTGTAAAGCACTTTGCAATTAATTTGTGTACGAATTGTGCTATATAAATAAACTTGCCTTGCCATTATATGTACTATATGTCACGCATTTATGTAGGTAACTTCTCAAATTGTTTTTATCTATTCATCCCAGATATGATAATGTTAAAACAATGTGCTGCTGTCTGTTATCTGGTAAAAGTTGCAAAATAAAATGAAAAACTTGAATTACAGGAATTCTATGGCATAAATCCAAACAAAAAGGTCAAGAATTTTGATTAACTTAAAAGTGAATTTTGTAACTTTTGCGGTGGAGAGTCCGTCAAATGCTTTTCTTTTTTGTCTGGAGACTGGAATGTTTCACAGTATGGCATTAAACCTTTCTATCATCATGGAGACCAAACCAGAGCAAGCTACAGGTCGGATCTGTGGAGAGGCGACCCCGCTCACAGTCAGAATACCTGTTTTTTGAGATATTTTTGAGCCATAAAACCACTTGTAATTGAATAAATGTAAGTTGGAGCTGTTTAAAGTCATACTGTGGAACATTCCAGGCAGAGCAATGACATCTCCATAGAAACAAGCAGGTGACAGACTCCCAAACAGTAAACAAAACTTCAAAATGTATAGGTTTTTAGCACTATATCATATCATGCGTTTGAGAAGAAAAAAAAGTACAATCATTTTCATTTTACTCATGACTGATCTGGAATAGAAAGTAAAACGGCGAAGAATTGAGGAAAACAAAAAATCCTGGCTCTATTTACAACAAAGACCAGTTTTGAAAAGACACACAACTAGTGAAAACATTCTTGATATGATCCTAGTGCCCTGGAAATGCTCTGCTATTTCACACCTCGCTGACAATACTCAGAGAAAGTGATTGTGGGCAGGCGAAGAGACCACATATCATCCAGTTATTCTGAAAGTGACAAAGGCTTTGGAAAAATAAAAACATATATATTAAAAAAACTAACATACAAACTAGATCCTGGGCTTACCTTCCTCTTTATGTCTGTGAATTGGGAAAATAGTAGGGACAGGTAGAACGACAACTCCAGGATGTAGTAGTAATGGATGTCCACCGTCAATGGCTGAAATAGTGAAACAAAATAAAAAATACACATAAGTATATAAGTACAAATGTGTTTAAAGGTTCCTTATGACACAGAATTGACTCTTGTGAGCTTTACGTCGTGTTATAATGTTTTTATAAGGCTGTGAAATTAATTGAATTTTGATCGTAATTTTGATTTGTGTGTCAAACAATCTCCAAACTCATATAATCAAGTTTATTTTGGGATATTATTATATATTAGTATATTTATTTCATTTTTAAAATATAGGGATTATAGAACAGCTGGATATATAGTTTATTTTGGAGACATTTATGTTTTTCTATGCCTTATTTCATGTTCAAAGTTTATTGTATTTATTTTATTTTTTATACATTGCAAAACTGCTCTAAGGTTCATATTTGTAGCCTGTATTTATTTTCACTTTAAAAGTTTTGCGTAAATTATCAGTAACAATTTTTTTTTTGAGAGAGCGAAAAATGTTGAATAAATGCATTGTGTAAGTAAAAAATAATCGTGATTTCAATATTGACCAAAATAATTGTGATAATGATTTTTTCCATAATCAAGCAGCTCTATGTTCTCTTCAAAAATAAACCTGAAGTTGTGTTTTTTTTCATTCACACATGTTTGAGTAATCCTGGATTATTAGTCTGTCTACATCTCCAAAGCTCAAAATGCTCTGCTCCACCTTGTGATGTCATGTAGTGGTAGTTTTCAAGTTAACAGCTCCTTTTACCTTCAGGTCAGTAGAGATTGGTAATTCCAGGGCTGAAATTTTCCAAATGATTCTAGTGAAGGTGTATGGAGTTTAAATGGTGGAGCACTTCCTGTATCTCCTCCTGTATATGTGTGTGAATGAAACAAAACACAACTCCAGGTCTGTTTATGAAATGTGAGGAAACAACATTATAATGTAGATCAGAAAATACCACAATACGGGACCTTTAAAGTGCATATGATACTGTAGGTTAGATCAGTGTTTCCTAGACTTTTTTTTCTGCAATTCATATTTTAAAAGTCACAAACCTTCGCGAACCAAGTCAATAGACATTATTAATAAATCACAAAATAAAGTTGAATTTGAGCATTATTGAACATTAATGAGGACATTTTATTGTGTCTCTGAAGCAATTAGTATTAGTCAAGTTTTAAACGATGAAAAACAGTAATTGAAGCAGCGATAAAAGGATCCATCAGTCACCTATTTGGACTTTAAATGTGGCCCATTTCTTTTTCTTTTCAACATTCAACTGAACCAGCAATACTGGAACAAAATAGTCAATAAAATAATTACAAAAAGATTAGAAATTATACAAAACATGTCTTATCATTTCAGCATGTGTCAGAAATTGTATATCGCAGAACTACATGCAGATCGGGACAAAGTTGCCCCAAAAAAAAAAAAAAATCTCTTGTGACTCACTGTTTGGAAAACAGTGGGTTAGTTTACTTATTTCACTACAGCATAGTTAACATAATTATATTTAAGATTTTAATAAAAGTCTTGATTATTTCTTTCTACTTCATTTATTTTTTTTAATTTGATGAAGTTTTAAAATTTTACTGACATAAGTAGAGGTAATTCCATAACTTTTACCAAGCAACCATAATCTTAAATCGCCCATATTACACTATTTTCTGATCTATGTTATAATGTTGTGAGATGTTGAGGAGTTATATAATATTATAATATGTCTTAAAGCTCACAAAAATCCATTTTGAGTAATACAGGACCTTTAACAAAGACTTCTAACAAAATGGCAACAGTTTATTTTGTTAAATCAAGGTTTAAATTGCCAGAAAAACGCTTCCTTTCCACGTAAACTGTCCCTGATAGAATTTTCTGTGTTTACCGAAAGGCAGAAGTTTTCCGTTTTAACCTCAACAGCTACTTCCTTTTTTTGTACTTTTCTTAACTTTCTTTTCACACAAACTGCCACTTACCGTTTACATCAGGTAAGAAGAAAAAAAGAAGTACAAAAATACTACGCTTAATGTTTACTACAGATCCTATCCAACCAAACCAAGAAATAATGAGAAAAACATGAAAACCTGTCATAAGCGCTTTTATAAAATCATCTTGATTTGAGTGTAGAATTACCTGGTAGGGATAGTTGTACCAGCATTCCTTAGTGTTCCAAAGCCACGGCGTCTGGGGAGAAACGAGAGGGCAAAGACATGAAAAATATGAAACTATCAAAATAATGCAAAGTGAAGTGTATTAAACAGAACTATTTTAAACCGCTTGCTGTGGTCCAAAATTATTCCTCACCTAACCAAAGCATTCAGAACATCCTAATTATTCACCACAGTGAGTTTAGAAGCGCTTTTTGCAACTTTCAGCGGCCTGAGAGGAGTTTTGCCACCACAATAAAGCCAACAAATAGCATGCTAATCGTGCTATTCCTGATTGTAGCACAGTAAAAAGCTGTTCTGTTCCACCTTGTCATGTAGCGGTAGTTTTCAAGTTCAAGTTCTGTCGCGTTTTACCTTTAGTTCAGAAAAGCTCTGAAATTATCCAAATGATTCTAGTGAAGATGTACAGAGTTTAAAAACACAGTGGAGCTCTTCCTGTATTACCACATGACATCACAAGGTGGAATGCGGTGTTTTCTGTTTGAGAGAAGCCCAAATATGCAAGGTTTGTGCGATAAACATGCGAGAATTAAACAGAACTTCAGCTTTTTGATGAGGAAACAACATCATAACATAGATCAGACAGTGGCGTAATAGGAGTTCTTTAAAGCTCCATTTTCCACTTGTTTTTTCTTTGCTGTTATTATTTATTCATTCATTCAAATCAACAAGTGAAGTGAGAGAGCTGCTTGAATATTCAGCCTCTAACGCCCAACACTGAGTCATGTTCCATCAGCACATCAGCATATAACACAGTATGATTTGATCTTTGTAATCAATATTATACAAAGTGAGCGAGGGCAGAAAAGCTGGTACAGTAGCTACTTTTAACTTTTCGACAGTGATTCTGAATTTTACAACTACTGGAGTATATAGATGATTAGAATACATTAATCTGTGGCAATGCGGTGAACTGGAGGCAAATCATTGCCATATATTTTGGACGTGTCCTCATATCGTTCCATTTTGGAGAGAAATTCATAAATCGTTAGAAACTGTGTTCTGTATTGACATACTGTTTCGACTTGAAACAATGTACTTGGGTTTCCTGATGGGTGAAAATGTGACGTATAAAGCTAAATACCTGTTCCAGAATTTGAGTGTGGCTGCTAGGAAAGCTATAACCAGGAAATCCACAAGTACCAACACTGGATGAACGGTTTGAGATTGTTTATGATATTTTTAAGATGAAGAGAATTACTTTTAGCATAAGACTGCAACAAGACAAATTTGAAAACAAATGGAAACGGTGGATTGAATATATAAATACTGTGAGACCTGGACTTTGTTTGACCCATTACTTTGTTTTTCTTGCAATTGGCTGTAATAATTATTATTCATTATTATTATTATTTTTCTTTTAATTAATCCAGCCTTTGTAAGAATCAAGGCACACCCGCAGGTTGTATTGTATTTGTCTTTTTCATACTTAAAAAAAAAAGAAAAATAAAGACTTACAAAAAAAAGAATACATTAATCTGTGAGCATTTTGAGGTGTCCAGCTCCCAAATCTACACATACAAGTCATCTAGTCGTACTTATGTTTAAAGCAGACCTATGCAAAATGGACTTTTCAGAGCTTTTAAGCAGAATAGGCTATGTTCAGACTGCAGGGCTTAATGCTTAATTTGGATTTTTTTGTTAAATCTGATTTTTTAGCGAGATCGTTCACATTTACAATTAAATGCGACTTGTATGTGATCTCCAGTGTGAACTTTAAATGTCCCAAAAGTGTCCTGCATGCACACTGGTGGACACAGTGACGTCACACACAGCGAGCGCACTCAGTGTTTACGGAAGTCGCCTAAACACTGAGCATTAAGCACGTGGAGATTTTAGAGTCGCTGTCATACCGGAGCAGAACATGTACATCTTATTTGCTTTAAGGAGGAGATTGAGAAGAAGAAGGAGGTGGTTTTGACGAGAAGAACATTTGTTGTTTGTTGTTGTTGACGTGTAGGTGGGATGAATGCGACCTGGCCGTTCAGACTGAAGTCGCATGTCAAAAGATCGGATATGTATCAGTTTTAGGAGCACATGTCCTAGTGGCCTGGGTCGGATTTGAAAAAGTTGGATCCGTGTCTTTCAGACTGTCATTAAAAGATCAGATACAGGTCACAAAGGGGCGAAAAAATCGGATTTGAGTCTTTTCAGGCTGCAGTTTGAACGTAGCCTTATAGTTGTTTCTCTTCTCATTTACTCACTCGAAGCTTTATCAGGAGTGCTTTGTGCATGTTTGAGCAATCTTTAATCACTTCTTTTCAAGACGCTATATTACTGTCTACATCTCCAAAGCTCAAAACACTCTATTGGTTCATGACATGACAGAGCGCAAGAAAGAGAAATGGGCAATTCCAGGTCTGAAATCATCCAAATGATTCTAGTGAAGGTGTATGGATCTTAAAAACACAGTAAAGCACTTCTTGTACTATCACATGACATCACAATATGTGTTTCAGTTTGAGAGAAGAACATAGAAGAGCCTAAATATGCAGGATTTGTGCGTTAAACATGGGTAAATGAAACAAAACACAACTCTGGGGACGTTTGTGATGACAACATTATGACACAGATCTGAAAATACTGTAATATGGGCTCTTTAATCCCAGTTTAATCCTGGTTTAATCCTAATTCAGAAGTTGATACAGTGCTGGTTTAATCCTATACACAGATATAACCTCTATTGTCTGTATATAAACATGGTCCTATCTACCACCTGCTCTGAGGAAACCCCCAGAGACACAGCAGCAGAACAGAGCACAGGAGCCAAGTCTGAACACTCCACAAACTGCTTCGTCATACTCCTCCTTTCTCACTAAAAGATCTGTGCCGTCTGCTATCTGCTATCTCTACTCTAATGTTATCTAATGTATTCTTAATGAGACCAATTATGTGAATGAGAATAGTCTCACAGGGCCACACAGACTGTATTTAGCCTCTCAAACATGGTGGTTTTGGGTCAAGTTTTTACACACTGCTTTGGTGATTAAAAAGAAAAAAAAAATTCTCAAAGGTAGGTAGTGTAGCCAAAAATTATACTCAAGTATGAGTAACATTACTTCAAAATAATATTACCGTATTTTTGGAACTATAAGTCGCATTTTTTTTTTTTCATGGTTTGGGTGTTTCTTGCGACTTATATTCCAGTGTGACTTATATATTAAAATTTTCACACTGACAGCTGCAAGAGGCTCTAGTCTTGTGTGTCAGTATCTGCTGCTCCTTTTACTCCTGTACCACTGTCACTTCACTCTACTGTGCATGTCTCCTGCACAAAGAGCTGCTGCCCTGCTGCAAGGAGTGAAATCTGCAGCCGAAAACTGTAATAGAGCAGCAGAAAGAAAGTTTGGAGTGAGTGAGAAACTTGTGACACCGGAAGTCACAAGCAACTTTCCTGGAAGTCACTGGATGGATCGACAAATCCTGGACTTCAGTAACAACGAAACCATCCTGTCGGGATTCAGAAAGGCCGGAATAATTCTATTTGGAACTGATGCTGAGTCTGACGACAGCTACACAGAAGAGGAAGCGGCGCTCCGTTTACCTCATGGATCTATGGTTTACCTCCGGAGGTTGCAGAGTTGCTCAGAAGTGACACAGAGGATGAAGAATTCAATGGATTTAGTGATTTGGAGTGAGATGGAGAGTTTGGTTAAACTTGTTCTGTTCTGTTATTTATGTTATAGTTATCAGAAGAACTGTTCATATGTGACGTTAACAGTCTGTTGTTCTCTGTTCTATTGTTGTTACTATCACTTGCCTTTCAAGATGAAATGTCAGTTCCTGGTCTCTGAGATTATAAAATAAATTTCCCCCAAAAAGTGCGACTTAAATATTTTTTTCTTCTTCATTTCACATTTTTGGGCTGGTGCGACTTATACTCCGGAGCGGTTTATAGTCTGGAAAATATGGTGCTCAAGTACAAGTACAAAGTAGCAGTCTAAGAAAAAGAGATTAATAAAAGTATTTGCTAAACCTGCTACTCAAATAAGAATTCATTTGAAAATCATATAATTTGAAGGACAAGAAATAAAAGAAGACCTGTTGTGTTTGCTATATAACTATACTCTATGACACCTGTGGATCATTTTGTCATAATTTGCACATTTGAAATCGCAATATTCATCTAAAATGACCTAATAAAAGGAAAATGTTCACTGACTTCTGCGTTAGAAAACTGTGGTGCCCAGTGGGAGCTGACGTTGCCGTAAACATCACAACAAAAAGAGTCGGCATCTTCAATGAACACCTACAGATCACACTAGTGAGCAGCAGATTTTTGTTTTCCTTTAAACCAAAATGACTTTGAGATGCTGCTGCGTTCTAAGTATAACACCAATTTATAAAATAAAACTGGAAAGCAAGTAAGTACAGAGAAGTGGGTGTGTACCAGTGGTGGTGAGAACAGGGTTTGATCTACAATATGGCGTCTTAAAATAAGAAATTAAAGATTGCTCAAACAGGCACGAATCACTCCAAATTCAACTTTGGGTGAGTAAATTTAATTCTCCAAACTCATATAATCGAGTTGAAACGATTTAAACAGTTTATTTTGGGATATTTTTTATATAAACAAGTATATTTATTTTATTTTTTAAATCTAAAGATTGTACAACAGCTGGATATATAGTTCATTTTGGATACATTTATGTTTTTCTATGCCTTATTTCATGTTCAAAGTATGTTTTATTCATTTTATGTTTTGTACATCGCAAGACTGCTCTAAGGAACAGATTTGTGGCCTATATTCATTTTCAATTTGAAAGTTTTGCGTAAATGATCAATAACAAAGTGTTTTTTTGAAAGAGAAATGGTGAATAAATACACACTAATAATCGTGATAATGATTTTTTGCATAATTGAGCAGCTTTAAGAAACAGGAAAAATAACTACAACATGGTTAATAGCCCTAAAAAGTTGATTATGCAAAAGTAGAAAATCTGGTATTTTAGAGCTTTAGCTTCCACGCACATTTTTAATTCTACAGTCTATCTGAAGGAGCTTTTCAGGAAACACAAATGTTCAAATCATGTCATATTGTCAACATAAAACTTTTGTCACCTATAGGTAGAGTCTCCAAAACCTTTACTCAAGTTAGAGTACTGTTACTTTAATAAAAAAAATACCACTCAAGTAGGAGTAAAAGTATGCTGCTCTCAAAGTACTCTGAAAAGTACAATTTCTTAAAAAAGTTACTCAAGTAAATGTAACAGTAAATGTAACTGAGTACTACCCACCTCTGTGAATTCTTATACGATAGATTATTTTGTTATTTTGTTCCAATTTTAACATCTAGCTATTTTTACATTCTCTGTCAGAGTAATCAAATCGTTTCCACTGAACAAAAAACGGATACAATGAAGTAACTGTGTAATACTTGATTCGAACATAAATTAATGGAAAGTTGAATTGCGTGTTAACAACAGCGAGAAAAACACTCCTAATAATATTTTCAAGAACCTGCCATCTGGCGCCTCTTACATTACACTAAATGAGAGTTATTTGGACATGGATCAAGAGACTGCGTCATTCTCAAGTATTTTTAGTTGTGAATTGCAGTTATTTATTTTGAGTACAGGGTTTTCTTCACTGTAGCTTTTTCTTGAGGCAAATAATGTACCTCAGGTGTGAATATACAGACTTGAAGAGATGTAGTAGAGTCTAAGATAAAGATAAGATAAACCTATATTTATCCCTATAGACTGAATATACAACTCACAAGCCGCTGCGTTCCAAACAAGAATTGTATATGGGTACACTTCCAGCTCCATTGACTCTTGACTTACAAAATACCTTAAAAAACTTACCATGTGCAGGCTCGCTTTTCCATAGATCTGACTAATTAACCTGTCTCCATTGTGTTTATTCCTATACGGTGGCTTTTAATTCACATTGGCAAATCGTCACCCCTCTCTCTGTAACTGCAGCAGTGAGCCTCATCATTTTGGTCTTAAAATGTTTGCCAGCTCTACGTGAACGTTGTTTTTTTATTTTACTTTTTTGTACATAAATAAATTCCTATTCCTAATATGGAACTCGACTCCAGATTCACCCTTGTAACTGGTAACCTCATGAGCCTCATTTGACTGGAGACGAACTCTACAGGTGACGTCACACTGCCTTAAGACCGCCACACACTGCAGGATTTTTCAAATGATTTTTAAACATGCGACAAAAAGCGCACACCACAGACACAAGGAGAATCTTATGGGATTTTAAGGCTCTATCCACACTAGTAAGTATTCGAGTCGTTTTCATTGTGGATGCAGTGTTCATCCACACTAATCTGATGGAAAACGGCTCAAGAAACGGAACAATTTGGTGCCACCAGCTCCCACGAATTCATCTGAGTACTAATCTGATCGGGCACTGTGTGGACGCCTGAAAACGTTGAACCTTATTGGACCACGTCACTGTGACTTGCTCCTTCCACCCTTCGCTGGGTTTGTGACATCAGTGACGCTATTGCGAAAAACAGTTTAACCAAACCACAGACAAACGGAAACAGCGGAGCTAGAAATACTTGCTAGTCCATTAAAAGACTGTTTTTATGCTTGCCATCTTCCTCGGCTTGAAATTGGCGGCTGCAACTTACTAGTGTTTTAGGCAGTTTTGCGTTAAAGGGCGAAGTATAATTCTATAGGTCTGTGCATACAACCGGCAGACAAAAAATCTCTGAAAAGTTTAACATGAACCATCTCCAACGTGATAGAAGCACAGAACAGACTCACCATCAGCAGAACATCCCTCTGTCACAGAAAGAACACTCATATTCCACTGAGTCATGTCCTTTAGTCCGACAGAAGCTGAACCGCATCAGCGCACAATAGCGAGCTGTTTTTTTGAGTGCTTAGTTTATGCAAATTAGCCATGTGGTTTTAAGTTTTGTTTCTGTAAAACGTAAACAAATATGCACAAGGCTGTGTGGATAGGGAAGGCTTGCAGACACAGAAACGACGTGTCTGGAAGCAAATTGTTTCCAATATGATGAAACGGTGACACAGTGATTAGTTTCCGTGTAAACATAACCAAAATCTCTGACCTCAAAGACAGCAGCGGGATAGATCCATGACCACAGGCTGCACTAAAACAACTCGCTTTGAGAGTGTTCAAAAGATCAGAGCACTGTACTTCTAGTTTAGATACAAGTCAAAACTGTGTTATTATTATTTGTGAAATGTGGTGCAAAACGTCCGATACATAATTTTTAAAGCATAGAAGAGATAAAGTACACAAGAAGTAGAGTCACTATCGGTAATCTGCAGCTTCACCTCGATCTGCGCGCTGTGTGGATGTAAACAGACACACGTGAGGAACTACTCCCACCTTTTTACTTTTAAAAAAACACTTCAAACTGGCTTAGTAGCGATGTTTTGTGGACTGGCTTTCATTATTTGCAGAGGACACATTCTATAGATAAGAGATGAGATGCTGCACTTTAAATTTACAACTTTAGAGAGAGGTGAGTAAGAACAATTTTCGCTATTTCCTGAGTTTGTGTCTTGTTCCTCTGTGTCCATCACTCCTCTGCCCCTGACATTCTGTTTTATCGGCTGTTCCCGTAGCGTTGCTGATGTTTGGTGGTTACAATCTGACAGAGTAGCTCAGAGTCACATTGACACCCCCCCACACACACACGAGGAGCACAGCGGCGTCAAAATCGCACACAAAGATACAAAGTCGGGTCACACTTTCCCGAACTTGGGAAGAAGCGAATCGCAGCCAAAATCTGACAAATTCTCCTGTAGCGTGTGGCGGCCTTTAATCTACGGTTGCAACTCAAAAGATCAATAACTGCGGCAAAATAGGAAACATGCAATGTGGTAGTTTTGGTTTTAGCAAGTCAAGATACAATCATGGCCTGAAACTGCTGATAACACGTGAGAAGGAACATCTTAGCCTCATTTACACGTGAGCATTTGCTATATTTGAAGAAAATGACAATATTATGGCAATTTCATTTTATTTATTTATTTATTTTTTAATAGGCTATTGTTCTTGTTCCTCTTATAGATAAATATTCTAAAATGTAGGCATGTTTCATTCAAATTAGACTATTCATGAAATTGACAGTCAAAATTTTTTAAATAAAGAGAAAATGTAATATTATTTTTTATTTACTCTGGACAAAAATCCCTAACCAGTTTTTATGTGTGAAAAACCTTGAAAATGCTTTGAATAAAATTAACTTCAGACACATACCTTTTTAAGAAAGCGGACTCCGTAGGTGAATATGTAAAGATAGAACGTGAACCTCCACCTGAAACACACAATAAGAAAACAATTGTCATCATCAATAACGCAACATTTATTTTATAAAGCAGGTCTATGGCAGCAGAACCTTCCAACTCGTATGAGCTTTAACACAACATTGACCATCATGAGCTTAAAGGGCCATATTACACAATTTTATGATATATAGTATGTTATAATGTTGTTTCCTCATCACAAACAGACCTGGAGTTGTGTTTTGGTTCATTCACACATGTTTAAATCACAAACCTGCATATTAATCCTGAGTTCTTCTCTCCAAAAAGAAAACACTGCAGTCTGTACCACCTTGTGATGTCATTGTGGTAACAGAGGAAGTGCTCACTGTGTTTTTTAAGTCCATACAGCAGAGGTGGGGACTTACAAGTTGAGATAAAATGGACGAAGTCTTGGGACTCAGGTTGGACTTGAAGGTCAGTATATGTATGTGTTCCTCTTTTCAGTTGATAAATGTGGTGCTTAATTTTACTTTGGATGAAACTGAAGTACTGTGATATGGTATTCTCAAATGTACTACAGTAACGTACAGCAGAGGTGGGGACTTGCAAGTCGTGACTTGGACTCGAGTCAGACTTGAGACTTGACTTGATAAAATGGACTAAGACTTGGGACTCGACTTGGATTTGAAGGTCAATGACGTGGGACTTGAGAAGACTTGATGCTTCTCCTAAAAAAATATACATGTTTTTAGAAAATAGTTTTCTCTTTTCAGTTGATAAATGTGGCGCTGTTTTACAGGAACAAACTGGAACATGTCCCTCCCACTTCTCTGTTACTTTGGATGTAACTGAAGTATTGTGATGTGGTATCCTCAAATGTACTACAGTAATACACAGTAATACACAGTAATATACAGTACAATACAGTAAAGCAGAGAGAACTACACAGAACATGATCCTTTCATTTCAGTGCAGACTACATGACAAAATAAGTTATTAAGCTCTCTTAAATCTGAACTGACTGTAATGATTCACACTAAGATCTTGTCAAAACATTTAAAAAGGAAACATTTGCATTTCTACAACTCTGATATAAATACTCATATATAAATATACCATGACTTTTTAAGTACAGTTTAGCTTGAAAGTCATATAAATTGCAAAAATCTAAGCTGTATTTGGTACTTTGGTTTAAAGATTTGAAATGACTTGAAGCTTCCCTGTATTTGACTTGGGACTTGACTCGGACTTGAGGTCAAAGACTTTTACTTGAGAATTACAAAACAATGACTTGGTCCCACCTCTGCCATACAGCTTCATGAGAATAATTTGGATTATTTCAGAGCTGAAGTTGCCTATCTCTACTGAAGAAAAGGTAAAAGGAGCTGTTCACTTGGAAAAAACTACCACTTCATGACATCACAAGGTGGAACAGACCATTTTGAGCATTGGAGATGTAGACAGCCTAATAATAAAAGATTACTCAAACATGTGTGAATGAACCAAAACACCACTCTGGGTACGTTTTTGATGAGGCAAGAGCTCACAAGAGTCAATTTTGTGTAATATAAGACCTTTAACCTGAATTGTAATTTCCATTCTGAACATTTTTTCTTCTTACTGAATCTTTCTGAAGTAATTTTGGAACCACAGCGGTATTCATTCAGACATGAGAGAGAGCGGGTGGCCAAATTTTAATCTTCTTACAATAATTAGTCCTGATTTATGGCTCATTTTCAGCAGCACATTTGTATGGACCCGGCTGGTGGGCTTACAGCTGCAGAGAATAGACCATCTCTTGACCAGGGCTAAAACAAGACTCGATGTTATGACATACTGTGCATTACTATGGCGTACTTAGGGAGGTTATTATGGGATGTGGGCTTACATGCATAGCTGACAGTGAATGAATGAGGGGGGCTGTATGTAGATTACTGTAGTAGTCGGCCATGTAAGCTAATAGGCCATTTTTACAAGTGTGGGAAAGCGATATAGTTGAAGCAAAAAAGTGTTTATATAATGATTTAAAAGTCCTCGATTTCACAAAATTGATTCTTATGAGCTTTAAACCATGTTATAATGTTTTTACCTCATCAAAAACATACCTGTAATTGTGTTTTATTTTATTTACACACATCTGAGTAAGCTTTTATTTTTAGTTTGTCTACATCTCCAAAGCTCAAAACGCTCTGTCATATACCTGTAGTTTTCAAATTAAAGGGACAGTTCAGAATTTTGGACGTAGGACCTCATTTCCTAGTGAGTCAGAGTGTTGGAGACGTGTGGAGACACTTTTTTAAAATATTCCGTCCAGTCCTTGTATTTGCAGAGGTCGCTGGTGCTAGGCTAGTGCATGTCAATGGCCATAGTTATCCTGCCACTAAAAACAGTCTTACCCACTCCACAAAACACCCGAAGCAAATCTATTATTACACCAGTACGATTTACTGTATTTTAAACGCTATTAGGCGTTCTGGATTATAAGACGCACTGTCATAGAATGATCTATTTTCAAACTTTTTTCACAAATAAACCACACCGAAAAGAAACACAACAGTTGGTTGGGTCAGTGGGACTTCGTTTGGCACGTTCACAGTGACTCTGGTCTTTGTTCAGTTGTGGCGTGTAGGAAGGGTGCTGTCTGGCACCGCTGGATTGTCGGCGTGTTCGCAGTGACTCAGTTGTTCAGTTGTGGCTCAGATTGGTACATTGAACTTGCTTTTTCCGTTCATTCCTCCATTCCATTCCTCATCGGCGTGGAGTGATGAGTGTGGCTGCGGGTGTTTTTCTCTGTGTGGTCGCTGTCTGCTCCGTGTGTGTTTGCGTGCCCTGTGGGTGGTGCGGCTTTATAGTTTACTGAAGTCGTACTGGGACATCAGAGTGGATTCGTGTACGGGGCGCTCTGAATTGTGAGACGAGCAGTTGTTTTTTGATGTGGTTAGAGGCTTAATAGCACGTCTAATAGCCCAGAAAATATGGTAAATGTCTGTGTTGCTAGAATAATTTCAGAAGTAAAACCAACCTTGCATTTGAGGGATTTATGTCTGAGCAGCAGTGAGTTGTACTCCCTGATAGAAAGCTTGGCAGAGGTGGACTGATATATGAGAAAATAGTCCCTCAACATGCGACAATTCATGTGATGCAAGGTTAGTTTCATTTCAAAGATTATTCTATCAACACAGACATTTACATGGACAGTCTGGTGTAATAATAGATTTGCTTCAGGTGTTTTGTGGAGTGGGTGAGACTGTTTTTAGTGGCAGGATAACTATGGCCATTGACATGCACTAGCCTAGCACCAGCGACCTCTGAAAATACAAGAACTGGATGGAATATTTTAAAAAGTGTCTCCACACGTCTCCAACACTCTGGCTCACTAGGAAATGAAGCCCTATGTCCAAAATTCCCGACTGTCCTTTTAAATTTCCGCTTAGTAAGACTATTTAAGATGACTTTTAAAAAGGTCTGATGTTAGGTCTTGTGCTAAAAAGTTGTTTCCACATCAAAAACATACCTGGAGTTGTGTTTTGTTTCATTCCCACATGTTTGAGTAACCCTGAATTATTTGTCTGTCTACATCTCAAAAGCTCAAAACGCTCTGTTCCACCTCGTGATGTCATGAAGCGGTAGTTTTCAAGTTTTTAACAGCTCCTTTTACCTTAAGTCCATTAGATATTGGCAATTTTCAGGTTTGAAATCACCCAAATCATTCTAGTGAAGGTGTATGGAGCTTAAAAACGCAGTGGAGCCCTTCTTGTATTGTATAATGTGCAAAAGAAACAAAAAACGAGACCACGAGACACAAGTTTACGATGAGAAAACAGTATAACAGATCAGAAAACAGCGTAATATGGAGCTTTTAATCTGACTTTTTAAACGCCGTGTACATCCTCACGATTTGAAAATAGACGTACAACAGAAATGTTCCGAAAGCACTTCAAAGTTGAGCCCCGTTAAGCTGCTGACGGGCTTCTTTTTGTCCTGGATTATAGAGCATGTTGTGGAGCCAAATGAACTGGACAAGTCTACCTGGCACACGCAGCAAAGCCCGTCGCCTGGCAACCGCCTCATCAAACCTGCAAGAGTCTTTTTCAAGGGCCACTGAAAGGCTGCTATAAATGTACAATTACAATGACTCAACCGCTTTGCCTTCAATAGATTTTCTGAAGTCAGACGCAGCTGTTTTTTTGCTATTATAATGCCTCTGTGCCCGTGCTGATAAGATGTGGTGGTTTTAAGGGGGAAGCATGACTACAACCTGTTTTTGCGAGTTTTTAAGGTTTTCCATCACTTCAATTGCAGCTCTGAACTAGTGTTGTCATGACAGTAAAGATTCAAAGTTGATTTTATTATAGGAATAAGCTACTTGATACCAATTCCAATGCCATAATTAGGGCTGGGTATCATTAAGAAGATGCCGATATGAATCATACCTCGATACAGTAAGCTTTTGATTTGCTACGATATATTTCAAATCAATTCAATACAGTGCAATAAAAAACAAAGGTGAAATCATGGCTGTGATACTAAAAGTCTTCATTAAACCACCTGTGCAAAGTTCATATGAAACACAAACATTTTAATCATCAAAACAGTGTTGCATAAACTGAGTTTCCTTCCTCTAAACAAGCAACAAAACTGTAGCGCTGTATTAAAATAATTTAGTAAAATTTACAAAAAAATACTCTTGGCGATATATTGATATAGCAGCCCACAATATCATCATCTTAAACAATACGATATATATCAATATTTCGATATTTTCGCATAATGATAGGCGGCACGGTGGCTGAGTGGCTAGCACTCATGCCTCACAGCAAGAAGGTTCCGGGTTTGATCCCCAGGTCGCCTGGGCCTTTCTGTGTGGAGTTTGCATGTTTCTCCCCGTGTCTGGATGGGTTTCCTCCGGGTGCTCCGGTTTCCCCCATCAACCCAAAACATGCTACAGGTCTCCAGAACAGTTGATAGTCAAGGTCAGTTAAATACAATCAATCAATGAAACTGTCCAAGGACGACAGGTGGAAATTAGCACTGATGCTACAACCTAATG